CGGGGTCGTGACGTGGCCGAATACAGGAGACTTCGTGTTGTGATTTAACTGTTTATTTGGGCGAACCTGTGCCCGGTAAACGGAAAGTCCAATTACAGAAGTAGTCTTGCATAGATAGCAGTCTCGGACTGATAGCGGCGAACGGAGCGTCGGCCTTCGATCAACAACTGACAAGCGGCGACGCGCGTCGGCATTTATACTCTTGCTGTCGAATGTTCTAGCGTTATCGCTGGCGGTGGCGTAAGTTCCAGAACAGTCTGTACCGTTCGCACAGTGGGCGTGATCTTATCGAAATGATCTACTACAGTCCGGAACCTTCTGGAAAGCTGCAGGCACGGTTTGCGCTGAGAATCGTGTGGGGTTTTGGGACGACAACAAAAACTTGGGAAATGGAACGTGGCAATATTTATCCTTGTTGACAACGCTCCCGTTGTGCCATATCCCACACCTTCACGAAGACTAACTGGCCCATTGAATTATTACTCCCACCATATATATATATATATATATATATATATATATATATATATATATATATATATATATATATATATATATATATATATATATATATATATATATATATATATATATATATATTCATCGACAATGAGGAATTTATCTATGCAAAGCCAAGACTTCAAGAACCACAATTAGCCAACTAACTTTGCACCCCTCCAAAAAATATTTCTGCCTATGCTATTGCTAGCTCTTTCGGATAATACAGTTTCGGATATTCAGCTGGTGAAGTGTTTGCAAAGTTATGGATTTTCCATTTCTGGCATTATTAATGTTGAAATAGCTAAACTAAATAAACAGAATTCAGCGCCTTTGGATTCACTCAGACGAGGGAATATGAAGGTAACCCTCTTATCAGTGGCGAAGCCAGGGTACGGCTAGCAAGCGCAAGCTAGCAAGCGCACAGAGCGTGGTATCACTTTCCACGACCACTTTCACAACCGGCCACACAAAAGGACAAAAGAGAAGACCAGACCACAGGGGCGCTAATCTTCAAGTGAGTAAGTATTACCAACAAATTTGTTTTCTATAGCAAGGCACCACTCGTTTCACGGTCGATCCCCCATGGTAAGTTACGCCAGGTTAAAAGGGTCAATCAATCAATCAATCAATCAAAAGCGGAGCTATTTATGGCAGCCGTTGTTTATATATAAACCACGAACTGTCATCATCATAAAGTGACACGCGCTATTTTCTTTCTTTTTTTTTACGCGCCCTCTTCTTCATTTTCTGCTTCACTCCCGGATCACGTGCGTCCATTTGTCCGGCATCGAGTGGCTAATGCTGATGGGTGAAAGAATGGGTAAAGAGAGAGAAAGAGACAGAAGGCAAAAGGAAAGTACGAATGGTATATTGAAAGCATAAAACTACGGCACAAGAAGCATGTGAACGGGACTAGCGCAGGCTGTGCTGGTCCTATCCATTTCCTTCCTAATCCTAGTGTCCTGGGTCTAGGCGTGGTTTAATGTTTTCCCATGTCTTACCAACAAACCCCCCTATCGCACGCTCCTTGAGAAACATAGGGAGAGAGAGACAGAGCGGGGGTGGGGAGCACAAGGAAGGAAGAAGTAGGAAGAGAAAGAAGGAAATAAAAATAAACAGAGACAAAGAAGATAAAGCAAGCATGGAGAGAGGTGATTTTTTTAATTAGACACAAGTATAATTATCTGTCTTTAGTTCATATTATACATTGCCACTATTTGTAGGGACTCTATCTGCAATGTGATCCTAGTATATTAACTAGACTTTGCCTACACATACTGTGCTCATTCATCCATCATAAGCACTATAGAGTATATACTATGTACATATATACATATATAGTGCCTCTGATTAGTTCTTTTTTTTCTTTTGTTCTATATTTTTCTTGTGTGTTTATCTTGTTCAATACTGTCATAATGTTGGGGCTGCCGGCTCTAACGTAGCCCATACAGTTTCCTAATATACATTTTAGGAAACTCTACGACGTAGCCTACCTTTTCGTATTTTGTCAAATATAAATAAAAAAGAAGAGAAAAAAAGTGGCAAAATAAAGAGCAACAAAGAAGGCCACCTGGCTCAGCACTTATTTTGGGCTTGCCATCACTAGTGCAAAGCTGACTAAATTCCTTTTTTTTTTTTTGAAAAGCACATTACAATAAATTTACTTTGTGTGCTTTTCAATAAACATAACTGAATATAAATATCTAGAAATTTATATGTGCACCTTTGGATTTCTAAAAAAGGTGTATGCAATACACTATCACATCTAGCAATTTTTTTAATACAAACTTCTCATAAACAACTGAAAATTAACAAGGTTTTGTTCATTACTTTATTGCAACTTTATTTCCGCCAAGCTATTTCAGCCTCAGCACAAGGCTCTGTGTGTGAATACGGGTTATAAAAAATCTGTATTGTAAAAAAAGACATGTATTGTATGGCATACATGGAGTACGAAAACACATTTGACACTTAGTATTGGTTGTTGGAGCTAAGCTCGAGAAAGATTAATAATTATCCTACTCAATCGTTTATGTTGTTGTTTTTTCCACAGTACTCGTGCACCTATTTTATCTAATGTAGATTCATTTTTTTATCGACATTGAGGAATCTATCTATACAAAGCCAAGAATCAAGCCTTCAAGAACCAAAATTAGCCAACTAACTTTTAACTTTGCTTACCCGTTACAGCTATGCCCATTGCATTTCTGGGCTAAGCCACAACTTATACTTCTAAGTAATTTGGAAATGCTGCACCTAAACATTTACCCTTTTTCTTGTTTTCTTTTTTTTTTAACCAGGCACCACACCGAATGCAAGCTTAAGGCCCACACAGTGATGTTCCGTGCAAGGAATTTTCTTTTTTTCAGGGAATTTTTACCTGTCATTTTGAGCCAAAAGAAAAAAGGGAATCCTTGTGATATTGCAGGGAATTTCCGTAATGGTTAAATTCTTCTATGACGACTGATAACTATTGGTCACAGTGCGCCGTCGTCTGCTGTATTCCGTTCTAATGCATGCACCAGGCAAGCTAAGCTTTTGAGATTTGTTTCTGAAATTTACGTGAAGCAATGTCTATCTCACTAGTAGTGTTAGACTTGAAGGCCACAATGTGCAGTGTATTAAGAGTATATGAATAATAAAGTCATGCTCTTGTTGTGCAGCAGTGGAGGGGTTAGTCACGATTTAAAAAGTCGCTAGTACGTTAGACACGTGTAATTAAAGACTGCGTGTGCGTGGATGGAGGGGGAAATTAGTGCTTTTGAGCAGGGAAATATGCTGGGAATTCGTCAGCATTTGCATGGAAAAATCTCCAAAATAGAAGATTTTCATCTCTCTGAATGTGAATTCTGCAGCGTAGTACGGACAATCACTGAGCCCACATTCAGATACTCTCAAGACAGCAACCAAATTTTCTATACAGATTTCTTCGAAGACCCACCTCCAACACCACTGAACACTCGCACAAGTATATATCTACAAAGGCGTACATTAACATACATAGCTTAGGCTTTTAATAGGACATCAACCTCAACCCCATTTGCTCAATGTATCGAAAATACCTTCAGAGACATTTAACTCCCAAAAACAAGGCACAGAAATTGTTTTGGAGGCCCAACCACAAGTAAATGCATTACGAGTGCAACGTTTACTTTTCCAGTCTATGTTTACCATCCTTCATTACAAGGAAGCACAGGGACTCGATATTTCATGGCATTGCATTGTATTCCTATTGACCACACAAAGTTTATTCAAGTGTGCCCAGTTCTAAAATATAATCATAGTCCTAAAATCAAAAAATGCACATTAACATATACTGTACTGTCTTACCCGTATCAATTAACATACACAAGGAAAGTAAATTTAAGGGCTCGTTTGTCTTTGTCAAGAAAAGTATAGTGTATGTGTATTAGCAGTAATTATAAAAAAATAAATCTGAAGAAAAAATTGTGGACAAAAAGATAACTTGCTGCTGGCACGGACCAAATTTGGGACCTCTGAATTGCACGTATTTGAAGGTCACAGGTTTGGTCACTGCCAATATTTTTCACCTTCGTTTCTTCACAATTTCATTAAAATATTACTAACATCCCCTATACTTCCTCGACAAAACTTTCCACAGGTTCTCATCACTATTATATATACACTGTAACAGGAGGAAGGCACAGTTCCAAGTAGTGTGCCCTTTTCCTGCCAACGAATCAGCCAGTGACAGCTCTCATGGGAATCTGTACAATTGCTTCGGTGGCTGCCCACCACCTTCATTCACAAACGGCCACAATGGTATTTTGAAAAGAGCTTCGAATTATGCTTGTGAAATTCACAACTTGCGCACAACCAAAAATTTTTGCTGAAGTGCTCGCGATTACGTCTTCTGTCTATAGAACAAACTTTCTTGTCAAGCCCGAGGGTTGGTTCAAAGGCCGCTCTACGATTTACTATTTCGCACTGGTCACGATACCCGATACCCAACAATGCAGTTAGCAGCCGGTACGCATACAGCATCGTGCAACAGTAGCTCACCCCATTCAGTTGCAATATTTTCAGTCATGGAAGTTTGCTTCATGTTAGAGTCTCTAGCAACATCTACACTGCTCCGGAGAACACCCCCCCCCCTCCACCACTTAAGGCTACACTACAGTAAAGCAAAAAACTCAAGTGCTTACAGGCAGGATTTTCATAAGCAGAACTTCAGGCATGAAGGCCCGTATCACATGCATGTGGATGCTAACGGCGTTTACAGCAGCATCGCACTAAAGGAACTTGGTTCATAGAGCATCTCTGGAGCTTAAGCGCTTAAATTGCAACAAGCTGCTTACTAAGCTTCCTAAAGAGTAATAAAAGATTACTACACCAAATTCATTCCTTCCACCTTAACCATAAGGTGCTCTGCTGCCCTCTCTCCCTCAATGCAAACATCTATGCCCTATGCATGCAAATGTCCTGCGCATACCAGATGGTCTGTTCCTACGCAGTTTTTAAAAAAGGCAGACAAGGGCTCGTTTTGGATCGCAGCCAGACACACAGCCACATTTATTAAAAAAATGACAATGACTTAAACAAAAAATACAGAACCACAATAGACAGATTTCTATTAAACCCTTTCTGCATATCGTTTAGTGCTCCAGAAAGAATAAAAATATGAAAAATGAGAAACAAACACACACCCCAAAATACCCTCAATGGCACCAAAGCAGGCTCGAAGAGGCACATCCTGATGAAGAGCACTAATTACATCTTCCACAGTGAATACATGTGTGCACACAGTGCACACCACTCATTCCACCAAGAGCGAAGCTGCCAGTACGGGTCCCGTAGAAATTGTCTGTGTGGCAGCATCCGGCAACACTGCCCGTGGCAACGCTTTACGCCACAGTGGCTGCAGCTTGATGACCAGAAGGAGGGTAGAATCTTCAATGTTGCCCACAGCACGAGCTGCAACCTTTTTCCCAACATGAAGCTCTGACCATTCATGACAAGTGATAGCAGCGGGGTCTGCAATAAGGCTGACGGGAATGCCTCGGACATAGGATTCAAGTATTGCAACAGCAGGCGTGACGAGAGCGACAGTCGCAGGTATCGAGTACACCACATCGGGCTTGTTGCACGTGGCATTGGGAAAAGGCAGGGCTTCATCAAAGCACCACTCCAAGCGAGATCCATCAGTGCCACCATGTGACACAAGCACATTATCACCTGCTGCAAGGTGGTAACCTTCAGACTTCACAGACTGCGTTCTTGGCGAGCTACTCGGGGAGGTTTCGTAGTCTGTCTCCAGCTCAGACTCAGACAGCTCAGATCCAGAGCTGTCATCAGCAGACAGCTCTGGATCTATGTCGCTTGAAGCTACTTGGCTGCTGCTACTGCTGCTTTCATCACTATAGGCTGTTTTCACTGTGCATGCCTCGCGATAGAACCTGCTACCACTCTTAGGGTCTTCATGCATACTGGAATCTGTGAACGGGCCAGTGAAAGGGAATGTGGATTTCACCGAGGCAGGCGGCAATGTAGATGTTGCACTCGTCACATTCTTTTCTGGAACCTTATGGGTGTTGAAATCTTCCGCTTTTTTCTCTTTCAGTTTTGTGTTTTCATTGGCTGGTGGGGGCCTAGGCACTTGCTGCAGGCTCTTTTGAAGCTGCTGGAAGTGGTTCAATATCCCAAATTCCAGTTCCAGCCCACGCAGTCAGGCTCTCCTTGGGTGCGTCATTCCTGGAAGCATTGCTCTGAATAATAGCAGGTTCAGCAATCACTGGTAATGTCGTACACGGCACATTATTGTTCTTTTTAGGCATGGACTGCATCAAGCACACGCTGTGGTGCATGGTGTGCCATTGATGAGATTTCGGTCAGCCCAAGTACATTTTGTGGATTCTTCTCCTCAGATTTGGCACACTTCATAGTTTTTTCACACAGCTCAGATGCTTCTGTCTTTGGGATAAGGGTCAAGTCCATTGTTCTCCGATCATATGGAGTGTCCCATTCGAACGCATCATAACCATTGTCAACAATGGTAACGTCAGCACTGTCCTGCAAAGCACTTTCCTGGATTAATGCATCTTCATTTTGAACTATTTCTTTAGAAGTCACATCTTTGAATTTGGGAGATTTCGCCTTTTCTGTATTGCGGTCACTAGATGGTGGAGCTGCCACCTTCACCAGTTCGGAGTCTGAGGCACTGGAGTAGAATATGCAGTCATCCCCATTGACGGATGCATTGCCTTCACTCGCAGCAGTCAGACAAGTCCATGTGAAGCTTCCCACCACTGCTAGGGTGAGCTCGTTCACCCTCCTTACTGCGTCCCTTCTCCTCTTCACCACTAGGTGTACTGCCAGCACTTTTCAATTCTACGATTACCCACTCAGATTCACCATCGTCTTTGACGGCAATGAATTCCACTTCCTGACCAACTATCAGTTCATTGTAATTGGTCGATGTGGCACTGAGAGCATCTCTCTTGAATGAAACTTCAGCATAATCATCAGAGCTACCAAAGGTAGCGGCGAGCAGTCCACTTACTTCATCTAAGCTAATTATCCAGCCCATGCCAGTGACTGGTGTACAGTTTGTCTTCTTTGGCTTCATAGCTTTCCCAGTGTCTCCAGAACCCATGTCACCATGGTCACCAGAACTGCACTTCCCAAAGCTTTTCTTCTGCTCTTCAATGAGCAGCAAAATATTATCACAAATTTTAAACCTGTCCTTGCGCATAAGAATGGCCTTGAGAACAGTGCTGCTACTGAAATGATGATCGAATCCTTCATCTTTTAAGTTTTCAAGGACAGACAAAAGTGGTGCCTTTTTGTCTGCACACTTCAGCAACTCTTTCACCAACATCTGTGAAATTTCTTCAGTATACTCAGGCTCCAACAACTTGGGAACAACAATAAAGTGTGTCTTATCTAGAACAAAGAATTCCTCCCTGTGGTGAAAGAACTCCAGCAATGCTTTGATATCAGGAACGAGACACTGGAACAGCCTTTCAGTGTTACGCCGTAATGTGCCATGAAAGTTGCACACTTCCACAATATCTTCACCCGCTAGCTTCACACAAACTTCAGCCAATGCATCTTCCAGAGCAGAAAGCAGAGAGCTGGCATATTTGAGAGGCCACGACAAAATGGTATTGTCCTTAACAATCTTAAACATGTCAAAGCAATTGCTAACTAACGAGCAAAGCTTTTCAGTTTTGCTCTTTCCTGGCTGTTTGTTAAGTTCTTGGCTGTACTGGTCTTTGACTATGTTCAGATGCCCAAGGATTGTTGAGAATGGCTTGGGACTTTTCACCAGTAATGCAGCTGCAACGACACCAACCACCAACCTGAATGAGATGGGCATGGTGTCAAGAGGGCACACTTCATTGTCAAGATCAGAAGCATTTCCTCCATCAATTTTTGTAAGCCATACGACATTAATTGGCCGTAGCACATAAAAAAAGCCATCATACTTTAAGAAAAAGTTGATGAACTTCTCTTGTGGGTATACATCTTCGAAATATTCCTTCACAAATGATGAGGCCTTGTGAAGGTGCTCTTGCAGCATACCTATGGGCACAGGATAGGTGTTCACACGGAGAGATTTGATAAGATCAACAAAATGCTCTAGTGCAGAAGCTTCATGTGTATTTTCAGAGGCACCCTCAAAGTCGTATTCATCCACATCACTGGAATCCCATTTTGAACACACACTGCCAGAAGCAAGGTAGATATTCTTGTTCTTGGACATTGCAAACATGGTTGGAGCCTTGAGAAAAAATGACTTGAAGTTATCTTTTGTGTAGACTTTGCATAAGCAGCCTTGCACTTTCGGTGGAGTCAGGGGAAGAAAGCTCCAAAGAACTTCTGGAGAGATGGCCTTGACTTGATGGGCCTCCAAAAGCTGTATCAAAGCAACATAAAACTCAACAGCCAATACACTTGGTTGCTTTTTCGCTGTTGTTGTGTCCGTGCTCAAGTCCTTTTCAACAGCAAGACATATGTTGCCGTTTTTGCTCACCCTGAAACGGCTCTGGTGATGCTGAAAGAATTCCACCACGTTTTTGCCATAGTTGTCAGCCAGGTAGCCAGTAAGTCTGCGATTGAGACATGACGAAATCTCCAGAGCAGTTTCTGGTTTTACTACACGCACACCATAGCTGTAAGCCAAGTGGAAGAGATCAGCAAAATATTTCTCAAGCAGCTTTTCGATTTGCACATTCTTTGCATGCAACGTGCCTGCATTGTCCTCACAGCCAGAGACCCTTCCTTCTGAGGTGCTACTGGCTGGAACTAGGCTGGACCAGTTCATAACTCTCTGCATTGGATGCTCGTCCCTTGGCTGTTGAAGCAAGCATAACTACCCCCTTGCTCTCAAGGGTAAAGTGGTCAGGGTGATCCAAGAAAAATGTATCAAATTTACCGTAAGGGTACTCATCACTGAAGTATGAAAATACGATCAGAGGTGCCTCAGCTAGGAGCTCCCGCAGCTTGTAAACATGCATCAACTCATTGTCTTGCGTTCTTATGACGTCCTCGAAGTACTTGATCGCAGCTGCCTCTGGATCGGTGGGACTGCCGTTGTCACGCGAAGTCTCCCAGGCATTGCCTGAAGACTTCTCCGGGTAAGCACTTTCTTGAGTTTGCAATGGAGGAAACTCCTCTTCTTCGGACCCTTCATCATCGTTTCTATCAAGCCTCTCCGGCGGAGTGCTGCCAGTGGCTACTGAAAACTCCGCCTTGTGCGCCCTGAAGAAGTCCAGAAAGTTAACCTCTGTGTAATTACTTTTAATAAAATGCTGAACATTATCAGGAGCCTCACAAACTTGTGCAAACAGAGAGTCCACACTGCAACTCGCAAGCTCAATTCCAGGACTGTTGAGAACATGGCGAAAGAAGCGCACAGCATCAGCTTCGTCCCGCGATATCTCGACATCCAGGCAGCTGGTATCAGATAACCAGCGATTTCGGAAATCGCCATCATCCAAAGCTCTCCGTGCCTCCCCTAAAAGGTACACGTTGCCAGAGTGTGAAACACCAAATATGTCGGAGTAGGCCTGCAACAGGCGCTTCATGTCCTTTGCCGGATAGTTTCTGGCCATCAATGCTTGAACACCAAGTGGTGCTTCCCCAAGGCATTTCCGAAGAGCCCTCAAGGGCACAGGAGAGAAATGGTAAGCATTCATGTCCTTCAGCTTGTTTTTGAGGAAATCAACGGCCATCTTTTCAAGCTCGTCAACTCCATACTTCTTCATGATGTCCGAGGTCAGGTAGACATGTGTAGTTCCTCCAAGTTGAAACATTTCTGGAAAACACTTGAAGAATTCAACCAAGTCACCACCGTAGACACTCTTGATGTGCCTCCGTATATTCACCTGGGCACTTGACAAATAGCTTCCCAGATTGGCAATACTGACAGGAGACAGTTCCGTCTGTTTTTCCCCTTGGATGGCATTGGTGAAGTAAACAAGGCACTGATTCTCGATGTTGGTCATGGTGAGCGGTTCTTGATCACCACCTTAAAGAAAAAAAAAAAGAGGGGAGTGGAGGAGGGTGTGTAAACTTGAGTCGGCAATTCACCAATAGGCTGAGAAACACCTCAATTTGTTTCACTGTACGAAAATATTCTAAATGCAAAGTGTGCCAATAATGTCAACGAAGTGTGAAATCGCACCTACTTGATCGTTGTCCTCGTCTCAGTTTTTTTTTTATTCTTTCCCTCTCAAGAGCATTAGTTTAACGGCAAGGCCTAACGATGTTTCCCCTCTAAGGAAAGCTGCGGTCCGGCTGTCGTGCAAGAGCGGGATTTCATTCCACGCGATTACAATTCCACACGATTCCACGCGTCATTACAATTTTGCTCCAACAATGTTATAATGCAGTCAGTTGAACACACGACTATGTTACATTCTTGATTTTGTCAGAGCTGTGCCTTTGGTCAGAGCCAATGTTCCGCTGTCACTTGAGAAAAGGGGGCCCCACAGGTTACATCATGGTTTCAGTTTTCCGGAACACTACGCCAATCACACGTGAACACAACCAGAAGAACGAACGCGTTACCCTGAATGCGGCTGTTCGTTGCACAGGACAGAAAAAAAAATATATACTTGTAGTTCAGGCTCACCTGCAGTGCTGATTATGTTGCAACTTCCAAACGTAGCCGAACATGAAAACGTTCGAAAGCAGTAGCGCGCGTCGGAACATTCTCCTAACACACACTCTACAGGGATATGTGCGAGATCACAGACAGCTGAACAACTCACATTGTGGGCTTAGCGCAGCGTGAAATTCCGAAACTTTGAGGCCTCCGCACTCTGTTTAGGGCGACGACGACAGCAAGAACGACGTCCGAGCAAACGCTGAGCGCTGCACTACATCTTCGAATGTTTCGAAGAAGAAGTGACAAGCGCCGCTGTTGCCGCTTTTTCTTTCGTCGGTAACCGCCGCATACTGTGGGAGAGCGCTGCAGGCATAAGCGATATGGCGTACATTCGCATCTCAGCAGCATTCAGATGTTCGATGAAAAAAAAATGGACTATTTCTCAAACGCATATTCACAACCTTCAGCCACACGAGAGCGTTCTCGGTCGCTGTTCATTCGATCTTCCAAACTAAATAGACCAAATCATAGAAGACTGGTGTCTCACGTGCAATTTTTTTGCAGAATCAGATCGGATTTCACGATCCAAATTAACACGCATAGAGCTTAACGAAGGCGTCACTCAAATCTCTGTCAAGCCTGATTGCGATTTCAATTGACCGTGCACCAGCATGCACCTAATATGCGGATATAACCTAGGTGTAACGTGTAGCGTTAACTCTATGGTGTAACGACCGCTATCAAAATTTCCCACGTGACACCTGCAGTCAGGTGTCTGACTGTGCATTTTCAATCGCGATTAAGCTAAACAGGAAGTGTGGGGCGGTCAGAGACTGCCATTTGTTCCGCGTGGGCAGCATTCCTTCGCAGAAAAAAAAAACATTTTTGGAAAGTCGAATAAATCCTTCTATTCTATCACTCTTCCCTCACTGGTGTTTAATTTATTTTATTTTTTAAATGGCTGTATGGCTTTTAAACATTTGAAATACACTTTTAAGGGTGTACAAATAAACCACTGACGGTTAATATTTATTAAACACAGTTTCAAAATATTTATTTCATAAAAAAAACTGCTCAGTGTAAAAAAATAATCTGTGGCATGATTTTCAATTCTTTACTTGTACTTATACTGCGTTGCTACAGTACACGCTACACTCGGCAGGTCGTCTTTAGTTGGCCTTTTAATATGGCAGTGCAACGACCAAGCAATTGGACTGTAGAGCTACACACATTATTAGGAATGCCACGAAATTGTTAAACAGTAACTGATTAGGCATACCCAAACAGAGGTCGTCAAAATGCTTGAGGTCATATAGGGTGCCATCGTGTGAACTTGAATGTGGTGTTGGTAGCCATTTGTCATTTATTTTTTTATTTTTTTGCTAAGTAAATTTAAGTTAATGTGGTGAATCTTAAGTTATCGCAGAAATAAGTTTGATTGTTACACTAGGTAGTGCTTTTTTGTTTCTCTTTAAGGGAGCTTTATATACAAGCAAGAGACCAATGCAAAATACACGCACATCCTGTTTATTATCGGTTAATGTCACAAAGTCCAACACACATATGCTGGGGATATTTGTTCCAAATCTAGCTTTAACTATCATATGCCTTTGTCTTAGATGGAGACATTAGCTAACTTTGGCAATGGCATACAAGATGCAAGGAGCAGTCTGTGTCTAAAAAAAAATCACCATGGTATTTCCTACAAGCAAAACAGAATGCACAGAATGTTCCAGCGTTACAAGACAGTCTCTCTCCAAACAGACAACATATAAAGGCCTGTGCACACACAATGAGAGCTGCTCATACATATACTACTTTGACTGTCCGAGCTCATTGCCACAATATATTACAGAAGGGAAATACAGAACTTTCTGTTGCAATACAAACAGTCGGCTCTACACAAGTCCAGACAATTTCAAAAATCATTTCCATACTGCCGGGTTCTGCATACTGCAGCCACAGGTCTTTTTTTGTGTGTGTGCATGTGTTCTGTAAGCAGTGGGAGTTTGTAGTAACCACTAAGCGAATTAAATTTGGACACTATTGCCATGATTCTTTTGACGGTGGAATTTTTTACAAGTACCGTCAGTTAGCAAGAAAACAAAATGTCAAGGCTTGTATGCTTTATCATATTGTAAAATCTGAGCAATATGTGTTATAGCCCTAATGAAATCTGTCATACTGTATGGTCTCACATGCACTCATGGTCTCACGTGCACTATTGGGTGCATATCATACACATGCACTTAATAGCTTGCATATAAAGCAACAACAGCACTCATTTTCAGCGATTTGCTCACTTGTCCTCATGTCACCAAAACATACTATATCCTTCTAAGACCGATGAAACTTTCTGGAGTGTGGAGTTTAACCTTAAAACACTTGCCGAAACATCAGTTTTGGTTGATTTTCAGTATGGCATGCATATTTTTTATGTTATTTACCACTAATTACCAGTGCATTGCACTAGGATATGGCAGGGAAGCTACAAAGGAAGAGCAGCTAAACCTTAATATAAAGAATGTGGCCGAATTGCCAATTTACTTCTATTATATGTTAAATTAAAATCGTGGATAACCCTGCTTTGTTATATTGAGGCTAAAAATACCTGTTTTACGAGTATGAGGTTAGATAGATACATAGATAGAAAACTTTATTGAGGTCTTGAAGGCATCCACCCCTGTTTTATAAGGGGATGATCATGGGCCGCTCCCATATAGGGACGGGGAGGCCCAGCCACACCCCGCAGCCGTGAGTTATGTCTGAGCTGCACAAGTGCCAGCGTCGCAAGTGAGAGCTTGCACCTTGGAGTGGGTTAGCTCGTTGAGACTGGAAAGACCCTCGATCTTCGAGCTAAGATGAGCAGGGAATTAAGTTATAGTGTGGTGTGCAAGCTCCGTGAGGGAGAGAGTTCTAAAGGTTCCTTGCACACGGAACCAGAAGTGAAGTCATTTAAAAGTACATCGCTATATGAAGAATGTCTTTGTACCAAACTTTTTCATATAAAGGTTTAATCGTGTAACCCACTCTCACAACTTAGTGTGACTACAAAAAAAAGGAGGGGGGCAAGTTTTTACTCCAAAGCGACAAATTAAATTATTTCAAGAACCTAATTTTTGGGGACTGTGCAAGTATTGAAAATTGAAAAAAAAAAAGACATTTTCCTTCTCTAGTCCACCAATGTACAATGACTGACTATCATGAGAAGATTTTTCAAGTGAAAACACCTGGAATTGAGTGAACATGGCAGAAGCCACAAATCAATCCTAAGTTCTGAAAGAGTGTATGGACACACCAAGCTTAACTTAAATATTTTTATTATGCAGTAAACAGCAGGAACTTCATCAATGTGCAAGGGCTTCATGAAAGTTAGACTAAAAATGCAAGACTGTCAACAAACAACATAGGCAATGTCAACTGGTGCTTTAAACAAACACCAAGGATACAATTGTCTGCTTGCATCTGTGGTACACGCTGTTGTGCAAAAGTTACTGTTTTGACAATTGAAATTCGGCAACGAATTTCTGTTACTTGAACTGCAGTGAAGTGTTTATGAGCGACTGCTCCATTGCCAACTCGTATCCTTTGGCATGGGTGCCTGGAAACTGGTGAAGGGAGTCGCATAACGCGGCATGGTGATTCACCCTAAGCTTGTGTATCCCGCAAACTCCCGCGATCAACAGTACATGCTAGACACTCAAACACTCATACATTATTGCAGTCCAAACAAGTTTCGATATCACATAAACATGCAAGAATGTGTAAAACAACAATGTGTGTGTCAAAAGTTAGTTCACTTAATCAGTCAATAATAGACCTATTGAACGAAAGAGAAAGAAAGCAAATAAAATGCATGGTAGCAACATTAAAATAACAAAAAAAGCAGCTCATCAGATCTATTTGCGGATCACTTCAACCAGCCTACAGTAAACATGGTTTTGCAGAAATAAATGCCATCTTTTCCAGATCTTCCTGCTACACTTGTCTCAGATAATGTGAAAATTTACACTGTGCCTAGTGCTTTAATAACCAGTGCTACATCCCACAAAAATAATTTATTCTTTTCAAAAGAAACAAGAAGTTCTCGAGGAGCCATTGTAGTAGTCATAATAACAAGAAGATATACAAAAGCAATAAGAAAGGCTTTACCCCATAGCACTGCCTCACGATGCAGCAGAAACATTAGCGAATATCAAATATTTTGTGCAACTAAATATATTAAGAGCCCTATGCACAAGCCACAGGCACGAGCAATAAAACGCCTATCAACACTGGAAACGCAAGCTGACCACAAAGCACAGTGCAAGTGCGCAAGGAAACTCAAGCCTTTTTTTTCATTGGATTTTCAGAACCCAGACATTCCACCACTAGAAATCTACACAACACAGTCAGAGCAACTGGTATATACCTTTATAAAGGGCCAGTAAACAGGCTCCGGCTTTTTTTTTACATCCCGCAAACAAGCTCGGTAACTCGTAGAGAAGACCGCAGTGATCACATTTTCTGAATATTACAAAGCTGCGCGCCACACAGAGCCTCCATTTCAAAACACAATTTCCGCAATTCTTTCCTACACCTGGCCAATGCTCCTTGCACACACAGTGACGACAACTCAGCGATCAGCGACGTGACGCAGCAAGCAGCTCGTCTATTGGTCTAAACCAGGTCTCAACAAACAGTAGTGAAGTCAACGACAGTTCCTGTTCCCACCACAGCTACGATAGAGCTATTCAATCATATGAGTTGCAAAACTCCCCATAGGCTCCATGCATCGTAATTGGGACACTTCACTGACCCAGTTTTTGGTAGTAAGCAGATTTTCGTGCCACCTGTTGACCAACACACCCACTATTAAGCGTATTATTTTTGTTTTTTGTGTTGCTGCTTCCAGGTGGCGCCACAGTCCACTCCCAAAATATCAAACTCCATAAAAATCAAGCCAACTTCATGTCCAGTTTTGGAATGCAGTTTTGCTGCAAATCATTGTCGGCTGCAAATCGAATGACTGGGCTGCGAAGAAGCATCGGCACTAGGTAAACAGTAAACAACCAGGCATCACAGCAAGCGGAAGTGCGACGTTGCGATTGATCAAGTTCACCAATGACGTCAATTGCTGACGTCTTGTCACATTGCCGAAGCCGACAGAGTCATGAGGATGGGCCATGCCTTCCCCTCCCTCTGAAGGAGAAGGATGGCGAGGCCGCGTGAAAATTTGAAACCAGCCGAACGCGATGTTCTAGCCCCTGTAACTTCCTTAATACGTATAGCACGAATTTGTGAAATTCTTGCGGCAGCATGTTCACAAAGTAAAAGTGCACATATTTGTCTTTACAACAGTTTTTGGACGTTAGGGTTGTTTACTGGCCCTTTAATATGCATTTGTACATACATGTGAAAGAATGTAAAGATAGTGCAGGATGCATGATGCGAGAAAGACATTGTAAACCACTCTCCTACTGATTTCTTTGATGTCACAACAAAAAATGAAAATAGCAGTCATCAAAACAGAAATGGTAGGCACACAACATGACCGATTGGGAACACTGCAAGAAATTATTATTCTAAGTGTCCTCCATTTGTTGAGCGAGAATGCATGGTTAATCAACAACAAAAAAATAAAATGTAGATAGATATAAAATAAAACTATCTGAAATTCCTTCTCATATTTACACACTCAAATAAATGTACCAATGACATAACTGTGCGTGCATGTTTTTTTTTTTTTCTCAATGAATTAGATCACAGCAATTCTTGGCCAAATTTCAACAACACAGGAAAGCTGCATAGCTGAACATTCAACCAAAACCTCTGCTATTAAATGACTTGTACACTGAAACAGCATTTTTACTTGGCCCAACATAAAATAATGAACGTCAAGGCATACTATGCTTAAAAAGTTACCATCACAATTTAAAAAATTTGCTGCATAATTTATCGACATTCCATTGTTTAAACATGTTGCCATGCTAAAGTTTTTGAGTTAAATCGATCTTTTTGAACGAGCAATGGTTGATAATTTAGGTAACACTGCTACACCATATTTTTATGTTTACACCATTTCTGGGGCATCATAGCTATAGTCTCTATTTACAATTTTATACATGTGATGTGCTAATCCAGCACAATATTATATTTCTCACATTGTTGCGGTGAATGCTCTACCTTTTGACAACATTAAATGAAGTGGTTCAACATATTAAACCTACAGAAAAAGCAAAATCCGATTGAAAAAAAGAGGGTGCTTCCCATGCAGAATTACAGCCAACATTTGTTGGAAGTTTGTTTTTGTCATCCTATTTCATGTGAAATATAGAATGAAGGCCGTACCCCATAATATAGAGTTGACATACTTCAGCAACAGTCATTCTATAGCTGTAAGTACATTGCAGTATAGTGTCATATCCTCTCCTGTGTTTCCCTAACCATGGCATCAATAGCGGAAATACCGTAAACTACACGTAATCTGTTCTATGCATTACAAAGGCTGCCAATTTTACACCTAAATTTTGATGAATGTTTTAGCAACCAACATTTGCTCCATAATGCCTACTTCCACTTGCTTATCTATCAGCATCACGCCTGCCATATTCTCTTCCATCTGCCCTTCTGAATGAAATGACATAATGTCCCAGTTAAAAATGGTAATTAAAAGCTTGCTGTTACCTTTGCTCACCTATATTTAAATAGAATAGAATTGTAGTGGAAGGCCAACAAAAACAATAATGAAAAAAGGAGGAGCAGGCAGATTAGGCTCTCAACGAAACTTATACCAGTGTCACACGGGCACTTTTAATCGTGATCAGTGTCAATCTGGATTAACCACAATCAAGATTAGGTGCTGCTACAAGTTCACATTTAATCCCGAACAGGCCTGATCGGGATCAAGACTATCGTGATCTGCCTGAGAGATCGCGATTTTGCTGTCATCTGCACTCCCTAGCCGAGTTTGTTGAAAGCACAATAAACAAGAAATCGGGGATAGTTCAATAAAAACACTTTAAAACAGCTAGATGCTCATAAAGAAAAACAAATTCTAAACTGTTTAAATTAAAATAATATCTGCAAGTAATGCATATTTTAAGATTCACATCGACCGCATGTATACATTACGGGAGAAGCAGACGACAAGCAGACGACCAGCAGTCGACCGTTGCCTTCGGCGCTTATTTCAACTCCCGCCCTGTCGAAGCTGTTGGAGCACCTAGAAGCAAACTGATTATGAGTGTCGCAAGCCTTTCGACTGCATCACAATGTACATGCACTTCGTGGTAGAATGAAGAGACCTTTAATGTGATTGGCCGCTGGCAGGAGCGACTGGAACAGACTTGAGGAGAGAGAAGTGAAACACTGGCGCGTACAACGAGGGTGAAGCTTCACTGTTACTACACGGCTACGAGCGGGGGCCATCAGAAATAAAAGCGAAGGTTAAGAATCTCACACAGCAATACAAGTAAGTGCTAAGAAAATTTTATCGAATGATGGATTTATGAAATCATATTCTAGTGGCATGCGAACTTTTTGACGTTGGAGCAGTTCTTGCAAGAATAGGCAACATTGCTGATAAAGAGCTCTATAGATATACAGTACGCCGAGTTTTGTCAGTGGCATGGTTTACGGCACGCAAATGTCACTTGGGGGCATTTCATCTGACCTAAGCTCGAACCGGATTAGCTTGGGCCATGTAGCAGCGGTCATAAAGTTGATAGCGATCAAGAAAACTGATCCGGATCGCCCTGATCGTGATTAAAAGTGCCCATGTGACACCGGTATTAGAGGGTTACTTGGTTCTACACCACAGTAGACTACATTCATACTATCAATGAGGTGATAGAGAAATGCGCAGAATACAACGAACCCCTATACATAGCCTTCATAGATTATGAGGTGTTTGACTCAGTTAAGACATCAGCGGTGATGCAGGCGCTACAGAATCAAGGCATTGATGAACCCTATACAAACATACTGGAAGAAATCTACAGCGGATCCACAGCCGCCATAGTTCTCCGTAAAGAAAGTGAAAGAGTCCAAATTAGCAAGGGTGTAAGGCAGGGAAACACAATCTCTCCAATACTATTCACTGCCTGTTTACAGGAGGTCTTCAGGGCCCTGGATTGGGTAGAGCTAGGGATAAGAGTTAACAGAGAGTGTCTTAATAACCTGCAATTTGCTGATGACATTGCCTTCATGAGTGACTCAGGAAGCGAATTACAGCTCATGATTAGTGAACTGGACATGGAAAGCAGAAAGGTAGGTCTGAAAATCAATATGCACAAAACTAAAGCAATGTGCAACGGTCTTGGAAAAAAAAAAGGCTTTTGCGATAGGTGGAGAGACGCTGAAAGTTCTAAAGGAATATATCTACTTCTGACAGGTAGTAACTGTGAAGCCGAACCATGAAAGTGAAATAACTATAAGAATATGAATGGGCTGGATCACATTCATCAAGCATTCTCAAATGATGAATGGCAATCTACCAGTAGCCCTTAAGAGGAAGGTATATAACAGCTGCATCTTGCCGGTACTTACCAAAGGAGCAGAAAACTGGAGGCGCACAAGAGTGTTCAACTTAAATTGACGACAACGCAGCGAGCGATGGAAAAGAAAATGACAGGTGTAACCTTAAGAGACAAGAAGAGAGCAGAGTGGGTCAGGGAACGAATAGGGGTTGAGGATATCATAGCTGAAATCAACAAGAAGAAATGGACATGAACCGGGCAAGTAGCGCGTAGACAGGATAACCGCTGGTCATTAAGGGTAACTAACTGGATTCCCAGAGAAGGCAAACGCACTGTTAGGTGAGCCGATGAGATTAAAAAGTTCGCAGGTATAACGTGGCAGCGGAGAGCACAAGATCAGGTTGATTGGCGGCTCATGGGAGAGGCCTTTGCTCTGCAGTGGGTGTAGTCAGGCTGATGATGATGGTGAAATTTTAAGATGATGAAAACTTTAAGGATTAGTACCTATTTTCAAACCAAGCTGCTGGTTCAAAAAGGGGCTAAAAATGAAGCACAGCTCGATCTGTAGCATCTGCTGCAACCATTTTGAGAACATGCCAACAATGCCTGTGCTCCGTATTTACAATACAACTACTTGCACATGTGCACACACATTATCAAAATTGCAGCCTTTCTAACAAGCGTCCATGCTGAACAGCCTCTGCACGTAATGTTAAAATAAAGGCTATTAAAGAAGTAACACTGAAAGAAGCCATGGTGCAGATATAATCATACGCACATAAAATAATTGCTACTTTTGCCAGAGGAAAAGAAAAAAAATGAGAATCTTCGAGGCCATTTGGGATGAGAGTATTTCACTCTAAAGACAACAATGCGTGTTTTGCCAACCGACTTAGAGTTATAGCGCATAGTTGTAATCGCTCACTTGAAGCAGGTTACTCGAGCAATCACCTCTCGAGCTTCTTGAAATGCCTGCTTAGAAGTTGTACACAGTCATGCGAATAATTGTTGCTAGAAGTTATAATAACGCTGGCCTGCTCTCCTTGCAGAATAGATGTTACAAAACATTACAAAATGTGTAACACTTCAGAAAACACTTAATTGGATGGTTCTATGTCAACACAAATACGGCGCTCTTTGTTTTAAATGTCAATTGTAAAACTGTCCAAGCCGTAGTTGAAACATTTCGCTTGAGTGACCTACGAATGGCATCACTGCAGATAGCTACAACCATCTGCCAGCCCCTGATATGAGTCACGTATCATGTTTTACTCATTCAATGAGGACATGCCAATTATGTGCTCTAACTGATGCCTCTCTTCCTGGTACAGAGTACAGTAGACTGCTGATCGACCACCGAAATTCAACCATAGACATGATTTTTAAATTAATACAACAATAAATCTCTACACTAAGCAAAATATATAGAATGCATATGTGTAAACTGTTTCCAAAGTACAAAAACACACAGCAGTGAAAGGTGACACCCGGTGGCAGACAAAGTTCACTGTAACAGTGCACACCATCGGGTCACATGTTCTATGACCTAATGACTAGTGTGACAGTCATTTAAAATTAATTACATGCATTAACGAGGGATTCTAAAAAATGCATTGGGTATAAAAATGCAGGAGACAAAAGTGCTGACATTACTGCGGTGAAAATCCCGACAGGCAAACAGCTTTCGTGCGAAACTTTGAGAAAAGTAGAGGACGCATGCGATAGCCACGCTACCAAGAACACTTCAGCAGTGTAAGAGATTTAACGAATGCAACGAATGCATCACTTCAGCAGTGTAAGAGATTTAACGAATGCAACGAATGCATTACTGTGCGCTCTAAAAACCGAAATGGGCTCTTGTGCACTTAACGAGCAAAGCTTTGAAAGCTGTTATTAGGAGGAGGCCGAGGAACCCAGTGTCACGTGTATAAAGAATGTCCGTTGGTATCACAGTACATTGGCAAGAACACGATTTTCTCTCCCGCAAGAGTCGGAGAGAAAAAAAAATCAATGAGCACCAACGAAGCAGGCCATTATCCTCATCCCCACTGTGTGGTGCAGTGATGGATACTGTCGATGTCAAGTGGATCGTGTAGCCTTCGAGCCCTCTAGTGGATCGTCATTGAGGAGTTCGTCGCTTGCAATGAGCACAGCCCCCTGGTTCTGGAAAGAGGTCACCGGCGCGTGGGCCCAGGGCTGCACTTCCGCCGTGCCGAACATCAAGAACGCCAGGCATCCCAGCATGCACACCGCGGCGGCAATGTAAAACACTGCGTTCCATCGCTCAATGGTCTCCTGCGATTTGCACAGAAAGCACGGTAACTGCAGTCATCATACTGTATTGAGCACAGCAAGACATACATACTTTCCGTAACATGTGCACGAATCATGTTTGCCAATTTTTTGGTAAAGAACCGTAGGAGAGATGGTGAAAAGTGTCGCACAAGACGAGCATTTCACCTCTCATTTTTTTCCTTCATCTATGTTCTTGACAAACCGATACAATTTGTATTAGGCCAACTATCCATTCCAGCACCTGACAGTGGCTCTCGAAACTTGATGGGGCCAAACATCTGCTCTATCACCATGTATCACACTGCCCTTAAGTCTTAATTTACACTGGGTGAATGATACACCAGCCAGTACAATGCAGAAACTCTGCTGGCAGATCCCATAAAGCAAGAAAGCCTCGAAAACTTGACTTGCTTTGCAAGCTAAAGGAAAACCAGAGGAGATACAGGCTCTTTCCTGGCTCTGTTCTCGTTTCCCTTCAGCTTGGGCAGCAAATCGAGTTTTCAAGTATGAACCAACTTGTCTGCAAAGAAGTATTGCTTTGAGAAAGCCTCCTTAATAATACAGAAATAGATATCAGAACTTGACACCCTTTATCTCCCTCTCCCATTTCTTATTATGCCTCTAATAGCACCTGACATGAACTATTACTGCGAGATGTTAAAAAATGAGGGAGAGAACATCAGCCAATAAAATGCCAAGAATCACAAGGTTGTCTTCTGAGTGGCTTGAAATGAGTTAAATTGAATGCTTGTCCGATAATATGAGCTGTACAACGAGGAATCCTTTTTGTCTCGCCCTATTTTACGATTCTACGGTGATCAACATTTACAACAAAGTACAGCGAAACCTCACTTGAGCGAAACTAAAAAAACCTCAGGAAAAAAGTCTTTAAAATGAACGTTCGCCAGCTGAAATAGCTGGTTGCAGCTTGATATCAGGAGCTAAAGATCAGTCATTGAAAAAAGTTTCAACCCTTTTATTTGCAATGTCACTTATTTGAATGCAAATTTCTACTTATTTAGTACATTTGAAAAATCTTTTGCCGCACTTGGGCTTTCAGTGGTCATGAATTGAGCCACTGTGTCTAAGCTCTCTCATAAACCTTCACCGGCACAACACTCAATTGGGAAGCAAAGGGCTTCACTTTTTTTCAAGTATACATCAGGGCTTCTCATCAGAACATATTCGTGCTTCCTCTACAAGGGTTAGTTGCTCTTGCTCCTCATCGCCTTCTTCCTGAAGTAGGACACTTGCTACAATCTCTTCTGAAAACACAGTAGCACATGCATCAATGCGAAAGTCACGGATGACATAGCCCTCAAAACATAAAGCGCTGTCTGTACCCAGTCTTTCCGACAAGTTCTGGTCAATATGACAAGATAGGCATTGAATAGTATCACAGAATATGTTTGAAGAACTGAAATGTACTCTGCACTAATTTCGTTGAACTAAAACACGTTAGCATTGCGTCCAGTGGTGCCTCGGCTGGGGACCTAAAAAAAAAGTTCATACAAGTAAGCTCTTCCCGCCAGGCAGCGCTAGTCGTGGTCCATCAGCAATCCGCATATGCCAACCTAATGTTTGGTAGTACCACTACTAATTTGTTTTCTTAGAAAAATGCTAATATACCTAATGCTGCAGAGAACTTATAAAGTGTGGTTCGACAGTGATGTTCACGAGCGAGATCACAAGTATGACGACTGTCAGGCTAGCACCCCTTGCAGATGATGTCACGTCCTGTAAAAAACCAGCACTGGAGTTTTGGCGGTTCGGTCAGCGCCACGCTGGTGGTCAAATCGCACACTTCCCCACCTTTCCCACAGATGAAAGCAGCGACTAGTAGAGGCGGTGTGGGCGCGCATCGCTGTAACAAAACCAAAGGACGCTGGCTGTACTGCTGCGCGCTTAGGAGCCACAATATATAGAAATAAGAGAGGACGTATCCGTCAGCATGGTTCTTTGTAATTCATATAAATAAGAGCATCAAGCGGTCAGGCGAAGAAACTATGTTCTGCTCTTGCCTGGCTACTGGCATCGGGCTAGTTTCTAAACTAAATTGTGCATGTCTGCTACATTTATACAATTGTCAAGACAGCCACGAGCGGAAACCAGAGCCAAACAGCCAAATTTAACCAGGGGTTTGTCGGAAATAAAACAAGTCTATTAGGCAGCATGGGGCACACATAATTTTTTTTTTCAATATCTGACCATCACCTCCAAGCTCCTTCTGATGTCACCGCTCGCCTAAGCTGCTAAACTAGCTGTTTTCAAAATACGCATGTGATGCATACTCTATGCTGACATGTCCCCATTTAACTGAAATTGTGCTACAGAGATGGTTCTTATTACGAATAAAGCAGCGGAGTACTGAAGCGTAGCTTTCTGGAGTGAGATGATCCAGTAAAGCTTCTACCTGCATCAGCTGCCGTGCCCACACGAGTTGTGTTGAATAACTTTATTTGTCCAACGGTTGTTACTGTGCCCGGGACTAGGCTGCCAGGGACGCATCGTTTGAGGAACATCTTCGGAGGTTCTCGGCGACGGCCCACACCTGGTCTTCGAGGGCCTCACTGAGAAGGGCGGCTTGCCATCGCTCAGCAAGGCGCCCCATTTCGTAAAGTCCCTCAGTTGACGTTGTCCTTTCTCGTGGCCCATCTTCATCTCTTGGGCATTGCCAAAGTATATGTGCCATATCAGCCTGTTCGTGCGCGCACCACGGGCAGCCAGGTGACGAGTGCAGCGTGGGCCATAGGTTGGTGAACATGCCCATTGCAGCCTTCTTAGGTCCACCGCCTGCGGCCTGTCCAGGCACACATGGGGTTGCGGAAATTTCTTCCGGTCTTTCCTATAGTGCTCAAGCACGTCGTGGTATGTAGCAGGAAATTCTTCTGCATAGCAGTTGGCGCACCTCTGTTGCCTTGCCTCTTCTGCCCCAACTTCATTTGAATTTATGCCTCGCTAAAGAATTGTCAAGTGTCTTGGGATGTTTACTCGGTGTTTAATTTGCGTAACTTAGTGTGTCAGCTTTCCCGCTAACCTGTGTCGCCTTAAGATAAAGGTGTTTGATCAACATGAATAATTGATAGGTTATTATGTGCCAAACAAGGTACCATTATGAGACACATCGTAGTGTGCATAAATTTGACCGCTTGGTGTACATAAATGTGCGCACAAATATAAGTACACGGGTGTTCTTTGTATTTAGCCCCATTGAAATGCGGCCACCACGGCTAGGAAACCATACCACGCCCTCGCGCATAGCAGTGCAACACCATACGCGCTATGCTACCACGGTAGTTTGCTTTATTGAAGTCTGCATCATATATACCGCGCATTGAGAATACACAACACAGAGCGAAAAATTCACACAGCTCTCTTTGCCTGTATTTTTATAACTGCAGAAGTGGGAGGCGTGGTATCAATGCAGCACATTGATACTGCCTTCTGGGATACAAATCCCAGAAGGCAGTCACAAAATGTTGACGAGGGAATCGCCATCACAGCACAGCACTGTCTCTTTGGCCCCATCAGCATATATAGGTGCAGAACACTTGGCGGAACTCCTCTCCGTTTTCTAGTGATTTCCAGTGTGAACAACATTCGGACCAATTTTTTTTTTTTTTTAATCTACAGCACAGTATTGTAATGGCCTCTCGTGCTGTTTGTGCTAAAATCAAGCACGGGAAGAACGCGTGCGCGTGCTTCCACCGCAGTACAATGCAAGTAGGTGGTCGGGGCACAAGTGGCTGAATTGTGTCGCTACTCGTCATGAGGTGCTCTTTTTCGGTGTGCCACCTATTCAGCGCTGGTCTCCCATAGTTAGTTTAGCTGACATTCATTCAAGTGGGAATTCACTGTATACTGAACATCCTAAACATGCCATCATATAGACGTGCGACTGTGCTGTGTAGCAAGAAAGTAGAATTAACTAAATTGCCCACAATCAACAATTTAATATATATATATTTTTTGATGAGATGATGTGGGTTGAACATTCAGTGAGTGACTCACAAATAAAGACGAGATCATGCATTACCAGTTACCATAAGTCACTACACAGCAAATGTGTCTCAAGCTAACAATGTTAGCCTGCACTTCACCATTAAGTCGGGAGCCACAACGTGATAATTCCAGCGAAAACACCAAATATTTGCAATAGTACACACTTTCCAGTGCTCCTCCATGTTAACAAAAAAAAAATGCACTCCTACGACCACACAAGCGAAAAATACAAGATACAACATGGTGCAATGTGGCCGTAACTGGCCAAAGTGTTACTGGAGATGCGTGTATCCCTTTCCACCTGAGCTATTCGTAGAATAAAACAAAACTTTTTTTGTGTTCTTTTCTAGCAAACAGGCTATCCAAAGCATGTAAAAAGATGAATGAGACAGTAAGTACAATGGTTTTTACAGGAGAACCATGTCAAATATACTGGGCAATAAGACTTCAACGTTTCACTTATGGTTACACACATTCTTCTTTTTTTCTTGATAGAATGTAGTGTTTTGTCCTCTGAGAAGGTTAACTGTCCCATAAACCACAGCAGCGGTTCGTTTGACCTCAAGCAAAGGTTTGTGTGGATATCAAGGTTTTGTGTGGATATCTGTCCCTCACGATGTTCAACAGCATGAAAGTTAAAGTAAAAAAAAAACTTGGGTGGGAGTGTGCCTGGCCTTCACGAACCTATTTCTCCCAAAGCACCTTTTCACGCTCTCATCATGGACCCTTTTCCTTTTCTTTAATGCCGCACGGACTCGGGGAAAAAAAACAAAAATTGACCCGCACACGTGCCTCGTGTCCTCCTCCTTCAACGTCGCTCCCTTCTTGCACTAAATGCTCTTGGCAAACTTTGCAGCTTGCTCCTGTTTCGCTTCTTTTAGGGGCGAAGCTCCTTAGGGCGTGGGCTGTGCGTCCCCTGTAGCCTGTATGTAGCCACCTCTAGTTTAGTTCTTGCAGTGTTCACTAGATGGCGGTACCGTCCCCTGTATGTAGCCACCTCTAGTTTAGTTCTTGCAGTGTTCACTAGATGGCGGTACCGTCTCCTGTATGTAGCCACCTCTCGTTTAGTTCTTGTAGTGTTTACTAGATGGTGGTACTTGTAGCTGATGATGAAAAGATGCAAGATGTTATAAACTAGAAAGCGGTACTTGTAGTTGATGAAAGACGCGAGATCTTATAAAATACGAATGATGTCACATATGGCGCGTGTCATTGGTTGAAGGCAATCGTTCGATTTAGTGCGGCAACGTACGCTAGGGGGAGCGTTGTAATAAAATCCGTTTGCTGTTGGCGTGCGCTCGGAGTCGCCGGATGGATAAGGCTGCACAGCGGAGAGAGCGCAAGGCGGCAGCAGCGCGCGCTCGCAGACAGAATCCCGATGTGCGAGCGTGCGAGGCAAGGGACATCGCAAGCCATCCATCATCTAAGAACAAATAAAAGTTGATTTGTGTATATACACACACAGCGTTTCTCACGTCTTTACATGATGATCGACTGGGCGAATTACACGGAAGATTCACAGTTTACCGATGAATCCCTCCGGAGCTTCGCCCATTCATCATCATTCACCCCGTGAATATGCCGTAATTTTTTTTTTATGTCTGGGCTAAGAGATTGGCACGTGATGCTCCCTTCTAATTTTACTTTTTTTCTCACCATGCTTAGGATGATATCCACTAATTGCTTCCTGTTGTCCAGTACACTAGACGTGATTGCCTTCTCGCTAGGCTTGCACGAATATTTGAGCATTTTTAATACTGAAACAAACATTAAAATATTTAAGTTTAAATTATGATTCGAATTATTGAAAATTTTGTACTATTCATAATGAACGAATGGGTGCATATCAGTCCCCATGCAAGCCTCTTGTAAATGTGGTTTCACTGCAGTGAAGGCCTACTCTACCATGAATACACTTTTTCACAAAAAAAAAAGTTGGCACTATTGCAAAGCTCCATTTTTAAAGTTAAATGAACATATCACCCTCCCATCGATTCTTCTCATTTTAAGTTTAAAATCTTGGTACGCTGGCTTGTGTGCTCCAAGTAAATTTCAAAATGTTACGTATTTTACAGGTTATCACTTGAATTCTAACGAAAGCCAAATCCCACTTATATTCAAAGTTGCTTCCCCTTCCATTGAACCAAAAAGAATTACATTTGCACGTGTCTTGCTTCAAGTTAAAAAAAAAATTATTCTGCTGGTTAGGTGGTCTGCTAGTTAGGTGGCTCATGACAAATGTGCTCATTTTTCTTTATAATATGCAATGTATACTATCCGAATTCGATTCAATGTTATTCAAACCAAATCACTATTCACTTCGAATTCACTTCAAAGCTAAACTTTACTATTAGCACAAGCCTACTTGTAGCATTGCAAGCAAGCATTCCGATTCCAAAGGCTACCTCTTCACGATAATTTTTCAAGGAGACACAAGCTAGCACATAAGATTTAGGTTATTTGAATAGTGCGATGATAAATCCTAAATCTTCGCCTCTACTTGAACGCACTGAGCACACGAGTTCACTTGCGGATGACACCACTGCTTCGAGGCGTCTCAATAAGAAAATGCAGCAGAGAGACGAAGCACATTATTGCTCGTCTCTCAGAGAAGCTGCAAAAGTGGCTTCAGTTTTTATTTTAGTTTTTCTTGCTTTCCTGCAGCGCTTTTTTTTTCCTACATCCTCTACGCTGGTCGCAGGGCCAGGAAAGAGATACACTTACATTGTTTTCCGTTAGGTATCCAACCACAAGTGGCGCGAAAATGCCGGCGGTATTGGAAATGCAGTTTGCGAGCCCCATGACAGCACCTAATAAGGCAAAAAAAAAAAAAGAAAAGGTAAAGACAAGTAAAAATGGGCTGCTTTCCAATCACTCCATATGCATATTGCCACACAAGTGGGGTATATGTGCATGTGCACCCCACTTCCAAAATCATTATTATTATTATTATTAGGGGTATTATATAAAGCATCTAGCGACTCTAAAAATTTACCAGACGCAGTAATGGAAGCGACATTTTACTTTTTGGAGCAGATTTTGGAGCAGAAAAAATGTAGCTTCAGAGCAGCTATTGCCGTTTTTTGAGCACATGGCGCAATGTTAATAACAACTCCTGGAGTCTAAAGCATCATTTAAACATGTCGTAAATATTCATAACATATTGTATGTACAATAATCATAGCCAATTGCAAGAAAACAAGTGATTAAGCAGATGAGTGGTCGCTGAACACTAAGTAAGATGAGCTTCCTATATTTAAAAGGTCAGTACTTGCGGCACGAATGACATCAAAGCGATAAAGCTGAGCACCAAATTACAAAACTAGGCGCAATCCCATGAAACTATCGCCAAAGTAGCAGCTTAAAATTCGTACGACATCAATTCTCACATTTCAAAAAGATAGCCAGCATAAAAAATTAAGTGAAGGCTACTTATATAATACACCAGGGGTGCAATTCAGGATGGCCCGAGCTTCTCGGGCAGCAAAGCTTGCACCGAGCACGCTTGCGGTGGTCGTGGCATGAAAACAGTGCAGAGCACGTAATAGCAGCGCTTATGAAAATGGCTACACGAACATGCGTGACGTTGGAAACGCATGTGGGACATTTACAGCGGTTATCAAAGAAACACCGTGCACAAGCACATCAGCGCGGCCGCTCACTCAACATTTTAGCAGTGCAGCGACGTCAGCGTGATTGTCGTGCTGTTTTTTCGCCAACTCAACACGCGCCTCCCACAGGTGTGTTTGTGGGCGTATGTCCTCTTTCACACCAGTTCTTTCGTTCCACCTGCAGCATAGAAATTTCCACTCTCAAAGGCCACAAGGGTGCACACGCAGCACTCTTGAGCTGCTCGTTTTGCTCCTATCAAGTATTGCGGATAAATGTACGGACAGGTGGTCACCAGGGGCGCTCGCATCTTGTCGACAATGTGGCTGTGATTGGATACGTCCTGAGCGCGGTGAAATTGAATAGGGACGTTTAGAATAATGTTCGCAGGTGTTGCAGACGTTGCTTTAGTTGTGGCTGCCATACTAGCTTTAGAATAGCACTTGCCCCCCTAGGGAAAAGTCTAGGGACTTCTGCCCCAACTGCAATCCCAAATGCATGAAAGCTACACACCGCACTTCGAGGGCCTCGGGGGCCGCGATTGCAGCAAGCTATTTCAGATTTTCTGCGGGCGGGCCGTGAACACAAACAGATGCGCAGTGGCAGCGACCGCACCCCAAGGGCTCGCGGTGCACTGTTCTAAACCTCCCTTATAGTAGCCACATGGTGACATAACCTTTACTTCTGCATGCGTGTGTGCCCCGCCGCGGTGGTCTAGTGGCTAAGGCACTCGGCTGCTGACCCGCAGGTCGCGGGTTCGAATCCCGGCTGCGGCGGCTGCATTTCCGATGGAGGCGGACATGTTGTAGGCCCGTGTGCTCAGATTTGGGTGCACGTTAAAGAACCCCAGCTGGTCGAAATTTCCGGAGCCCTCCACTACGGCGTCTCTCATATGCATATAGTGGTTTTGGGACGTTAAACCCCACATATCAATCAATACATGCGTGTGTGCATAGTCTGCGCTATAAAGCTGGTACATGAACTATGCGCTAGCTGGCGTTGCGGCGTGAGCACTGCTCCTCAGTAAGGGCAAAAGTGGTGGACAGACTCAACATTTGCCGCGGGCGTCTGTCACTCAAACTGATAGACGTATGAACTCGGATACAAACTCGTTGATTTTGTGAAGGCCCGAGTTCAACTCGTGACTGTGATGGTGCCGGTGTGACTGTTAAGCGTTTTATGCGGTGAACGCTACACGGCCACAGAGAGAGAGCACCCCTGCGCACATGCAATGCGCTTTTTATTTCCCTCTATCTGTGCACTGCGCTTCTCTTGAAACGCCAACTGCATGTCACAGCGGTCGTGTGCGGTGCGGACCACGTGTCACTGGCACGCCGGTGCGCGTTTCTTGCAGTGCAGTTGGGAGTGTTCCCATGCTCTTGTGGGATGCAGACAGCGTTCTTGTAGACGAGCACCGCTTGAGAGAGCTCAGCTGATGGGCGTCTCTTGCACTGCCAGTCCCCAGTCATGACAAGGTGCACTTCTGTCCTCAGTGGAACGACCAACAAATGAAAGAAGATGCCTCTGGTTTGAAAACACCGCCCAACTTAGTAGACCGTCCTTGACACGATGACTAGCTCCATCATAACCAATGAAATGCAGCGCACTGAGGGGTTGATTTGACTTTCTCGTACCGTTGGCTCGTTCATAAGGGGGTGTCGGCAGAGCTCGGGAAGATCCCGAGTTTCATGAACTCAGCCTATCCTGCATAGTGCCCCAGTTCTTGTGGCATTAATGAGGTAAAAGTTGATCTAATATTAAATTTAGTCGGTCACACATCAAACTCATCACAGCAGAAGTTAGTAACCACTATTACATCGAGTCATCATCATATACATTTCACCAAAATAATCTGCTTGTCAGGATCAGATATACAGCTAAATCAGACATATATAGTAGTACCTGAACTTCTGACATTGCTAGTACACTCACGTACAGCCAGTATGCAGTTAGTAAGCAAGCTGTATACTAGGATCATGGTACCTGTATACGTCTTGTTTTGGGTTTTGTGCGAGTGTGCTGAACGATCATACAATTATTGTCCATTGTTTTCTGTTACACGATACCATTTCGGAGCAAGTTTGGAGCAATCACTAACACTTATGACACTTCGGAGAAGCACGTAGCAGCATTTCTCTTTTGGAGCAGCTTGGAGCGATTGAAGCGGCACATTCATCACTGCCAGATGTGCAGCCACACAGAAGTTCGTCAGAACAGTCTACTGCAGACTTGCTGAGCCACTAGACTATACTGCCATGACCATGCACGTACAGTGCTGTTTGTGCAGTTCCAGTCATTACTGGAGCTATCTCACAGTCTTATTTGAAAGACCACTCACCTTTTATCAACTTCCTGTACTGCGAACCCCCCATCCCCATTTCGTCACCCCTCCTCACTTTCCATGCATATTCCAATACACAGTCAATGTGACAGACATTGCTCAGATTTTTGCTGACATTATTACTAAGCACTGCGTCAGACCACAAGGTACTGTGTCAGACCACAAAATGCAATGGTGAATCAGATCAATGCAATGCAGAAAAATCAGATCCCACTATGCAACAAAGACGACACGATACTGAGATGATGCAAAAGCAACAGCTCAGCACAAAGACAAGCAAAACATGGTGTGCTTATCTGACCATGGCAGCCAGGCTTTGAGCACAGCTTAAGCGAAGAAAAGATATGGTGTAAAGAAGCACTGCCTAGAGAACACAGTCAGAGTTCAAATTTCAAGTCGACACTGAGAGGCGTTTACGGTGCAGGCGCCAAATTCGGTCTATGACCTTGAGCTACAGCAAGCGCATCTGTGACCTAGGCCGATTGTATCTGTTTATGCGCCAAGCAGATACATTGGAACCCCAGCAGCCATACCCAAGTTACGTTAGTCACCTCGTCACTGTTACCTCATTTGCCTCGCAATGCCTTTGTTTACATATACCAATTCGTATTGTAGATGTGCCTTTATTTGTGTTTTCTTGTAAATTATTTTGCAAGATGTCTACAGGTACACCTTTGACAATGTAAAAGCAGCAAAAATATTTGTTAGCAGATAATTCCTTTCAAATGAGGCATATGTAAAAAAACCTTTTTGTAGTGGAAGATTCGATAACCCTTCAATTGTGGCGACATTTCACACCATACACATTGTAATCACATAGGTCAGATGAGAATGCCAAGCACCAAAAGCAAACACATTTTATGAGTTTAAAAGAAGCCAAATGTCTTGTTTATGTCTTTTATTGACAGAAACACCAATTCTACTTCCCTGTCATCACCACTGGTGCAGTGCTGTGTGTGGTGGTGTATTTGCGGCAATGTAAAATGTAGCGAGGCACTTCCAACAAGAGCATCTAATTAGAACTCAAGTACATTAAATGTTAATTATATTCCTTATTCTTTTCAACTGAAGAAAGACTTGTATCAGAATGATAACAATATATCTACCATATACATAGAACGCAAATAGTTTCTCGTACAAAAGCGAACTGAGAAACCATTCTACTACATGATTAAATAATATTCACAGGGTAAAAAAGCGACGTGTCACTTGCCAGCAAAATCAGGTGCAAGGTCAATGGGCAAGACAGCATCACCACCATAGAGAACACCAGCACACGTGTTGGAGAGCAGAAGCATCACATAGGCCGCAACCCAATTGCACCGAGCAAACGTCAATCCAACAAGTCCGACACTAATTGCACAAAGACCTGCAAAGCAGGAAGGGTTCAGAGTGTAAAGGAAAATGAAACAATCTCGAGTTAGGCAGAAGGCATCACACTCCCGTGACAGTCACATGGGCAGGTACTGTATTTACAGTAAAACTGCAGTTCTGTCACAGTTCTCTCAGTTTAATGCAAGCTAAAGACAAGTTTGGAGTAAGTGAGAGGGCTCGAATGGTAAAGTAAATATACAGCACTTCAAATAATGACAGGACCCACGGCCAATGAATATGCATCATTCAACTTTATTTTTACACATGCCACCCAAACACGCTCATGCCTTGATATGTATCTCGATGACTACCAATCCACGTCATAATGTGCACAATAATTAAAAGCCTACATAAACACCCAAGCACTAAAGACATTTTTGGTAGGTGCAAAGCTTCCGTTTAACTGGAATACCACATGCCAATGCACTTTGCAACAATCTTCCCAAAGCCGTTATCACTGCCACCAACCATGACCATTATAATAAACAAATGAACATACATTCTAATACTGTATAATAATTTCACTCCTTTTTCATTGCACACAATTTGAATTAGGCCTGTAAAGAACTTCTAGGCCTGAATTAGGCCTGTATAGCCCATTGCTGGCTATCTTTTGGCAAGATTCTTATATGACAGGGCAAAAATCATCTCCACCCTTAGTTTTTTATGAGATGCGAAGCAGCTCTTTGACTAGCCTGTGTAATGCTGTCTGTCCATGTCTCTGTGCCAATGAGTCACAGATGTTGGGGCGATGTCAAGTAAGTCACGCCTCCCCTCGCAGTGCATGGTGACAGCACTCTCTCGTTCGCCTTCCAGCCCTCGCCGTGTGTCACCTCTCTCTCGCTTCACCCTTTTCACCGCTCGCAACATTCGAGTGAACATTGAGTGAACACTCTTTAGGCTTGTTTATTTACAATGAAGAGGACGACAGAGAGCGAAGCTTCTCTTCCCGCTAAAACATGCGCTGAAGCGATTTGACCTAACCCGGCCGTGCCCGGCATTACGAGGGTTAGCAGAGCCGATCGTGTTTGTGAATTGCAACATGGTGCGAGCGAGGGAAGCCGAATGCAAGCATCGGCAGTAGAAGACGAACGACACTGACGAGGTGCGAGTCAAGCACGCCGATCCCGTTCGACAACATCAGCAACGTCTCAAAAGCGCCGCGCGCCCAGTGGCAAAGTGCCCGCCCGCAGGCACCAGGCTCCGCCAGCCGATCCGAAGGCGACCTGGAGAGACGATCTGGAACTTCTGGAAGACACTCCTGCCCCGAGTGTGTTGCCGTGCACATCGGTGACGTCGCGATCCTCACGTTGTGCCTCGCTCCTAACCTGCCGAAGGAATGAGTTCAGCGCTGTCTGGAGGAGACGCTGGCTGATTGCGGCGAGGCGTATCAACGCGCACTTTTTATAGTAGCGGGAGACTTCAATATTGACGTCAGCGGAAAAGGAGGAGAATGGCTCGTGGATTACATGCACGACGTGTGCTCGCTGAGGTGCGTGTCAGTGGAACGGAGACTACCCACCATGATAAGGGGAACATGCATAGATCTGCTCTTTGCCGATTTTAACGTCGAATGTCTGCAGGAACCTCTCGGCGTGCACTTCACCGATCACAAGGCCGCGGTAGTCAAGGCAAAACGCGCCAGCTCCGGTCCAGCACCCATGTTCACTCTGAAGACACCAGCCATCACTTCAAACGAATCTTCCAGCGCTCGCCGCAGCACCTGCATTAGCGCCGTTAAACCCGTGATGCCACCCGTGCACAACACTGCTGCTTCGTATCCCATCAGGGTTCCCTTTGGGAAGATGTCGTTCATATTTTACAGCAAGGATCTCGGATGTGAAGTAGCAGTAATAATTGCGAAACCAGGTAAATATAAACTGTTATCAACATACCTAGGCCCTCAAAAGTCTTTCTTACGGCAGTTACACTGAGGACTTCTTTCTTGCGAAGCCTGTCAGCCAGACAGCCACATAGAATCCCGACAAACGCCTGGCCCAGGTATATGCTGGCGTTCATATAACCATTCTAGAATGAAAAGTTGTAGCATGTAACATACTTCAAAGAAACACCAAAAGTAGAGTTGAATAGATGGATTTACTCATTTAGAAATCTACCACCTTTTTCTGCCTGCCCGTGCACAACTTTGTGGCACAGAAAATTGCCATTGAAATGCAGTAGTAAGGAAAGCCGAGCTAGTTGGTACGAACACATTGCAGAATAGTGCCAATAACAGACAAGGACACTGGTGGGAGAGTCGTCTTAATTGCCTGTGTCCCTATCTGTTATTTGTGATATTTCGCAATGCCTTTGAAAGAATGCTGCTCCTGAATTTGAGCTGGACACACAGAAATTAACAAGTTGGCGTTATCCATATGTGACCCTCATGTCGGTAGCTAGCTTTCCGTAATTGAGCCCTGACATCATGACAAACAGCACAACCCCAAAATAAATGGCCCTGCAGCAGCTCAGTTTTCAAAATCTTCTAATGATTCATATTTATGCAAGTCTTACCTCTTTATCTAGCTCAATTTATTACAATCAATGGCCAATTTTCGTATGCGCAATTTGCACAACACATCTCATAGTTAGAGTGTATTAGCAGCACAGCTGCATATTTCATGGAGCCAACGTACAAGCACGTCTGAAATCTCACACGCTAAAACCCTTCTCCACCTGATTTTTATGACTTTCCTGTTGTGACAGGAAGTCTTAAATTACATTTATCACCACCACCATCATGCTGATTATTTTGCTAATCTATGGCTAACAGTCACATGATGGAGACACTTCAATAACCACATGCATTGATGAATGTTACTTTATTGCATGGTGCATGCGAGAAATCGAAAGATACGGTTAGTGGCACATACCTTTTGAATATCAAAGTGTAGCACGTTGGAAAGATAGCTCGGAAGCTCCGTGAGCAAGGTGTAAAATGTCCAGCTTGCACAAAACTTGACAAAAGCACAGAGCCACACTCCCCTCGATGTCAGTATGCTAAGCCAGGGCACAGGCTGTAATTAAAAGAAAAAACTATTGATCAACTGAAAAGAGAAAAACTGCCTGCCCTGGCCATGCACACATGATATAAAATGCAGTTGTATAAAATTAATGCCATTGATGTACAGGGGCACAGTCACAGTTTATGCCCTTCATACATAAAACATGACTATTTTCCATTAGTAGAATTCTCTGCTGTTGCAACACAACAATGTTGTGCATACAAGGTCTGTTAAAAATGTATCTGACCCTAGGTGAAAAAAAAAAAAAAAAAACTGGCATAATTGGAGCATTGGAAACCTAATTTTCCTCAAAGTAGTTCCCTTGGGACTCCACACAGTCTTCTGCCAAAAAAGTCTGAGCCAAGTGTGAGGCATATGCAGGAGTACGGTCGTGATGGGTGCGCCAGTTTCCATTTGACCACAACTCAGGTTTCTTACGCAGCACACCATCACGTAGGTGACAGAGGACATCCTTTGTAGTACTCTTTAATGATTGTTTGACCCTGCAGTGGGTACTCATGGTGTACCACACTGTGGGAGTCACAAAAAGAACTCAGCATCACTTTGACGTTGCTGTGCACTTTGTGGACCTTCTTTGACCTTGGTGACGTGGAATGCTTCCACTGTGAATACTGGAGTTTGGTTTCCGGGTCATACCCATACACCCAAGACTCATCACCAGTGATAACGGTGTTCATGAAGATAGGGTCACTGCTAGTAAAATCCAGCATGTCCAGTAAGGCTTCAACACAAAGTTGCTTTTGCTCCACCGTGAGCAGTTTCGGCACGAATTTCACCGCAACTCTCTTCATGGCCAAATCTTCTATCATAATGGAATGCGCACAGAAAGTGCTTATGCCCACCTCTCCCGCAATTTCCCGGATAGTCACACGACAGTCCCAACGCATCACCGCAGCGTTCACTTCGGCAATGGCCTGGTCATTTCGGCATGTTGATGACGGATTGGAGCGTGGCTCGCTCCCCACGAATATGGGACCGTCTTTAACCAGATTGTACCACTTCTTAATCTGTGTGAGGCTCATAGCGTCGCCACTGAAAGTCGTCTTGATCTTTCGAATGGTTTCCACATGGCTGTCGCCCAGTTTCTGGCAAAATTTGATGCAGTAGTGCTGCTCCAGTCACTCGGTCATTTTCCTTGCAATGAAAAACCGACGAGAGCACTGCGCACTAGCTCACTCAAACGCTGCATCCCAACGACTGATGCTATTGCCAGGCGAGGGAAAAATTCACGCATGCGCACAAAGGTTCAAGGTCGGCTAATGCAAGCGCGCTTGTTTCAAATCCATCAAGTGCTCGCAAAAAAAAAGGTAGATACTTTTCTAACAGGCCTCGTGTATTACAAAAATAATAGAACTTCGCGTCCGGATCATTACATGCTAATTATGCCTCAACCAACGGGAACAATTTTCCGTCACATCTGCATTCTGGCTGTCGGCCAGGGTCCTGCAGCCATGTCAGGAGCAACCTAAATTGATGCCACGAAGGTTGCTCACACTAATTAGAAGAGCCAACATTCACAGGGCAAATGGCTTGCAAGGTATGGGGTAGGTAATGGTTTCAACATCAGTGTCTCAGCAGCAGAAATTCACAGGCAACAAAACCTGTGATCTTGTAGGCCATGTAATAAGGTTATTTGCGCCGTACTTTGGCTAAATCCCCCCGTGATACCAAATTACTTCTGTATAAAACCGTTGATTCGCTCTATTCAAGAATACCCATCTGTCGTTTGGTACCCTCACAAACAAGGTGACCTAAATATCCTTGATAGCGTTCAGCGTAAGGCCATCCGCTTCATATGCCGTAACTACAGCCACAACTTCTCACTAACACAGGCTCTGCAATCACTGAACATTGTACCATTACATTCTCGTTATTGCATCGAATCTTTAAAACTATTATATACAGTCATCAACTCCTTTCCTGGCATCTTTGGTGGTAACTGCATCGCATTTATGGAAGAATCTTGCACCCACAGCTCCCACATCTTGAACATAAAGCCTTTATTTGCTCATACTAACACATTCAAATTTAGTTTTTTCCCACGTACTATAGACCTCTGGAATTCCCTATCGGGCTCATCCACTCCTGCTATAACTCATCCACTCCTGCTATAGCCCTGCATTAGAGCTGCAGTATATTCAAATAAATAAAACAAATACATAATATTATTTGCAGGGGTTTAACAACCCAAACCATGACATTGTCGTGACTGAAAGCTGGCAGGATGAACGAGGACAAAGAAGTGACGAGCACGAGCAGCAACTACGGTTCAGATCTGAGGAAGACGACGTCGAGTCTTCTTGCTCTTGTTTTTCGATCTGTGATTGCATACCTTGTTTTTCCTTGTCTCACCGTGGTCCTGTCTCCTGTTATTTCCACGTTGCAACAATATGATTATGAGAGACATAGTAGTGGAGGTATCTTAAAATTCCACCGCCTGGGGATCTTTAAAGTGCACCTAAAAAGTACGCAGGCCTCTAACATTTCGATTCCATCGATAATGTGGTCGCCGCGGCCGGAATTTGATCTCCCGATGTACGGGTGAGCAGTCGAGCACCATAAAAACTAGACCACCGTGGCGGGTGTAAGCTATTTATGAACAAGTGCACGGACAATTTGCTGTATGGAAAAAACAATGTCAAACCCATCTATAAAAACCACAACTTGAGTTTAGAACACTGAAATGTGAAGATCAAGCTATGCCAGTAGCATGCAAAACAACAGGAATTATCAAACCTTCTGGCCTCACAAAACTCCACCAGCTTTTCCAGAATGCCACACAACCGATAACTTGTTTGTGTACTTACAGCGTGAGGAAAATCAGAATGAGGAAATGGGGAGAGTGATGCCTCTTTTCAATGTGAGCAACGGCAGTACGAACACGAACGCATTGACCCGTTATATATAATCTCACAGGCCATCACTACAGAACTTTCAATAATACATAGACAAACTAGTGATACACCTCTTCTCCCCCTTCTGGCCGCTACGTGAGCTGCGCAACGCACCAGCTGACTGTACTGTGCATGCTTTAAGTACCGTGCACCGTAAGCAACAAATGCACACCAATAAAATACCGCAGAAACAAAAGCCTGTTTCATATCTTGAATATCAAAAATGTCAAATACGCTAGTCGCACGGTGAAACGGCCACCAGCGAACCAGTGGTGAGGCTGAGCCAAAATACTTGTGCAGCCCACCCACAGCTGCCGCGCAGAAATGCCTCGCGCTCATAACAAAACACTCGTCGCGCATTTCCTTTACCAAGCCAACGCAGTTTAGTGGCAGATCAGCATGTATGAAAACTGAGCCACCTGAAAGCCAGCATACCGTGAGCCACAAATAAAGCATGCCTGCTATTGTTGTTTGAACAGCCAATATCTTCCATATCTGCTTGCAACACTGCTGCATTCATACCTACACGAGTGTTACGAACTACACTCACGAGCATGAATTACCATCACTTCAGGCGCTCTGTCACTGCAAGTCCGAAAGCTTCATGGTGTGCACCAGGCAACGAGTTTTCAGGTGCCCCTACATCCTAATTACGCTCACCTTGTGCACCGAGAAGATGGCGTCTCGAGAAGTAATTATATGGTATTTTTCCTCTGCTGAAATGAACTTGTGCTTTTCAGGACTGCCAGAGGCAAGGAGGATCCAAAATATGCACCATACTACACCTAAGAGGCCTGGAGAGAAAAAACGTTGAAGGCATATATAAACAGGAAAGTTTGATGTGGTGACCCCCAGGCGCATTTATTTTTTCAAAAGCTGGGGTACGTTCATTATTAATAAGGCTGCTCATTTAACCTCAGTCAGGAAAATGGCCACGCAACCAGCATCAAACGGAAACGTACCAGCATCATACAGAAAATGCAGAACACACAAGTTGAATAATGGAATTTGTGGCACACAGTTAGTCCAAATGTGATTGCCACGCGTGTTACTTTGATCATACGTATTTCACCCGCAAGAAATGTTTGCAATGCTCGGAGCTCTAAACTGCAAGGTTATTCCGGACGGCGTTACGAACTTTCACCGCTACAGCAAACAACCTGATGCCATCACATCATGCGCCTTAAGCCATTCTATGCATGTTAATAAAACTGAGGACTTCAGTTTTGCATGCTTTATAATTGATCTTTCGTATTGCACACATTTTTATGTTCTGTTTTAAGCATCGGGCGATGCTACTTTCAGAGAGGGGCATTGCCACGCAGGTTATTTTGATGCGTATTCAAATTTCAAATGTTTGGCACAGACCGCCCTGCAATGTTTCAGAAGCTTCACGATCATTTAAGATCATTTTGTTAAGATAGCGCACAGGACACATATGATACAGTATAGTCGAACGCTTGCACAAGCACCAGCAATATCACTGGAAGGTTCGGTGGCTACTGTTTGAAATACAACGAGTTCTGCCGATGATCAGATTAGCGATGGCCGATGTCCTGTCCACCGCTGTCAGTGTAGTGTGTGTACTGCTTGTAGTTTGAGTTAATAAACTCAAATAAAAAAAGTTTTGTCTTAAAACCAACGTCAGCTGCTTTCTACAGTATGATGACCAGCGACAGTATCATAATATTCTACAATTAGTCTTTTGGAAGCCAAGACTTGGTTCTAGGGTAACAAGAAGAAAAATATGTGTTTCAAGCTACATGTACAGCTGAGCATAAAAAGCTGCACATACCTGTGAGATAAAAGACAGATGGCCAGCCTCCCGCAAAACCATGCTTGCAGAGCACAGCTGCTAGGGGTAGCGTGACCACGGTACCCAGAAGGCTGCCAATGTTGCTCACGCTGGTCATCATACTTCGCTCACCAATTGGTGACCACCGGGCAAGCAAGGCATACATGGACGGGTAGGTCACGCCCTGCACAACGATCATACCACCCCCTAATAAACCCTTCAGAATATTCAGTCAAGCAACATGGCTCTTCCACCATATCTTGTTCACTCGTGCGAGCTGTGTGTCCCAGCGACACCGATGAGCATTTCTTGCAGCGCACACGGACACCGCTTGCGTTCCTGCAGGACATGTATTGTGTTTGGACGGTACGCCAATGAGCATCTCTTGGGTGAACAAGACATGGCGAAAAAAAATGTGTTTTCGGCTTTGTTCGATAGATGGCGTTGGATTTCGAAAAAAGTCTGTGGAGACACAGAATTAAAATACATGAAACCCTGGAGTGGGAACTTTAAATAAAAGAAAAATTCTGAGTGAAAAACAACAATGTCTTACATTTGCAAGTAAAATGAACAATGGTACAATGACCAAAGCTTTTCACTGGACAGCCTGATTGCAAGTGCCAAGCCTCGCATTTGTACAGCTTCAACATGTTTTTATTTTTTTTTATTCACAATGTATATATCTTCTTGAGTAATGCAGACTTTCAACATTTCGAATAACCATCGCAAACAGCTATAGTTCAACTTGTTTATGAGTGTTAAAGTGATGACTCAGGACGATATGTAACATTTAAATCATAACTGCCATCGTCATCTACGTCCACGGCAGGACAAAGGCTATGTAGAGCCACAACATACCGTGCCATAATCTAACACATTTAACTACGTATCCACACTACGTGCGGACTACCAGGGGTGCCATAGTAAGGAAATGAATGCTACCTGCTGGAGTCATGTACAATGCACTAGAAATCCTAACACACATGCTTTCACTGTGACCTATTTACTTGCACCAAAAACAACGGAACCAATCTTTAGACAAATCTTCTCTGTTAGGTTTTTTGCATTAGTAAACATGTCTCAGCAAATTCACCCCAACAAACTAAACCACTTCATATATTGCACTTATTAGGCCAGGCACATTAAGTCAATACATTATACCTACTAGGCTGAGCTCATTAAGCTAACCTTCAGTGGGGTAAGAAAAGCAAAGGAAAGAAATCTGTTAAGGAGGGGAGAAGGTCACACTGTGCAACCTCTGCCTCGTTCAACCAAAGCATCTGTATCAAAAATAGCCTCCAAGAATAATCTCTACAACTAAGCAAAAAAATGTGGCCCCGTTCTTTCCCAAGGCTAATTATATTTACATGCCAGCTGCTTAGTGTGATTGGAACAGAAAGTTTTTTGGCAACGCTACTATTTAATTCACACACTCTAGATTACTGCTTATCGAGGACACTCGACGCTACGTTTCACACCTTTTGAGGGCAGCAAATGTCACAAGATGTCAGTAAAAAGGGTGGCAAGAGCCTTTTGCACATGCACAATCAACTCAATACTTTTCACAAAGCTTAAGTGACTGCTCCTATCAACAAACGGTAAAAAAACTGAGGCAGCTGTTGGTTACCTCTGCTATTCCTTCAAGAACTCGAAGGACGAGGAATGCAGCAAAGCTGGCTCTCGCGACTAAGGCTGTGGCAAGCGTGAGAAGAGAAGTGACGCCGATTCCTCCAACAAAGATCCATCCCGGATCTATAACTTCGGAGAGCCAGCCTCCAGGGATTTGAGTCACGATGTACCCATAAAAGAAGGCATTGAGCACATAGCTTTGTGTTTCTTGGTCCCAGAGGAACTCCCCAATCTAAATGCGAAAGGAGAGAGACAGAAAAAAAATTAATTTCTATTAGTGATGCTGGGGCCTAGCAAACTAAATTTATAATAAATAAAAAATACAAGAGATTTTGACAGAGATGGGACACTGATTTTACAGGGGTTTAAGCTTGTGTTTTCCCATTTATATCAAGTAAACTGACCCTCGGCAGGCTTACACATCATATATGTGAATCAATGCAGACACCTGACTGTACGTGAAAATTTCGACATGCTGGCCCGTTTTTATGAGGGTGCCCTTTGTCGTACTTGGCACGGCTTAAGTTCACTTCCACAGTGCTCAGGTGAAGCCATTCTATACAAAAAGATAGTGGCAGGATAACACTCAGGGCAAAAGGCAATGCAGTAAATTGATGCACCATAATTAAACACAGAGGAGAAGCGTGTACCTCTACACACAATCGTGCTAAACTAAAATGTTTCAACAGTGTTCAAACCTCTGTCAGTTTCCCTATTACCAATCATATTTTTGCTCTTGAGCTTCGTTCTTATGATTGACTCTCACTGACAGTTCTGTAGTGAAACGCAAATGGAAAGTGAATTACTCGCTTTCAATACCCCTCAAATGCTTTCTGATTCTCACGTAGCTGTGAGCTACAAATTTTACGACTTCCAAGATCTGTTCTTACTTTGTGATGCAACAAGCAATATTCCAGGCTTTGTCGTAGCTATGATATGCCATGCATAAAAAAAGGGCCAACCAAAAGGGAAGCGGTTCTCTTTCGGTTGACCACAGCGTTCACTTAAACGAATTAACATTTATTCGTACGCTTTGTACGAAATTAGAGGTTTAACATAGCCTTGAGCCATGGGTAGTCCCACGGCAAAACGCCAAAAAGACGGGTTACCACCCGCAGAAGCTTGCGAAAGACGCTATTCATCATCCCAACTCAGTTAATTGTTTGGTACTCATTTTGTAATCAGTACGCACAAACACGTAGCACAAGTGCACGAGCATTTCATGCTAGCAGGGAAGCAAATAAGGATAGAGGTGGAGAAAAAATGAGCGCTATTTACAGGAATGTCGCTTTGATTGGAGAGCGAAGAGCCACTGGCAGGCGAAAGAGGACACTCAGACGTCAACACTTTGCTCTGATTGCCCTGCGTGGCTGTGGTGTTGACCATGGCAATGATGGTCACACTGAGATTCACCCTCATGGAGTAAACCAAGAAAATGCCGAAAGAGATCATGAACAGCATGAGATGACGCACTTGAAGCCCTGCAACAACCAAGTTACGCAACGCATTCAAGCATCATCAGCTGACGAAAACGCACGGCACAAGGACAGGAAGAGAGCCCAGTAACGCAACCCGTACAAATGAGTCAGTCATGCATAGAAATGAATTTAAGCTGCTCACGTCTCCGTTGTGTGAGAACAGCGATGTTAGGAACGTCTTCTTGCGATTCCATCGTGATTCGCAGATGGCCCCAAGAACGCTGAAACGATGCTGTTTTTACCTCGGTGCTGTTCAACTGTGCTTCCCGGAACAATCGCGCGCTTACGCGGCCTTGGACGGTTGTTTGGGTCTGCGGTACACACCTAGCGTTATCGCACGAATCCCATACAAACACATGCGTGCACTGGTAGCAGCAGTAGCATACCCAAGCAGACGTTCAGCAGTTCACGTGACCATGTGTTGATGGTTCTTATCCCGACGTGCTGGTGGCGCTAACAAACGTGCTTAACATCTATCTACATATTTATCCAGTATCAGAAAAGCGCCAATTTCAAACAGCGATGATAGCCACCCGACACACGAGCGTAGCTGCGGTGGCTAAAACGCAGCTACATATTCGTCATTGGAACACGTAACTGTTGAAATAGTTTACACTTACCACTGAGGACTCATTATTCATCTTTACAGAAACAAAGGATGAGCCGAGATAATATATTTGTCTCCAAGTGTGATCCAAAAAAAGAAGCTTTACTCGAGATTATTCAGTCTGTTCATTTAAAAAATAGTCGAAATGTTCATTATGGCATCATATTTTACGAGCCAATGCCCAAGTATCATCATTCAAATTACTTTAATTAGCTCATTATTTACGCGTTTTTCACGCTCATATGCATTACACTGGAGACTACTCTGCCATACTGTCACCAATGTTACACTAAACATTACTTAAAAACACTGGTACTTTTTAATCCAATTGACTAAACTAATGGCAGATAGAAAAAGCTATAGGTAATCCTAATTAAGTTAATCTATCGGTTAACAGAAAACGTGCATGTTAAAATTTGGTATACTACAATGTATAAAAGTATAAGTTACAAACACATCATTAATTCTTCATTTTACAAAAATACCTAGTGTACTTTAGGGAAAGAATCATTCAAACAAAAATTCTTGGTAAAGTATTGTTTGCGAAATAACCCTTATTATTTCTGTATTCACTGCAGAAAACTTGGAGAGAGCCAGGATTATATATTGCTGTACATAGAGTTCGCTGTCATTTTACCAGCCAACCATCACTATCAACTATTGCAAATTAAGAGTGACCCTGTTTCACTCAGCCGACTCTTCATGACATCCTGGTGCTTTCTGCAAACAAACACTTACCCAAATCCTAGGGGCACATCACATTATTTGCATGTATATACAAATAAATGCAAGTTTTGCCAAAAAAGCGCACAGGCTCAATCACATAAACTGGGATTTCTCTCGAGCGCCCACACAGAACAAAGCATATTGTCTGATAGAGAGCAGTGGGAGACCATGCAACACAGCTTGGATCTAGATGACAGACTCGAAAGAAGTTCGGCAAGACAAATATGCCGCCAGGGCCCAAGAGCTATTGCACAAGCAGCCTTCAACTATTGAAGAAGGAGCTTTGCCTCATAATTATACTGATTCACAATAAGGTTGCCTCTCCCTTCTTCATGAGAAGTGTGTTATTGTAACTGGTGAAGGCAGGTGCATTTTCATTCTCTCATTTGTCGTATATTTACTTACAGCATTAAGGTAACTTTCAAAACAGCGATACCTTTGTGAGAATGTAGGTAATGCACATTTCATTTCAAGTTCTAGAATGTATGTGAAAACGTGCATTCCACTGAAAAGTAACAACACATGGTGAGAATAAGAATTTCAGTACAGAAATAGATTGCCTTTGGTCCACATAATACAAATATTTTTTTGAGAGTGATGTTACATAAATCACAAAGTTTATCTGGCAGATCAATAAGATAATTTTGCTTCTAAGAAACTTTAGTGCAGTGTTCACTGCAGTGTTCTGCTGTGGACACATGAGAGACATGAATTCTTTATGAGCATACACAAACTTTTATTTATCGCAAAATAAGTGTACATTCATAATTCAGAAAAGATGCACACCCCATTTAGTTTTTTTTTTTTTTACGTAAAACTCATTGTAGAAAGAACTGCATAAATGGTAAAGATGGCTCAACAAAAGCATACAATTAACAAACTCTCACCACAATTACTTTACAGCAAGGGTATACAAACGGTCACTGAAAATACAGTTAAAAATAGATGTAGCGAAACCTGATTTTACAAAGTTTCCATTCTAATGAAGAAATTTTGATTTTCCAACTGATAACCACTGAGCTCGCCATTATATTCACTCCAAACTAACGAACTAGCTTAACCAATATGCTGCTAAACTCAGTTTAACAAAGTTTTTTTCTTGAAATACATCAGCAAAAAGCAGTGATTTCCGTCCAATTTAGTGGATACAGGTCTTTCTTTGAGTGTGCGCTCTAAAGCTATCAAATCAAAATGTCCATCCTACTAACGGCCCTGCTTTTAGTTTGATGAGGCTGCGCACCACACCAATGTATGGAGCAATGGACTCAGCAGTCGGTAGCACTCCTACGTACTGGATGGTGCTACAGGTGGCGGTGGTTGGTTTTGTGGTGTCATGGCCCTAATTGCCTCCTTGCCACTTTCTCTTTCGGCCTGTTTGTACATTTGCTTCATTCCTTCTCCGTGTCTCAGCACACTATATTGCTCGCCCATCATTGCTTCACGTGACCATCTTTCTGGCCAGAATAGCCTAGACATGGTGCCATCCATGCCTGGGTGACGTGGGAGGCTTCAGGTCAGGGCTGCCCTCACAGAATTTGTGATATGCACAGGAGTAGATTTGTGGCAAGAACAATGGCCTGGTAGATTTTGGTTGTGGTTACACTGGAATTTTAGGTTTTTGAAGAACCTGGAAATTTTTTTTTCAATTTTATGAACTTCCTCATTCAACTAAATAATTCTAGCATCCCAATCACTTCGTTATATCAGGTTTCAATTACATATACAAATGTAAATAGTCACAGCAAGGTAAAGAGGTAGAAAGAATTTCACTTATATTGAAAAACCATATGGCCATATTCTATGGCACGACTTGAGCTTTTCCATCTAAGCATAACTTGAATGTGCCAAACTGCTGTACAGTACCAGTAATCCAGTGATGTTTTCATGATACGCCCATACTGACAGAAATGTCTGCTTGTAATGTTAGTGTAAGCTTCATCGCAGCAACTTGCACAAACAAACCCAAGTGTAATGACAGGGATGGTTCGTAACGTTTGCCTGTGTGTGGTCAATGAAACAAACTATACGAGATGATGCAGGAGTAGTTCTCGAACAACATTTATAACAACAAGAGGCTCTATCGACTATCACAAAGACAAGCACATAAATACGGACATAAACTGCTTTAAGTCCAAGCAGCCACTGTTCTATCTACATGGCAACACGAACGCTGATGGTTTTGCTGAACCAACGTCTCAAGGAGGCAAAAGTCCATGCACAGCGACGCTCTTGTCCGTAGCGAGCTCAGGCACGCAGGTGGCACGTTTCGCGTGCAGTCTCAGCAGGAGCCAAGGCCTCCAACAGGCCTCACGTTAGTAGACGGCTTTCAGCTGTCTCACGTGGTGGCGGTGATGATGTGGAACCCGTCGTCCCTGTCATGCACGCCGACGTAGCAGGAGCCACACCCAGTGTCGGTGCCACTGCTGCACCCGGTGTCGATGCAACAGGTGCCACTGCCATACGTGCTACCTGTTGCCACGTGTCACTGGCTCGGCTTCTTGTCACCATCCTTCTCTTTCTCGGACACCCGCACAAACATTTCAAAATTCCGCCAAAGTTCACACGCACACGTGTTTACGCCACACAAAGCTCGTCCATGCATTACACCAAGGAATTAAATGAAAGTATTTAAAAATGCTCAGCAAACGTCTTGCGGCCAAGAATGTGACCTTGAGATTGTCTGTACAGCTCTAGTATGTTGAACAAGCCAGAACAGATTAATCTCGGGTTTGATTTCATGCACATTACAACTCATATACTACTGCATAAGCCTGTTATGAAAGTGCTGTAACATACCGCATCATTATAAACGCGATAGCGTTAAAGAGCTTGTTTCGCAGAAATGTCGGTGTTGGTGTCGGTGTTGGCATCCGAGTGGGGATCGAACCTGGGTTGTTTGCATGGCAAGTGGATGTTCTTCCACACGGAACCGCCTGTGCTTGTTAAACAGTGAAAAGAACTTCCTGAGCTTGGAAATGCAGTGAAAGTCGCTTTCATGCTTCACAAACACATGCGTCCTGTGCTTCACAATGCCACATGAAATATTGCAGTAATAATGCCTGGTACAAGATTCCATTTCCAATGGGCATTAGACTGATATGTGATTATCATAATGGATTCATGGTTTAAAGCCGGTCACCCACTACAGAAGGCATGCACGCTAATGCGCCTATTTTCTTAAGAGCACGTAGTCGGTGCATTGAAAATTCGAAAAGGTTTCATGCACTAAGTGTTAGAAAGGCGCACTAGGAACAAGATGTCACTATCGCGTTCAACTCCAAAAGTCGAAGCTCTAGGGTCCTCTAATTTATCTGCAGTAAAGAGAGTTAAATATATTCAAATTCAATGTACATATTAACCTGCATTGAAAAAATCGCGTGCATTTGGCCATGAACCTTGCATAAAGCTCGAACTACATTATTTTACATGAGCAAAAAGACAATAAGACTAATATTTTCCCAGGTGAAAATTGTGCAATAAGCTTTATTCACTCCTTTTTTTACTTCTATAGATATGGTATCTGTATGATACCATATCTATAGCTCCATACCATTACTGTACCACATCTGCACCTCATCTATACGTCAATACAGCAGCCGCATCTTTAGTAGTGATATCACAGATATATGTTTACACAAACTATTTGCCTTGTCAGAATCTTATTACTTGACTGGCTAAAAGTATACATAGCCACAGGACGTACTATACAACAATCTCTAAGATCATCAACAGAGAATATGTTCTAGTAAAGTGTGGCAGTTGCTGGCCTGTTGTACCATCAATGATAACAATTAAACACTGAAAACATTGGCAGTATTTCCAATAACTGCATTCGAAGTACAGAGTAAGCATCCAATAAAATAGATTTGTTTCAAGTCTGTATAAAAATAAAGCCACTTTTCAATGACAGTGAGTGCATGAGTACACTACACACTATAAAACAAACCTTATTTTGGGAGTCTTTAAAAACCTTACTTCTGTAAAAAACATTACAGCAACTTGTGCTGAGTCACGAGGCTGGATCACAGCAGAGCTAGCGACCACCTTGCTGGTCCTGTCTTGGCTCAACTTTTACCCTTTCACTTCTCGGTTTTCCACCCCTTGGATATCACATATGTATATAGTACATGACTATCTTTGCTCTTCTCTTCTATCCTTCTTGGGCCTGTTTCTATTTTGTGGTGGCAACCAACAAACGAAGCAAAGAAGACGCCGTAGTTCTCCTCTCCATAACAACTAGTTCTCCCCTTGCCAACTCAGCTCACTCACCACGCCGGCAAGGATCGAAAGGCAAGAAGCGCAAAGAGACGAGAATAAAGTCAGTTGAGAGTTGGCATTCACGCTGTCCGGGTGTCTCAGCGACGTACCTGCGTCCGAACAATTCAGCGACGTACACGCGTCCGAACAATTTTTTTCCTCTCCATGTGTGTTTGTTTCTCTGTCTTTCTGTCTTTTTCTCTCTTTCTTCCCTTTCTTTCTATATCTCTACTATATCTCTTTCCCTCCTCACTCTAAAATCTGTCCTCCTAACCTTCACTTCCGCTACTCATTCTCTAGCTACACTACACTATACAAGGCTATGCTACCCTCTGCTAGCGTGCCTGGATAGCCAAATGGTTACGATGCTCGCCTTCGTATTGAGCGGATGTGGATTTGAATCTCGCTTCTTTGAGAATTTCTCTTCTCCTTTATCTTTCTTTCCAACTCTTTCTCCGTTCCCTTTTTTTCACATTTTTTTTTTTTTGACATTGGACAGATCTAGGCATGTGTTCTGGGAGTTAAGCAGAAGGAAGACTATGAAGAAGAGGATTAAGAAAGCGTGTGCCGATTCATGATGATAATTTTCTATCTATGATACACGGCTAACCTCGAGAAACAGCCCGCAGCTCTGCTGTAAACAGATTTAAACGCACATAAGATGAATCTGGCCTCACATGAGTAGATCTTATGAACCCCGAACCAGTCACAGCAGTGTTATCGGGTGTAATGAAAAAATATATTACAAAAGGTGATTGATGCAAGTGATAAAATGCAGTGATAAATGGCATATTCGTTGTTTGAGTATTCACACTATGTAGTACACTATACCTAACCATCCAGCACTAATATATACGAAATATGGCATGCCAATCAACAGTTTACCAGTTCTATTTTTCATGATGCTCTAGCATGAATTCTTAAGTGAACCACAAACAGTTAATCTCATGAGATGCTCATACCCAGGCTTAAATCAGCAATATAGAAAATAGCATTAGTTTTTGGAAGAGTTCATAGGACCACATCTTTGTTAGACTGATGGATTGTGAAAATCCCAAAAGTTGAATGGAATATGATGCTTGCTAAAGTCTAGACTGGTAACTTTGTATCAGTCACCCCGTTAGATTGTGCTAATGTGAACCACACATCAACTTTACACTTGGTAAAATGACTAGTGTACATATAGATACATACTCATACAAGCAAGCTAATCTAAGTCTGCCTGTCTTCAGGCATAGAATGTTTAGAAAAACACCAAATGACTAATTTTATGCAGGCACACCCATAATAATTGGTAATTATAAAATACTATGTAAATACTACCCCATTGCTGCCTTATATGTGCGTGAAATTATGACACGCTACGTCAAACTCTGTTTTTTTCCTTCTTATTAAATTGTGTGTTGAAAGCCGAGAATTAAACCCAAAAGGTGAGAGCCAGTTAAAAGTAAATTAAGCAGTTGTAAAGGGTCTGTACCATGCAAATTTGATGCAGTGCCCTGCTTTGCATCACAGGTGTGAGACAAGTGTCAGGCACCATGACATGGCCAAGTGTTTTTTCTAACTGCAGGAAAACGACCAGGTTCTCACATCAAGTTCACTTGATCATGGCTGTGACACACAAAGCTTACCTTCAATAATGCTGCGCAGCTTGCTATGAAGCATTGTCAATGATTTCTTTGTAATTTCATCAGATTGATCAGCTAATCTAATTTATAAAATTGCAGGGAAGGAATTTAGAACAGCAGCGCTGAAGTATTTAACCTTCTTTGTAAATCTCTTGGTTTTCACCAATGAACTCAGCGACCATAAAGTCTATAGGCATACAGTGGATTACGTAACAGAGAACATCACAATAATAATCAAGATAAAGTATAATGCCTTAAATATTTTGTACACACAGAATGCTACGGTAGCTTCTGAAGTCCGAACGTTCTTAAACAGAAAAATGTCATCGAATTTGAGCTTGCTGTAGATTCTGAACACTGTAAAACGGAAAAGCATTCTTCTATACCAGGATACATCAGTTCTAAATTGGGGCATACAAAGCACATGACACAATACTTACATCTGTCAAGCAATATTTGTTATCCATATTGCACTTTATCTTTTCAGTGCTGAAACACTGCTAAAAGAGGAGGTACAAATATGTGCCTAGTGTACCACATGTACTCCATGTATATAATGAAGCACTGTATCACGTAGAATTTCTATGCTATTTTACACAGTCTTCCCAAGCACTCAGCACTGCTCCATCTATATCAATCAGCGTAGCACCATGGTTCACACGTTGGTAATTCTTGAATGATCAACAAGCAATTCTTTTTATATACAATAGATGTCATGGCTGACATGCAGCTCTATAGCCAGCTATGGCTGATTCTGTAACATTACATACAATGCCCTATCAATAATAAAAATTGCTGAGGTTTGGCTTAACAAAACCACTATATGATTTATGAGACATGCCACAGAGGGGGACTGGATATTAATTTTGACCACCTGGCATTCTTGTGCATGCAACTCATGTGCACATAGTCAAGGCGCATGGGTGTCCAAGTTTTTTCCCCATCCAAATATGGCTCAGCAGCATGAGCTTTAGCGGTGTGACAATCTACGTGTTATGTTACAATTGCGGGTGCAAACAGTATTATACGAGGACTAGTTACGTAGTCCCTGCACTTTTTAAGACAGAAATGCTGTCTTCTGCCTGCTCATTGGCGGGGAACAGAAGCGAGGACGAGTCGTTGATGGAGCCGCATGGCTGACGTGCCCAGGGTTCCACCTCGGCCTTGCCAAGTAGGAGGAATGATACTGCCCCAAAGACAACCACACCGGCGGATATGAAGAAGACCTTGTTCCACTGTTCGATGCTTTCCTGCAGATTTAATCCCGAGATGTTTGCAGCTTTCTATCTATTATTACATGCATACACAAAAAAATTTCATTTGGAGTTGACAAATTATCAGTGCACCACCTTCCGTCATGCCTACTGAAACATCCTCTATATTATCCCAATGAATCCGTATGAATTTTGCATAATTCTTAGAGGATACGCATAGCGCAAAGAATTTCATTGAATATCTCTAGCAACTTCACATACACCTCAGTCGAATTGCAGTAAGTAAATTCCTACAGAATTTTTCAATTGAGATACGAGTATGCGTATTCATGCGCTGGAAACATTGGACCAGATTGTAGCTGTTCATGGTGGTGTTCAGTGCACTGCACGAATAGTGTTTTTTTTTTTTTGTCAGAAAAAAAATAATTCAACATAGTAGAAAACAGAGCAAGTAACGCCTGATTCAGTTCATTTATTTATTTATTTTTGTTATCCTCAATCGTCGAAGCATTACAGAGGAGAGTGGTTTACAACATCAAAAAGACAAAACAACAAAACAAAACAAAAGTAATAATATGAGGGGCTTAACATCTCAAAACCACGATATGATTATGAGAGATGCCGTAGTGAAAGGTCCCGGAAATTTCGACTACTTGGGGTTCTTTAACGTGCACCTAAATCTAAGCACATGCACCTCATGCATTTTCCCCTTCATTGGAAATGTGGCCGCCGCAGCAGGGATTTGATCCCGTGGCCTGAGGGTCAACAGCAGAGTGCCTTAGCCACTAGACCACGATGACGGGTTGTCTGGTTCACTTAATTAACACTACCTGTTATGAGCACAAAGCAGCTTATACTGTTTTACCATATAATTATGGTGCTCAAATATAATATAGCACTATTTGTTCTGATTGTTCCAGAGGAGCCATCTGAATCCTTGAAAAATTGATTCTCTAAACCTCTCGGTTTTCACCAATTCAAGGGTGCCATGTAAAACACAACGTGTCAACAAAAGGTGTGGGCAAGGTATGTGCACAACATATTAGCAAGGTGCACACAACCTAGTGCAAATGACAGAGAACAGAAGACAATTTTTTTGCAGTGTGAGATGATTCAAAATGGCCAGATAACAATGTAAACAAATTAGAAAAAGTTTATAAACATGAAAATACTGATTCAAATCAGCCAGTCGTACCGGTTTGAAATTGTCTACAGTCTTATTCACAAAGAAAGCAAGAGCGCAGTTTCAAGTGACTGAGAGCAGCAGTGGAACCCAAGCTCTAATTAAAATAAGCAGCATAATAATTCATAACTGGTATTACATAAAACACATCACTGTTTTTTTTATTAGTATTCAAACAGAAAACTACCAGTACTATAATGAAACATGTGTACACTTACACTGCTTTCCGTGAGGTAGCCAACAACAAGAGGGGTAAATATGCCAGCGCTGTTTGAAATACAATTGGCAAATCCCATAACAGCACCTGAATATTGATAAGAGAATGAGCATCGTTACACTTCTTCCTCACATGGGAAATCTAAAAAATTTTAAACTAACACTGTTTCTCCTGCTCTGCAAATATTCATGCATATTATTTTGTTTTATGCCATGCACCACTTTATTTACCCTGATTATAAATAGCTAAACATAAAACTCAATCGTGCTTTCATTTTATCAGATAATTAAACCTGTTTACCAACCAGTGTATGCCTGCTAGCATGCTTCATAAAATGCAAATGAGCTAGCTTAAGGCGAGTGTGATGTAAGGTCCAAACAATCAATTAGGGTATATCTATTTTACATACTACTAGAAGCTGCTGGTGTAGGCAATGAATGGAGTAGGCAATAAGCTACAACAGTAACAAATTAATACATCTTCCTCTCATTCAGTGCAGTTTTTTTTACTGCTTGCTAGACATAACTAAGCAAAGAAAAAGCAAGAAATCAGGAAATTGAACATGAATATGTGCAAACTTACCAGCAAACTGAGCAGCAATATCTACGGGCAGCACACTTTCGCTGCCGTATAGTGCACCAGAAGACGTGGAGGCAACTAAGAGCATCGCAAAAGCCAACATCCAGTCGCAGCCCGCAAAAGTGGCGCCAATCATGCCTACAGCCTGTCCAAGCAATCCTGAATGCAAATTAAAAATGCGAACAGAGCTATCAGATGGCTGGGGTACAAAATTACGATCGACACAAAGCTTTCAGCTGTCAGTGCCTCATTGATCACGCAGTTTAATATGCTCCAAGCATTATGCATATCTGCATTTATGAAACCTGACAGCCGTGAAATGATGAGTGTGCGAATTGTGAAACTGAATAGAATATGCATACCAAAAGAAAACATGCAGCTCTCTTAACGTTGAATTTACTATAGAATATTTTCACATTTCTGAAATGATATCAAATACAAAGCTATGCTGCAGAAACACACAGGCGGGGCTATCTATGCCACAAGGTGCACATTCAGAAACTGTCATTGCGTTCGTGGTTCTGTCTCTTGTAAACCTCCAATTATAGTGTCGTTATTCATTATTTATTAAAGAAAACAATATTTGACAACTCTGAATGATGACTTCTCAAATCAAATATGAAATTAATAAAATACAGGGCTGTTTTATTAATGCATTCAATATTTAGAATTTTCGCTTGCTTCTACGTAAGCATATTCACAGGCCAACGACGTCGTTGGTAGTTGGTAGTCAAAATATTTATCAGTGGTACGGCGACTGTTTTCAGCATTTGCTTATGGTCGCTGCACCACCATTGGCAGTTGTTGTTTATTGAAACTGCCAATGGCAGCTGTAAAAAACGCCAGAAACTTATGATGGATATATCAAATAGTGATTAGACAAACACACAAGTGGCACATACATTTGTAGAGACACGCTCCCACTCAAACTTGTTTGTATCTTTAAAAATCTTAAAAAGTGAAATTATTTATCACATTGTAATACTATATATATCAGTATTTCTCCACAGACAATTCCAAGGAGTTATTTAAGCTAAGAATTGTAGAGAATGGTTTCACTGACCTATCTCGTGCAACAAATGCCATCTTGCCAACACTTTATGTGCAGCTTTGTACAATTAACAAGAAAAAAATTGGGTTACTGAATTGCCAGAAAAAGCTGAATTAGGCTGAATGGTTCCTTCACATAGATGTTTTTCATACCTGATGTGGAAAAAAAAGGCACACACTCAGGGTAAGGGCTATTGTGGCAGAAACACAGATGAGAAAAACTCAAGGTAGAAGCATGGCACGACAGAAAAGAAAGGTATGCCACAGTTGAGGTAATTTTTTTACACAAATGGCTTTTGCAATCTCGACCCGTCATTGATAAGATGCTGTGCTCTGCAATCTTATGCATCAAGCAAATCTCACAGTACCTCTCAAATGGGCACTGCAAATTTACTCAGTATGTTTCACCGTATTATGATGTCCTATTTTGCAAATGTACAAAGAAGGTGCTATTATGTAATTGCTACAGCACTGTGGCAAGGGACAAGGCAAGTTTGGTAAATAAGAGAACTGGCTCAATGTTAGCAAAGCATTAGAAAACTCACCCACACTTTCAAAGACTTTTCTCACATTTGTCACTCCCAGAATTTCTTTCTTTCGCAAGTAATCAGCCAAGTAGCTGCTGCCAAGGCCCACGAGCAGCTGACTCAAGTAGACGCTAGCATTGAGAGATCCGTTCTGGAATTTAGAGGTGAAAGAAAGCGCGAGTGCAAAGCAGAATCCATCAATTCCATCACTCATACTTGGGAGGTATTTATAACATGAATACATAAATTACGCTAGGGATACCACAGATTGCTGTTCTCATTTCAACATCAGAGAGGGTATCTTTAACTTATTTTTGAGAGCTTAGCTTTATCTGGATATTGTCAATATGTATGATAGCATCCCAGAATGAGCACTCTGAAAATACAGAACTTGAAAGAAATGTACTTGCAAGTTTCATAAACATGATAACAGTGGGTATAGCATGTACGAAGTGTATACTGCATGTACGAAGTGTATACTAACACCTGTATCGGCTAACATCACACTGCCACTCATCTCGTAAGTCCGCACATTAAAGTAATCCAGCTTCTGCCACAGAATTGTGACATCTACTTTGGGAGATGTATGTTCAGTCTGTTTCTATTAAAAACTCTGCATAAGTACAGAGCGGACACTTGAGAGCAGCACAATAATTGCACGTACACTCCGGATGTTAAAGTGCAGTATGTCAGCTAGGTAGCTGGGCAGTTCGGTCAGCAGCGTGTAGAAGCTCCATGCTCCACAAAACTTGATCAGGACAATCATCCAGACAGCTCGGGATGTCACTATGCTTCCCCATGGCACAGACTAAGGGAAAGAAAAGCGAAGGATACAATGTCACTCAGAATGAGTAAGCTAAGAAGTGTACAATTTAAAAAAAATGATGCATGCACACATATCAAACTCGGTCCCATTTTTTTCTAACGAGGCAAGGAAAACAATAAAAACATAAGCATGCAGTAAACAGAACTCACTCTAAACACTGATATATATATAATGTTGGCAACTGTTTACATATATCATTGTTCACATGAACAATTAATAACTATGCCTTAGGGACTATGCCCTTAGTATGAATGAATTATAACATAAAGTAAAACGAGTGCCCTGAATGCGATGTAACCACGTGAAGGAAAGCTAATGCAACCGTTCATATGGTGCACATTTATATCCCTATGCATGCTGCTAAAACAGGAATAACAGAAAGAAATTTTCTATTAAGCTTTATACAATTTAATATTTATTGCATCTTTGTTATTCTTTTTTCTCTACATTTAAACACATGCATGAATTTACATTATATTCTAGACATTTGATGTATTGAAAAGCTGATTTACTGTATTCGACTTTATTTGTATAATGAATTTCCTTGTTTCCCTTCATATCAGCATCTCTGGCCAAAGATGCTACAAACTGCACATTTGGAATGCACTCATTGGCAGTGTATACACATATTCCTTCTGGTTCATTAAATTGGCTAGCCTGTAGAGGCCAACTTTCAAAGATATTGCAACTGAGTTTAATAGCGATGCCAAGTATTCTACACTACAGCTATCAAGAAAACACAGCTTTTAGCTAGTATGGCAATGCCATCTGAACAGTGTATGTTGTAATACATTCTTGATAATAATGCACCTTGATTAAATATGACGTTTGATGTTCGCAAGATTCTGGCTAATTCCAGCACAAATAGGCATAACTTGTTCTAGTCCGGCATGCTATCACCATAATTAAATAGCATAAATTAGCTGAAGAAGAGTATATGGCCACATAAAAGAATATACAACAGGCCAAGTTTAATTTCAATGAAACATAGAATATACAAAGCAGCATAAATGAGAAATGTGAACAGCGCAGATTGCCAATGCTTCCCAAGACATCACCAGAATAGTACTAGAGGGAGACTTAACTGACTGCAAGACACTTAGAGTTTACCCAGTTTGCAAGCATGTACATTCTGGGTAGACTGAACTGTTGATATCTAATGCTGCTGATTTGATGAAGCCAGACACATGACATCCTTAAGACTTGTTTGTCGCCCTGGTGCCAGTGATGAAAAAATCTGTAAACAGGAGTTGTGTGCCCGAGCCAATGTTTCGAAAAGTGGACTTGCCTTCTTCATGGCTAAAACTGATTTCCTTAGCACTAGCCCGTACATGCTTCGTACCCTCTCCTCCATCTTAACAAGCAGGGGGAGAGGGCAACTGTGGATGCAGGGAGAGGGGGGCGCTGTGACGAATGATGCGAGTGAAAAGGTAACTGGTCATCCGCGAATAAAAAAAAAAAAGAAAGAAGCAGAGGGGATATGGGGGTGTAGACGTTTTGCTGAATCGTGGTTGTCTGGGTTCCTGTGTAGTCTTTAGACGGTTTCCCCCGCCTTCATGACAACCTTTTTTTTCCCAAGACAAAAAGGAGGCAACCATGCACTTTCACAAGCAAACACAAACTACTACTGACGAAAAAAGACTGAATATTCTAAAAAAAATCTTTCACAAAGGTATACAAACTTGGAAATTAATTTGTGAAAAATGACAAAGCCGCAAAAGTGAGCTTTGATTCCCCTTATAAGTCTTAGGGGTCTTTTCACTGGCTGACAACCTTGAGTGCACAATGTGCAGACTATGTTCCATAACCCAACTGCCTTAGTCTTCCCTACCGCAACCACAAAAAGCTTCCAGGTGACTTCCAACGTGGGGTAACTATAATGCAACATGAGAAAAAAAGAAAGACCAAGAAAAACAATATATTGCTGGTTTAACATGTTCTATTTAAATTTGATATCAACCACATTGTCCCATATGCCAGTCTCCACTGCCTTATCAAAAATGCTGCAGAATATCCCATAACAGTGCTGTGAAAAAAAAAAAAATCAGCATTTGCACTTGAGTGCAAGAACAAAAGGTACAATGCTTACTTACTTCAAATCTATGTGGAAAGAAAAATATATATAATAAGAAAATCGATAAAATGATAACCTATGGATGCCTATAATATCTGTGAGAGCTTTGGCCAAATACTAGAAATCATTTAGGGGAACGCAGCATGGGCACGTTGATGATAAACCAGTTTAAAATACTTAGTGCTGTGGTCTGCAAGCATTCCAAGTCATGTTTAACTATTGTTCTCAGAAGGCTGCAAATTAGCTCTGAAGATGACATAAAAAGAAAAGATTAGTGTGCAGCTGCAGCTGAACCCTCATCCTGTGTCCTCGTTATTTCCAGAAATATTTACCTGTAGCATTATTTATGGCTGCTGTTACTCATAGGTGTAGTAACGTGTTAGTAGTACAACTGTAAACATCAGTTAATTACAAAAAAATGCAAATGGCCAAAATCTAAACTAGTGTGGTGTTCTTTCGCAGTGTCCAATAAGAAAGCAATAGATGTAAAATGTCACTCTATGCACAGTGCTGTTAGATACAATAATCTGTGTGTTGTACTGTAAAGCAATACCTAAACTCTGAGGCAGCCCTACCTACGGTAATAGCTTTAGAGCAGCTCAAATGCAGTTTAAACCCTTTATAGGAGACATTTATATAGGAGATGAATGTAGTAAAATACACGTTCATAGGAAAATGCATAAATAGTGCCCTGCTTATAAGAGACATTTCATATAAAAGACAAAAAAATTACTGCCCAGAGCATACCTCTTATAAAGGGGTTCAACTGTACTTAATTTTCTTAATCTACAGGTGTGGTCAATCAGCGGCAAGCTGTGGCTAAAGTTCTGACTTTATCTTTTCCCACTTAAACTTTGTTCATTGTAGAAAGTGTGTTACAGCTGAGAACCATTTGGATTAGCACAAAATGAGATGTTGTCTGTGTTGTATACAGGGATTTCTTAACTCCAGCCCCAAGAAATAGCAACAAGAAAATATGTGGTGGGACCTATAAATGGCCATGTCCTTCAGTAAACAAGTAATAGCAGTGAATAATTCAGTAGATGCACCTGCGTTTACCCAAAAAAGTTCACATTGTTAATGCTTCATGTCAATATGCTCAAGTTACCACTTTTAATCTGAAGCATGTGGCATCAAAGTTTCATACGAGAGGTACAGATCAGAATATGTGTCCTGTATTCAGCAGAGGTAGCCAGAATGCAACATGATTACAAACACATAAGTTAACAAAGGCATAAATGTAAACATTAAGTAGTATTTGGTTATGCACGTATGCTATAAAGATCGACGGGGCACTTGACACCATATGTGGAGTGCTTTTTAACCATGCAAAAATGAGCAGAATTTTGAAGCAGCGTTGGATACCAGTATGGTGAAATAACTTACCTTGCGCACAGCAAATGTCGCATCACGTGATTCTATGATGTACTTTTTCTCCTCTTCAGAAATGAAGTGATGCTTTTCTGGCGTGCCAGATGCAAGAAGAACCCAAAATACAAACCACACACAGCCTAAGAGACCTGCGAAGCCAAAGTTAGGCACATCATACCAGGCAAAAATATCTATGTGTTTATGTCTGCAGTCTATTGTAATCTAGGACGAATTTTAGCTGCGAGGAAAATAAAGCCTGTATATCTCATGTCGCTACTAAATTATATTGAAGGACGCAGCTTGCTGCTATCATTACTACAGAGTGAAACTGCAGTAGACTTTTGGAATACTGTAGCACATACAAACAGCAACACAAGAAAATCACATGAAAACATTCACAATTCCAATCATGGTGCTACACATGAACACACTCAGCATGTGTTTTACATGCCATGCTTGTGTACTGGTCAATAATATTATTCCAAGATGCTCTAGAAACAAACCCACATTGCAAACAGTTGTGATGAGATTTTTTAAAATGCAAGCTTACAGCAATGTTATAAGTTTATTTTATGCAGTTTAGACACACAAAAGTACTGATTGAATCTATCAAAGGCTGAAAAGGAGAACAAGAGTAGAAACTTGGTTGAGTTGGTTTTGGTTCATGATGGCTTTAGTGCATGAACATAGAAAAAAAAAGGACAGAGTAGAAAAAGAGTGTGAATAAAGTATTAGGACGATCGAGACCAGGGACTGCTTTGAACGAATACAGTTTATTAGAAGAAGCGAAGTAGCACGAGCTCGCTCCAGGCAGCAGTCTTTTTTTTTCTTCTTCTGGCGTTTGATGATGATATTTTATAGGCTCCCGCCCGCCCAAGTTGAAATGTGATAAGCTCTCACGGGCTATTTGAAACAACCTTCCATAGAGTATATGTGGTTCCCCGATCTTCTTAGAAGCTCATTTTTGCCTGCGCGAAGGAGACAAGCTCTTGTTATTCCGTCTCGCCCAGGGTAGAGTTTTTCAATCCGGCACATTTTCCAAAAGGTTCTTGGAGCATTGTCCTCAACCAACACGATGTCACTCTGTGAGAGTGGTTTTGCTTGCTGCGTCTTGGCTTTGACAGTAGCTCCTATTTCCTTGATGTATTCTTGATGCCATCTTTTCCATCAAGCGCGCACGAGTTTGCGTCTGCGTCGCCATGCGTCTTCAATGTCACTGTTGTACAGTCTTGTTTGTCCGTCTTGAAGCTGTCGCCGTCTACCTATGATGCCTGACGGCGTTAGTGGCATTGGCTCGTCAGGTTCTCCATATACGTAAGTCAATGGTCGATTGTTGATTGTTCTTTCAACTTCTGCTACAATAGTGCGTAGCTCCTCTACCGAAGCTGTGCTTTTCGATATTATTTTTCGCATCGACGTCTTCAAGCTTCTTATGAGGCGCTCGTAAAATCCTCCCCACCATGGCGCGCACTCGGCTATCGTTTTCCATTGAATTTGTTGGCCACTACAGTAATTCTTTAAGACCTCGTTTTTAATTGTTTCGAGCATTCTGTTGATTTCCTTTCCAGCTTTTATAAATGTTTTGGCGTTGTCCGAGTATATTATTGCTGGTATTCCCTGTCGAGCTGTAAATCGTCGGAATGCTTGTAGAAAACTTGACGATGACAAATCGTTGGTAACTTCCAAGTGTACTCCTCTTGTTGCCGCGCAGGTGAATATCAGTACATATTGCTTCACAATCTGGCACTTGTCCTTTGCGTAAAGAGGTCCTGTGAAGTCAACTCCCGTAACTTTGAATGGCTCTGCTTCAGTGACTCTGTCTGCCGGAAGTGGAGGTATGTCTTGAGTCGCCGGTCTGGAGTTTATGCCTCTTGCAGACGACAGATTTATTTAGAAGTCTTTTCACTGCTTGTCTACCCTGCAATATCCAGAACTTGATTCGAAGTTGCACTAGCGTCACTTGCACTCCTCCGTGTGATACCATTTTATGCACGTGACGTATTAGCAGTTCCGTGAAATGCTAATCCTTTGGAATTACCATTACGTGCTTGTTGAATTCTTGGCTGCACTGCAATCGTCCCTTCTGTCTGATGATTCCATCGTCATCAAGGTAGACTTCATGTCCATTAATTTCAAATGATTGAGTGTTTGAATAGGCCTCACCCTTTGTTTGTCTCAGTGATATTTGGGTCTGTCTTATCCAGTATTTCTCTGCATTTGTTACCTTTTTTCCTGTCAACGGCCCTTTGTGATTTTCCTTTCTTGTGTTGTTTATGAATCTGAACACCCATGCTGTCACTCTTATAAGCCGTCCGTATGATGAATACTTTTCGATTTCCAAGATTGGCTCAATTTCGGCTCTTCCCATGCATTGGTGACATTGTGTTTTATGCTGGTCTTCCACGTCTGTATTTGTGCCAATTATGCTTACTAAGTTCATTTACAGTGATGTTATCCATTCTGGACCGTTCCACCATAACTTTGATGTTATCAATGCCTTTGCGCTTATTCCTCGTGTAAGTAGGTCAGCAGGGTTGTCGTCACTTTGAACGAATGACCAGCTTGCTTGAAGTGTTTTTTCTCTGATTTCTGCGATTCTGTTGGCAATAAACGAATCCCTTTTGCTTGTTCTCTTGATCCAGTGAGGCACAATCATTGAGTCCGTCCAGCAGTGTATTTCCTGAATTCTTTCGTTGAAGTGACCTTTGATGTAGTCGCATAATCTTGATGCTATCACCGCTGCCATCAGTTCATGTCGCGCCAATGTCAGCTCTTTAATTGGAGCTACGCGGCTTTTTGTTGTTACCAGCCTTGATTCTTTGCTTCCATCGTGGTATACTGCTATCAAGTATGCTGCCGCTCTGTATTCTAATGCGCTCGCGTCGGCAAATACATGCTGCTTGTATGCTTGTACTGGTTGATTCTTGCTTGCGTAGCATCGTGGGATTTCTAGAACTCGAAAGTCCTCCACTTCAGACATAAGGTTCTTCCATTTGTCGCATTCATCTTTAGGGAGCTGGTCGTCCCACGTGACGTTCATTTTCCACAGTCTCTGCAGTTCTATTTTCGCACGTACTGTGAATGGCGACAACAAGCCGAGTGGGTCAAATATCTTTGCTGTGGTTTGTAACACAGCCCTTTTTGTCAAGTACGTTGTATCTGTTAATAAATTCCACTTTTCTATAGGGAAGCAAATCATGTCCTTTGAGTGTTTTCATATCAAGCCCAGAAGCATTGTAAATCCTCTAGATCGAATATCTATGTGAGAATTGTCCCTTTCGTTTTCATCAATTATTTTGTTTAATCGCTCTTCATTGGATGTCCATTTTCTCAAATTCATCGCTGCCTCTCTGAACACTTGCTTTGCCTCTTTGTACAACTTGACTGCTTCATCAAGCGTTGCTGCTCCCAAAATGACATCATCTACGTAGATCGCTTTCTGCAGGGTCCTTATCGTATCAGAAAACTGGTCTTCCACTTGTTTCAAATGGTGTTTAATTGTAGCTGCCAGTATAAACGTGCTTGGTGTTGTTCCGAACGTTACTCTTGTCATGCGCCATGTTTGCACTTAATTCATTAACCTTCCTTCAGCATCATGCTTCCACCATAGAAATCTGATTGCATCTCTATCCTCTTCGTGTATAGAGATTTGTAGAAATGCCTTTTGAACATCTCTAACTAATGCCACCTTTTCTTTTCGGAAATTAATTAGCAGCGATAGCATGTCCTCATTCGAATTGGGTCTTGCCTCTAGGTTCTCGTTTAAAGACATGCCTTTTCGAGAATGTGATGAGGCGTCAAACACTACTCGAACCTTTCGTTGTGGCTCGGTCCTCTCTAATGATCGCATGATGTGGCATGATGTGGAAAGTGCATTTGGCTGTTCTGATGGCTCTTCGACCTCCTCTGCGACTCCTAATGCTATATACTCTGATATAGCTCTGTCGTAGCGATACAGCATGTCTTCATTTTTCTGCAGCCTTTTAGTCAGTTGCTGTAGTCTTTTTATCGCATTTTCCTTGTTGCTTTCCAAGTTTACTTCCTGTTTCCATGGCAAGCTGACTTGATAGCGACCATTTTGTTGTACAATCTTGCGCTCGAATTCTTTGACCACTTCATTTCCAGTGTTATCCGAACTATTTCTTGTGATCCCCATTGACTCCAGGCTCCAGAACTTCTGTAGCTCTTGCTGGAGTTCTGTCTCCGCAGCTTCGACCTTCAGAACCATGACTGCTTGATTATGTGTTAGTTTTGTCTCGCTCTGCTCTGACGGCCCTTGCAGTACCCATCCCAGTATAGTTTCTACAGCCATCAGTCTGTCCTCGATTCTTTGAGTTCTACCAGTAAAGAATTCCCAATAATAGTCTGAGCCGATCAGTAGTTCTACAGAATCTGTTGCAGTCGTCTTGGTCCTGTGATCAGCCACTTGCATATTTAGCTGTTTCATTTTCTCGTTGAGTTTTTTAGTTGGAGTGGGTAAACAACTGTGCGAGGTGAGGTCGACTTGTAACGCTTCAAACACTGTTGTCGTGCTTGTTTCTCGTGATCCTACAGTCACTTGCACCACGTTCATTAGTTTGACCTTTTCATCTCCTCCAAATGAACCAATCGTCAGCCTTTCCTGTCGCAACACCTTTGCACCTATTTTTTGCGCTAATCCTGCTTCAATAAATGAACGTTGACTTCCGCTGTCTAATAACAAACGGCAATGTCGGCCACATGTTTCTCCTTCTACGCATGCTACAGCCGTCTGCAAAAGCACAAACTTATGCTTGATGTTTTTGGTTGTGTGTAGTGTAGACGTCGTCGCTTCGGCTTGCGCTGTCGAGATAAGCTCTGCTCTTGTTTTTTGCATCACCGTTCTACACACTGACGTGGCATGTCGTCCCTTGCATTGCTTGCATTTTACTTGTGCCTTGCAAATGCGTGCAGTGTGGTTTGGTCGCGTGCATCTGAAGCATGCTCTATTTTCGGTAAGCATAGCTTTCTTTTCATCCATTGGAATGCTCCTACGACAGTTTTCGGTTACGTGGGTTTTCTACTTGCAGAATAAGCATATTCTGTCTGCTGAGCTATAGAAGCTTGAAGTTGTGCGCATCTGTTCGCAGTTCTCTCTTGGTTTTGCAGTTATCCTCTCTGTTCACGTTGTGTTTCTTCACGAAAAGTCGCTTGCTCTCTTAAGAATAACATAAGCCTGCCCAGCTTTTCATCGCACGCTTTTCCCGTTGTGTTGTTTTGCTCGCCAATTTCTGAAGCTGAGCTGTTTCTCATAGCCTCTTTTGACTTGAACTGCACTGATAATTCTGGTGGAATTGCTCTTTTCAATACCGGTAACAACATCGACGCATAGCTCTTGGTTTCCACTTTTAGTGACTTGAGTGCCAATATGTTAACTTGTACTCTCTGTACTAGCCTATTTAAGTCATCGGTATCTTGAACAGACCTCACTTTCTCCAAACTCAATAGCTCATTCATGTGCATTTCAATGGTATGTTCTCGATTGCCGAACGTTTTTTGCAGTATTTTGATTGCGTCATCATAATTTTCCTCTGCCGAGTACTGAAGTTTTTCAATAGCAGCCGCCGTTTTTCCGGTTAGTGATGCTAACAAGTAATTGAACTTCTGTCCCTTGCTCATGTTCAGTCTCAGGTAAACTGCCGACTCGTACTGAGACCAAAAGCGGTTCCAATCCAAAGTTTTTCCCCCAAACTTTATCATTTCAGGCTTTGGTAGCTTAACTAGTTCCGTTGCTTCTTGTCCTGTATTTGAGGGTGTCACCTGCCTTGTCCTATCGCTTAAATGCGATTGCTCAGGCTGCCGAAGTCTGCATTCTATTGCAGATAAAATCGTCGTTAATTTCATGTTGTACTTTATGACGCTTTCGAATTCAGCTTCGGCATTGTCTTCTGTTAGAAACTTTTCCATTTGCTCATTAGCGCTCTTGAGACTGTCGCTTATTGCTTTAATCTGCGCCTGCGTTGTAAGCAGCTGCTCCCGGTTAGCTCCATCATTAATTTTCTGCTCGGCTGTGTTAATCAGTCGCGTGATCTGGGAGCGAAGCGCTTTTCTTTTCTTCGATATCACTTCTTTGCTCATATTGAGGCGGTTACAATGACTCCTTACTTGTCAATTGTTCGTTCTGATGCTCGTACTGTCCACCGTGGTCTCGTCACTCGATCCAGGTCGATTCTCTGCTCCTCCGTCGTTTTCTTCTCTGCTGCTTCGTGGCAGGTTGACCTTTCTTGCCGGCGAGGAGGTAGTATCCTGGTTCACAGCATCATTATTAAGACAATCGAGACTAGGGACTGCTTTGAACGAATACGGTTTATTAGAAGAAGCGAAGTAGCACGAGCTCGCTCCAGGCAGCAGTCTTCTTTCTTCTTCTTCTGGGGTTTGATGATGATATTTTATATAAAGCAGATAACGAAGGCTCATATCTTGAAAAGAGTCAATCACGTGTTAGACTTATGAGCATGTGATTAAACAGAGACGAAGCACAGCACACTCTTTCAATAAATTGAGTTGCAAACACTTACTTAAAATTGAATTGCAATTATACATAAACACTGCCTGAAAAAGTTCCTAACTTTCATGTAGTAGTAGCACATACATTTTCAAACGACCACAATCTTGACCCTTTTGACAAACGTGACTTCTTAGCTGAGTTTTGAAGGCCTTACATCGGTAGATAATCTCTTTTATATAACCCATGCATAACTTCCCACGAATTAATGAAATTGCACTTCTTATCATGGCAGATAAGCAGCTGCTTCAAAGCCATTGTCCTGTTGCATGTCTTTCACCTTGTATTGTCTACCAGCTTTGCCACGTGGGAAGTACGTCCTATTTGTTGGCATGACATACAAAAAACTGATGTTTCCACACTGTACCCATGCCAATTGCTTGAATTAGTGTCACAAACATCCTCAATCTGTGTCAGCGTGCCACTGGTATACCTCAAAAAGTGCATACTGCAGTCAAAGCATATATGGTGGTTTTAGAGTGACCATATCGAGAATTTCATAATTTTTGTGAGACTTACAAGATGATGCATTAAAGCAAGGTGCACTGAAGTATCGGGCATGGCCAACGTAATTCCTGGCACTGTAAAAAAAAAATTAAGGCAGCTTAACACTGCAGTGTTGCCAAGCCTGAGGAAGTGCGAAGTCAGGCAGCCTTCTTCGTTTCTCTTCAGTTTTCCATTTCTTTCTTCCTTACTTTCTTCCTTGTTTCTCATTTTCCATTTTTATGTTTCTCTCTTAATTTCTCTGCATCCATTTGTTTCTCTTCCTGGCTATTTCTATCTTTCATCCTGTTTTTTTCCTTCTTTTCTTTATTTCTAGTTCACGCTTACTTCTTTTTCTCTTTCCATTTTTACATGCCGTTTTGCCAGTGTAACGCAAAGCACACTAGTTGTTTTTTGCAGATGATGAAACTTGAAGAACAAGAGGAAGGAGACTTCTTTTCGGCACAAGCATGTTCAGTATGCTCCACATAGAGTGTTATGCCAAGAGATGACAACAGCATACTATAACGCACGACAGCACAGCCCCCAAAGGTCTTCACTCTTAAAAGCTTGGTGCAGCGCCAAGATCACTGTCATGCTGAGGCCCCTGTAATGCCATGTATTACAACATTTTTTCTCAAAGTCAGTTCACCCACGAAAATAATCACTCAGGAATACTGTGCTTGCTTGATCAGCTTTTACCACATTTTCTACACATTTGCTTCTTTCCATCTTGACACAAACGATTATGATATCTGTAAGGATTATTGTTAAAATGAGATTATTACACACAATCATCAGAGACCAGTACCGTGTTGCTCGCACTCTAATGGCATCGATGTTCACTATGTCATTCTTTGATTCGCTGCTATGTATAGTACGCGTGCATACCCTGAGGTTGGGTCAAGTAATTATTGCTGGTGGCCATAGATGTGCACAGGGTTGCCCTTCAGTGGGGTACAAAGGTTTATCAAAGCTCCCCACTTCCTTATTAAGGCAATGTGTAAGGCAGACTTTACACCCCCCCTCCGCACCCTATTACTTGACTAAGGGGGCGGCTGTCCCTCTGCCCCGATGGGGGGGCTTCATGTATACGCTTATGCTGGTGTCAAGCAGTCACTTTTGATCGCAACTGGGCCTGATCAGGATAATTTACTTCTTTACCCAAGCTGCAGAAGGGAGCCAATCACTTTTGAGCATTTCGGTGAAAATTGGTCCTAACCGTGATCAGCAGTACACTGTGTGACATTGACATGATAAGACCCACACTTACCAGCTCAGGGCAAGACAAAGGTAGAGTAATATACAAGAATAGCACTAATCTCAATGAGGGTCCACTTGAAAATTGATATTAACATGTAGTACACACCTAGGTATCCTAAAGCTACACGGTGCAAGAGATGCTAGTGGGAGGCTCCATATTAAATTTGACATCAGTGGTTTTTAACATCCACCTACATACATATATATATAGGTGGATGTGCCCACTTACCTACATAGATAAGTGGGCACTTTCACATTTCAACTTTTTAAAAATGGAACTGTGAGAAAACAAGAAAAGTTAAGAAAAACAGGAGAAATATAAGTGGGCTCCCATGCAACCTATTCTATGGTCCAGGAGTAAACGTTGTCCCCCGAGCAGTTTTCTCTTTTCTTCTTATTACACATTACTTAAGTATTTGACACTTTAAGTACAAATGGAATACATTTTACTTTTCTGTTACTTGTTCGCACAGGTTATCCCCTCAGTTGTCACATTTAGAACAGTATGCATAAAAGGTAATTTGAACAGGTATGGAAATTTCAGCAGTATGCACCCACAATGATAATCGAAGTTATGCAATGGCATTCACAAAACAACCCCCCCACCCCCCCACATCTTTAACCCTACATTATTGTCCATATTCTTCCGTTGTACCCAAGAAAGAATGACGTGTGAAGTACAATAGTATGCACATTTCTGCAGTTCTTTAATAAAATGTTAGTATGTTATAGCTCATGGCTAGGCCATGAAGGGACGTGTACGATACAAGATTGTGTCCAAAGCATTCAGTCTGGTAGCTGTTGCCACACTAGCTTTACAGCAATGCTTTTTCTTATCAATGGTAAAAACGGTCCCCGAATAGAATACGCACCTGTGATATAGAATACCGAAGGCCAGCCACCAGCAAAGCCATACTGGCACAGCAGAGCAGAGACAGGCAATGTCACAGTAGTACCGAGAATGCTGCCAAGTGTACTGATGGCAAGAAGAAAGCTGCGTTCTTGCACGGGTGACCAGCGAGCCATGATGGCAAACATAGATGGAAAGGTCACACCCTGCAGACAGAAATGTAAGCAAATGTCAGGAAACATGGAAAGGAAGAAACTAGGGCTTCAAACACACAAGTTGAATGCAACACACCTTGTACATGACAGCGTACAAATGACTAAACACATTGTGTGCACTTCAGTATGTCTTTTCAGGCCATACTTGTATATCTCATTTAAGGTAAGCATAACTCTTAAGTCCCTCAAGCAATTAATTTATGCAGTGAATATAATATTTTGGCTATTGAAGAATACAATGAATAGAGATTGAATCAAAGCACACAAAGAATGCAGCATTGAGCACTCAGAGGTACCTGGCTGCATGTACTTAATGTTTCAATGTAAATGGTGATGCCGAATGTCACAAGTGATGCACCTGCAAATACCGAAGGTTAATCAATGGTTTATGTCAATTGTTTAGAACCCCATCAATCTAAATCAGCAGTAACAAATATGGCTGCATGATATTGCCGCGAAGAGTATTGAGGATAGTGTTGCGCGTGCCGGCGGTATCGGCATGCACAACGTGGACACAGAACACAAGACTTGGGACTTAATTCTGCCTTACGTGGTCTTCGTCTACAACACCGCGGTGCAGGAGACCACTAAAATGACACCATTTAATCTCGTCCATGGGAGGGATGCCGTTACTACCCTGGACGCCATGCTGCCTAATGTCACTGATGAAAACAACCTAGACGTGGCCGCCTACCTTCAGCGCGCAGAAGAAGCCCGGCAGCTTGCTCGTCTGCGCATAAAAGACCAACAGCGAAACGACGCAAGACGCTACAACCTGCGGAGACGTGATTTAACATACAGGCCAGGTGACATAGTCTGGGTTTGGACGCCCGTTCGCCACCGAGGATTAAGCGAAAAACTCATGCGCCGTTATTTCGGCCCATACAAAGTCATCCGTCAAGTGGGTGAAGTGGACTATGAAGTGGTCCCTGATGGGGCTTGCTCATCCCAATGACGCCACGCCCTGGAAAACGACCTTCGGCAATCGAAGACTACTTGCGCCATACAGAGTACTTGTCCAGCCGTTCTCCATCACCGCCATCCCCACGCTTCACGTCACCAAACCGCAGCAACAACGAACGAAGAAGGCCCCCAAGCCCCCAAGGGGAAACTAAAACCAGCAACTTTTGGAGGTGAGGTTGCTTCAAGAGGAAAAGCTGAAGACCCTCCACCGACGACCATATATGACGACAGCACATCATCTACGACGACGACGACGCACAACAACCCAAGCCGCGAGGCGAAGCAAAACGAAGCAACAAGACGAAGCCGTGACCCGAACCCAAAACCAACGCGCAACTCCAGCCCACGTGCCACCGATTTTGAAGTATCTATCGACGGCCACCTGGTAACTGCCTTGATTGACACAGGAGCCGACTACTCGGTCATCAGCGGGCCATTGACAGCACAACTAAAGAAGGTTAAGACGGCTTGGGACGGCCCGCAGATCCGCACAGCGGGAGGCCACCTCCTCACCCCATCGGGGCGATGTACTGCAAGGGTGACATTCGATGGTTACACATACCTTGCCACTTTCTTGGTGCTCCCACAGTGCTCCCGTGACGTCATTCTCGGCATGGACTTCTTGACTCAACATCACGCGGTTATTGACCTGGCGTCCAGATCCATCAAACTTTCCTCGGATCAAGCCATAAATTCATACTCGGCACCACACAATCGCGCAGCCCTCCGTGTGCTCGAGAATGACGTGAGCGTCCCACCCCGATCAACGACCCTAATTCCCGTAACCACTGGTACTGCCGAAAATGCTCATGGCGTCGTCGAAGGTAACATACAGCTTTTGCTTGGCCGTGATATCGCAATCGCAAGAGGCATTGCGGACTTTCGGAATGGACAGGGCCCAGTGCTGCTAACAAATTTCAGCCAAGAACACCGTCACCTGGCAAGAGGCACGACCATTGCCTTTCTCGATGAAATCGCGGAAGTCAGTGACACCCTCGCCCTCTCGAATCCAGCGACCATCACCCCACAGACCCACAACTCGCAGCTGTCATTCGACATTAACCCTTCCTTGCCTCAATGCAAGCAGCAACTGCTCCAGAACCTCCTTCGACGTTATGACGACTGTTTCGCCACTTCTTCACAGGTCCGGTCTTCACAGGTCTCTGGCAAAGCATCGAATCATAACACAAGAAGACATCCGCCCTCTCCATCAAAGCCCTTATCGTGTGTCGGCACGTGAACGTCAGGCCATCCGAGAGCAAGTTGAGGAAATGTTACACGACGATGTAATTCAGCCATCGAAAAGCCCATGGGCGGCACCAGTCGTCCTTGTCAAAAAGAAAGACGGAAGTCTTCGGTTTTGCGTCGATTACCGACGGTTGAATAGTGTAACCAAGAAGGACGTGTACCCTTTACCAAGGATCGACGATACCCTAGATCGTCTTAGTGATGCAAGGTACTTCTCGTCCATTGATCTGAAGACAGGGTATTGGCAAATTCAGGTTGATGAAAGAGACCGAGAAAAGACCGCCTTCATCACGCCGGATGGATTGTATGAGTTCAAAGTGATGCCATTTGGACTTTGTTCTGCTCCAGCAACCTTCCAGCGTCTAATGGACACAGTACTGGCAGGTCTCGAGTGGCAAATATGTCTCGTATACCTGGACGATGTGGTCGTCTTTGCCTCCAACTTTAGCGACCACCTGAAAAGACTCCGGACGGTACTGGACGCAATTAAGTCATCAGGGCTGACACTGAAGCAAGAAAAATGCCATTTTGCCTATGAAGAACTACAGTTCCTTGGCCATGTTATAAGCAAAGATGGCGTAAGACCAGATCCCGAGAAGACAGCTGCTATCGCACAGTTTCCTCAACCGCAAGATAAGAGAGCAGTGCGCTGATTCTTAGGACTGTGCACCTATTACCGACGCTTCGTCAAGAACTTCTCACACATTGCTGCCCCTTTGACGCAGCTCACCAAGTCGGACGCCCCTTTCAAATGGAAAGCTGAGCAACGTGAGGCATTCAAAGAACTTCAACAACGTTTACAGTCGCCGCCTGTGCTGGGTCACTTTGATGAAAATGCCGAAACTGAGATACATACAGACGCCAGCAGCATCGGCTTAGGTGCCGTTCTCGTTCAGAAGCACAAGGGCTGCGAGCGCGTCATCGCGTATGCAAGCCGCTCACTGTCGAAAGCAAAAGTGAACTATTCCACGTCTGAGAAGGTGTGTCTTGCGATAGTATGGGCCACCTCAAAATTCCGTCCATAATTATATGGCAGACCCTTCAAGGTCGTAACGGACCATCATGCGTTATGCTGGTTGGCCAGTTTGAAAGACCCTTCTGGCCGCCTCGCTCGATGGAGCCTACGGCTTCAGGAGTTTGACGTGAAGGTAGTCCACACATCTGACCGTAAGCACTCCGACGCAGACTGCCTCTCAAGAGCCCCTGTCGGCGCACCACCAGGCCATGAAGACGACGATGCCTTTCTTGGGCCTATTAGCAGCAGCACCTTTGCATTACAGCAGTGCTCAGACCCGATCCTACAACAGTTGATCAACTACATCGAAGGAAAGGCCTCCATACCGCCTGCACTGTTCAAGCGTGGGATATCCTCCTTCTGTGTGCAAAACGGGGTGGTAGTTAAAAAGAACTTCGCATCGAATAAGGCAGCTTACCTTCTTGTCGTCCCAAGCAGCCTCAGAGAAGAAATTTTACAAGCGTTGCGTGACGAACCCACTGCAGGCCACCTCGGTTTTACACGCACACTCCACAGAATTCAAGAACGATACTACTGGCCCCACCTCTCCTCAGATGTTGCGCGGTACGTCAAGAGTTGCCGCGAATGTCAGCGCCGGAAGAGACCTCCAACAAAACCAGCTGGATTTCTCAAGCCAATTGAACCCCCGTCGAGACCATTCCAACAGATTGGTATGGACCTGCTTGGACCTTTCCCCACGTCAACATCCGGTAACAAGTGGATCATAGTGGCCACTGATTACCTTACCCTATACGCTGAAGCTAAGGCCCTCCCGAACGGCACAGCCGTAGAAGTTGCCAAATTTTTTGTCGAATCAATTCTCCTCCGTCATGGCGCACCTGAGGTTTTAATAACAGACAGGGGAACAGCGTTTACGGCTGATCTTACTCAGGCAATCTTACATTACAGTCATACAGATCACCGAAGAACAACTGCGTACCATCCGCAGACAAATGGTCTCACGGAACGCTTGAACAAGACCATTGCCGATATGCTCGCTATGTACGTGGACACAGAACACAAGACCTGGGACTTAATTCTGCCTTACGTGGTCTTCGCCTACAACACCGCGGTGCAGGAGACCACTAAAATGGCACCATTTAATCTCGTCCATGGGAGGGATGCCGTTACTACCCTGGACGCCATGCTGCCTAATGTCTCCGATGAAAACAACCTAGACGTGGCCGCCTACCTTCAGCGCGCAGAAGAAGCCCGGCAGCTTGCTCGTCTGCGCATAAAAGACCAACAGCGAACTGACGCAAGACGCTACAACCTGCGGAGACGCGATTTAACATACAGGCCAGGTGACAAAGTCTGGGTTTGGACGCCCGTTCGCCGCCGAGGATTAAGCGAAAAACTCATGCGCCGTTATTTCGGCCCATACAAAGTCATCCGTCAAGTGGGTGAAGTGGACTATGAAGTGGTGCCTGATGGGGCTTGCTCATCCCAACGACGCCGCGCACGACAAGAAGTGGTACACGTCGCCTGTTTGAAGCCCTATCATGCGCGCTAAAGGAGGCTCCCTGTTTGCATCTCTTGTTTTGTTTATGTGTGCGTGATTCGTGCTTATTTGCCATTTACTTTCGCACAGGCTGTCCTTTTGTTTTGGTTTTATTTTAAACAAAGCATCGGGGCGATGCTTACGTTGAGGAGGGGAGCAATGCCGTGAGGCGTATTGCGGATAGTGTTGCGCATGCGGATACCGCCAGCACGTGGCCTTATTGTGGTCCAGGATGCACCGCGACTCATCTGCGAAGATCATGGCCCGCACGTCGACCATTCGTTGATAACGAGATAGCGCCAGACGCTACGACGACTGTATCTCGGATGGTGAACGCGCCTTGCGTTCCAGTAGGACATTTCTGTTACCCGACGGCCGTCGAACGCGCTGTTCGCCTCCCGCTAGGCCGGTGTGTCTGTTTTCCTTTAGTGAGCGCAAGTCCGCCAAATAAACGGATCTCCTTCTATTTCTACTAACCTCCCAGTCTCCTGTCTTCGGGCTACCCTCACTCTTACGTGACAATATTATCATGCTGTTCTGATATTTTTCACACCTCAAGCCTATATTCAACATGACCTGCTCTAACTGCACATAAATTAATGGTATATAAAAGTATTCCCAGCTTAGATCCCTCAATTATAAAATGCTGGCTCAATAACTAAACAGCTAAGCTAATTAATTGTTGAAAGCTCCCCCAAGAACGGCTGTGCTTGAGGTGCACTAACATGAACAGCACAGCTGTATTCAGCAGCGTCGCTGTGGCAGAAACACTGAAAACAAATATTTCAGACATGCGTAAAGCTACTAACTTCTTTGTATAGCACGTGTGTACATTGGGATTTTTTTAACCCACCTCATCCCTGTGCTGTCTATTTCATGGCGGAATTGCTAGAAGTGACAGGCATGAGCTGCTGACTCATGGCTATGCAACATGAGCATAGTTATTTTAATGAGGCTGCAAGGCTAAGTGAGTGATGTTATTTAATAATTAACAGACAGAAAACTGGCAGAGGAAGACATTTGTGAGGGTTAATGTTGAAGCTTGGGCGTGATGGTAAAGCATCGGAGGAAACATAGGGCAAAAGAACATGAAGACACGTGCTGTGTCGCCCTTCGTTGTCCTTACCTTCTTTTGCGCTGTGTTCCCTCCGATTTGTAAGAGGCAAAGGAACAATGAACAAACCCTGCCATGCCTCCATTAAATATTCATACTCTCTTTGTGTATTGTGTCTTAGATGTTCTTTCTTTTAGTTCTTTCATCCAAGTTTTTAATCTGAAACAATATATATGTGCACCAGTGTGTAATTTAGTGATACATCCTTGGTTCTTCAAACTGCAAGACTCAGTTATTACGTCCCTCCCACACTGTTACTGAAGACAGAAAAGGACAAACATTTAAAAAGAACATATTCACATATTTCACCATAGTTCTTTATATTTTCCCACACCTGTTTATTCTTTGTTGGTTGGTGCTGAACATCACATAATCCTTTTGTAGTGATTCATTATCCTTTAAATTCAATGTTCACAGATAGCTGGTTCCAACACCCAAGTTATAAATGAAGCAGCCATGTAAATGACCACTTTATTCTGGCTCAAATTAGTGCCTGGTCACGTAATAATAATATTAACTCTATGCACAACTACATGGTATGTACACATATGAATTTTTCAGCATGATAGAGATAGATAACACACTTATTGCATGCACTAGCATATATGTTTGCCAGGAGATATGAAAAGAAGTCACAGCTCGCAGGTCAAAATTTTATCAAGAATATGAGAGTGTTTCTAGCCATAACCTGCTTCAATTTGGAAGGTATTTATGTATACATATTGAGACTATTTGCAAATATTCTTACGTCTGCTGCTTCAAATTTATATTAGTAAAAATTGTCATTTTGTATCGGATCCTCCATTTCTTTTAAAATAATGTGCAACAGTTAATTATGACTGAAACAGCTGACACACGCAACTTATCTGCAATGTCATAGTGGAGGCTTCCCATCTGAACCTAGAGGAAAAAAATAAAATGGGTCTCGTATCTTATCACAGGCACCAGCTGTACTGGTGCACACTCTTCCCTCTTTCCAGCATGCCAGAGCTCTCATGATAAGATTCCTGATTAATGCTTTCAGGAAGAGATAGAGGCTTTTGAGTAATCAGATAGCATTGTCACTTTCTCACCATCTGTTCCCACGTGTGCGTCTACAATTGTAGTAGACACAAAGTCAGATCATGATTTTCATGGGCATTTCAGATTGTACCATATACATCTAATTACATTTCAATACAATGCTTATAATTCCACATAAATGCTTATAAAAGGAATCTTCCACATAGTAGTCAGCAATTAGTGCAGGTAGCTATTGTTTTAATTAGATTTTTAATGTTAATCATAGATAAGAATTTTGTACAAAAGCTTCAAAATATTATTTTAAAATCTTTGTCTTATATAGCACCTCGTAAAATGTATGGTTATCCCAATATTGTGACATTGGACTGGCCTAAAGACACTTTTTTCTGTTTAGAACAAATATAGAGTCAAACGTCACTCTAACGAAGAAACAACTGACGCGAATAGCTTCACTATATAGAGTAATCCTTTCTAAATACATGCCTGTGCAATAGTCATCACAGGGTGTTCATGTACTTTTTTATAGCCATAAATTCATTATACTCATATTCATTATTTTAAATATGGCTTTCTACTTAGCTCACTGGTATCTACCGGTTCGAGTATAATGTATCATTTTCAGAGGCATTTCACTATCAGTTGATTAAATAGCATATTATTACCAGATCTCCCCTTTAGCCCCAATGCATCCATTTTGCTCCCATAGCTAATATTTTTGCAATTGTCCTATCCGGCCATTGCTGATCTCTCCACAGTCCATTAGTAATTTAATTTCTTTGCAAAATATAAATTGAATGAAACACATGAAGATATTTCTCGTAGATATGCAGATAACATGGCACTGATACTTGCATGTAGACATAAGGGGTTGCTGACAAAATGTAGTTAAAGGTAGCACTTTGTTAATTTTCTTGTGCTATTAACAAAAATACATATCTGCCTGTGGTACATGCGAAAAACGTATTTTCCTTGTGCATGCCAAGCAAGAACTGAACAATGGTTCTTAAACCAAAATGTCGTCCATATCTCAGCCATAAGCACAGAATGTTTTTGCAATTATTAAATATGCTACTTATGCACATTGTCACTAGAACAAAATGAGAAACACAACTAATACTCAGTATCTGATTTTCTCAATGCATCTTCCTGATCAATACAATGTATACTGCTTGATATTTTGCTATTCACATATTTCTGCATAAAAAAACAACCACCCCTTTATACCGTTGTGCTGGCATTTTAATAAATAGACTATAATGCCACGTTTAAGTTTACACTAGTGAGCTTTAAATTGGGTAAGAAGTGCAAGCAAGAAATTATGGTGGTTGAACCTTCCAACTGTCTCTACGTGGAGTTTATGTGATTGTGCGACAGAACATTACGAGGTATTATGAAGACAAGCGGCATAAACAGTGGCAGTGTCACCAACGCTGTAAAGAAGAAACTGACAAAGAAAGAAGGAGTCAGCCTGCTGCCATAAGCTAGTGTTACATACTACATTTGGTGGAAATGCTCGGTACCAATAAAGTGATAGGTTTTGGCAAAGTGTGGTTATATAACTTTGTAGACAGTCTCTTCCTGGTAGTGCTAACTAACTTTGTGATGTGCGCCCCTCCTTTTTTGTTATGCAGGGATATGATTTCATGCACTCACCTCAGCGACACCTTCGAGAACGCGAAGGACAATAAATGCACTAAAGCTGGCTCTTGCCACCACTGCAGTGGCGAGGGTGAGTAGCGATGTGACGCCGACACCTGCTGCAAAGATCCACGCGGGATTGATGACCTCCGAAAGCCATCCAGCAGGGATTTGCGTTACAATGTACCCGTAGAAGAAAGCATTCAGCACATATCCCTGCATCACAGGGTCCCAGAGAAATTCTCCATCCTGCGCCAATCCAGAAAGGCAAGCATGTTAGTCTTCAAAGTCACGTCAAATGAGGTTAAAAAGAGTTGTGCTTGTTGGTATTCTGTTTTAAGTTATTGACACAAAAAAAAAGGCACGAGAAATTGAATTTGTATCTGTTGTACTGTCCTATCACATTTTTGCTGCAGTACGCTGCTAAGTTGTGAGAACACAAATCAAAGCCCATTTCTGATAAGCATTTCAGAAGATTAATCTAAATGTTGGTTTGATCCTCTTCAGTGTGTCTACACTGTGCAATTTTTTCATGAATATGTTACATTTCAAATAATAATTTTTATTATTTTCTCTATTTTTTTTTGCCAGGAACACTCTGCAACTGTTGATCCTCTGTATGTGCACTCAACTATTCTTCGTATCATTGCTGTATTGACATCTTAAGTTGCTTGAGTCAATACGCAGTTTATAAAAGTAGGAAATGATACAAAATAACAAGAACGCTGTGAACCCTTGTCTTCAACTTCGTGCATCTGTGTACAAGCATGAATGTAGGCAAGTTTTGTGCATTGGTATCTAATTATGTAAGCAACAAACTATAAATTTATGCATGTTTATTTTTTAGGTGTACAATTCTCAAATGTGAGCAATATTTTCTGGTCTACACATCTTAATAAAGTTTTTGCATGAGTTTATAAAAAAGTTAAAATCTGCAAACACTAACCTACGAAAATGGGCACTCGCATACATCAAAGCTATTTCAAAACATGCTACCGTTATTAGGGATTCATCTGACATGAGTTGAGCAGGTAGATTGGATTAAAATAAAGATTATATTATTCATGGGTGTGCCTAAGATCAGTACTATGAATGCACTGTGATAAGCACACATTCACAAACATTTTATTTGTGCAAACTAAAATTAATTCAAGTTTTTTACGCAGTCGTGCAGTTAAAAAACATAATAATAGTCATATATGAGACAACCAAATTATGTGTCTATCAACAATGATCACGAATACAAAGTTGAAGAGCTTGTGGCCAGCGGAAACATTAATGAAGAATACAACATTGGCAGGGACATAGGCAAGGGGGGTTTCAAACCGACTTTTTCAAAATTTTCAATTTTACTTGAGTGTATGTATATACACACATACAAATACATGCACAAACATATATAAAGCATATTTGATCCCCCCCCCCCCCCAAAAAAAAAAAAATTCTCACTATGCTCCTGAATGTTGAAGAGCTAGTGGCTAGATGAAAGTAGTGCACAACCTAACATTATGTAATAACTTCTGTCCCTGCTGCCAACTGACAGCAGTAAAAGAAGCTCTACTTTATTTACACACTCGACACTTGTTCAATAAAGATGCATTGCCACATGCATAATGTCCTTAGTCTTGGAGTAAGAAAACAGTACATTAACTTGATGACCAGTAGCCATTATAACATACTATCATTTATTCATATTTAATTATTGGTTATTTGCAAATATATCAATACCAAAGTAGGTTATGCATAGTGACATCAATATTTCATATTTAGGATATTTGTTCATGCTCATAATGACTAAAATGTTGAGAAGGAGGGTGCATTTGATATTCTTTTAAACATATGTAGTTAGAAAGCACCATAGGCCTGTGGTTAGCATCCCTGCCTTTTTATGTAATTCACTTACTTTCTCCTGCATCCCATACTTTCTGAAGAACATAGCTAGATAAGAGCCGCTTGTATGAGAGGTGAATATTGCCCAGATGTGATCTACGTACCACACAATATACTAAAAAATTTAGAATGCAGATTTATGCCAGTTTGATGCAACAGAAGAGGGAAGATAAGGAAAGGAATGCTAAAAGAATGGGAGACAAACTGCCCAAACCATTGCTTGATACTGATAATATATACAGTCAAAGTGCTTCATAAGAGGCATGCTCTGGGCAGCAATTCTCGCCTTTTATATGAGATGTCTCTTATAAGCAGGTACCCTGTATGCATTTTCTTATCAACCCGTATTTTGCTGTAAGCACACTGGTGCCTCTTATACCCATTTGTCTCTTATAAAGGAGTTCGACTGTGCCTATACTTTTATATGTGTGTGTGCAAGCAAATATTAAAAAATGAAACATACATCCGACTCGTCACCTCCATTTATATACGATGCATTTCTGTAAGGAACAGGACAGCTGATGTTTGCTGTATGGCTCGAGTTGCCATTCACGGCTGTGGTGTTCACCATGGCAATGATGGTCACACTGAGGTTCACCCTCATTGAATAAACCAGGAATACCCCCAGGGAGATCATACAGCTCATCAGGTAACGGACTTGAAGTCGACATGCTGCACGAAAAAATAAGGACGTAACATGTGTAAGAAATATTTCAAGCATCTGGCATGACATGCAGTGCCATGCATGACATTTTAATTTCTATTGGCATCCATGCATAGCTACAGGCTGCCAATGGCAAAATGAATCGTGTCAAGAATTAAATGATAAGATGTATTAAAATCCATGTAAAAGACATATCACAACATAACTCAATATGCACATTTTGCAATATTTCCACCCTGTTATAGCGTGAGCACATATAATTAGGAACTGCAGTCGGAAAAAAAGCAAAATGCATTCGCATGCTCCCTGTGTGGTCAAATTTTGCACAGACCGCGCAGTTCTCCTGACAAAATTGAACATATAATTGAGAACCTCACTTTTGTCTGTCTTGGATGGTGACGTTGCAAGCGTGCTTGTATCCATTAGACCACAGGAGGTGAACGTCTTATAATGCGGCGCGTATTACTGAACAGATCAGCAACTGACCTCCTATCTGCTGTCCGCGTTGTTCTTTCCACTTGCCCTAGTTGCTCTAAAAGTTATCGCGCGTATGCTTCATGAGCAACGCACGCAGCGCTCATGCGAACTTGCGCGTACTCCTCGATAATATGAAGTGACATAGCACGAGGATAACGAGGACGATGCGCCGCACGGCATTTTTTACGTCTTTTGCTTTCGATTTTTCTTCGATGCGCCAATGGTAGTCACGCGCACCATTACGTCATTCAGCAGTTGGAAGCGCTCAACGAGCTTGGCCAATGCGCAATGTGTCCGCCATGCGCACTTCGGTACGACGTCAGCCGCATAGCGCTAGTACGTCGCGCGCGCGCGTTCAGGTGTTTTGCGCGTCCACCCCCAACCTGCGCCCGTCGTCCGTCCGCGCGCCCCGCCTCCGCGCCGCGCTCGATGCAGACACTAGCGGCGCCCGTCGAGCAGGTGTGAAACTAAAAGTTGTTTACCGTCCCAACAGAGGCGACGAGCGGAGCTCAAAGTTCGAAAACTGAAGCGTACGCCAAAGGCGTGGTTCGTTGGAGTCTCGCGTGGTGCGGTCCTTCCCGTTTAGTCGGCATTGGTATGCCTCCATAGCGTCAGGTATGAATCGGACGGGGTGACGACCGTGCTGCTGAGCCGTACGATGCGGCGCGGCGGTGAAGAAGGTGCCGCCGCGCTACCGGTCGCGTTTTTCCTCCTGTGCACGATCGGGCCGTGGTCAACGTGCCACGGGCAGCAGTGGCAAAATGCACCGAACCGGAGATATCCCGAGCCATCAGCGACGCCGGACTTCTTGCCTCGGAACCGAGCCCCGCCAGGTCCTACGCTGTACCGTGCCGACATGAGGCCGTCCGGACTGTACGAGCGGACGGACGAATTTCAAAAGTACAGCGATGGACGGTGCTCGATACGACCGACCACGACGCCAACCATGTACAGGACAGCAAAGACTCCGATCGGTGTTTTTACGGGGAGGATCGTCTACCTGTGCGACCTTCCCGAGTTCACGCGAACCGACCAAAGGCCGGTGTCGCAGGGCGGCATCGACCACTGGAACGACAGGCTGGACTACCCTTCCAGCGCGGTGGCCTACCTGGGCATTCCGTACGCCCAGCCGCCACTCGGACACAACAGGTTTAGGGTAAGTCCGTGCATCGATGTGCGTAAGCTAGGTAGGCGCGCGCTTTTCTCTGGCCGTTGAGGAACTCGGACTTGTGGCGCTAGCGCGGTGGGCACGGCTGCGGGGTTTGATGATTACTCACGGCGGTGACTTCACTCCAACTTCCGGGGAGGCTCTGGCGATCGCATGCATTTACAGCGTGAGGACGCCAAGGTCTGTACCTCCCTGTGGCCGAAACGGCGATCGATTGACGGAAGGCCGTGTCCGTGTTGTTTTGGAGCGGTGCCGAACTGACCTACGCCGTTTTGTCCTGATCGCTGGCTAAGTTAATAACAGTTCTTCGAGATTTCGCTATGCGCTTGAAGTGTAGTATATGACTGTACGCAATAGCGTCTGAAAAGGGAGAGAGTGCGAGCGGCATACACAACATATTCGCCTTCATTTCAGTAGTAGCGATTGTACCACCAAGAAACAATGTGATATTGCAATGACCGACCGTGACCCCTGATAACCTCTGGCGCGCGACTGCGTTTATGGCCTCTTGATGTTTGAGACTGTCACGGACCAGCAGTTTTCGCGAGGCAGTGTTTTAGATGTTTGTTTATTTAATTTTTATGAACCACTGCGATGTAAATGTACGTTGTGTGCATGAATTTAATTCATTTTTTTTTCGGATGCCATCATGTGGAACTCTACATGCATTGTAAATAAAAAGACAGTATCTGTAAATAAATAAAAATAGCACAAATGAATATAGTGACTTGATCAGCCTAAACGAAACGAAAATGCAGTAATAGAAAAGAGGCTATTAAGAGCCTCAAAAACTCGATCAGCTGTGATACTCACGCATAAACAGTGTGTCATGGTCATGAAAAACACCATTTTCACACAGTGCCACTGTTTTGTAAGTCAGTACATTCACAAGTAGGACAGAAAAGGTAGAAATACTTTGCATTCAGCAAATCACAGTGGTAATTACGAAATTGCAAGAGCTGGAGCTTCCTTCAGAAGAAAAATTTGGCTATTAATATAAACAGTAGACACCTGCCAATAAATATAAGCAATACATAGATCTGAAGGAAAAAGTATTTTGGCATATAGCACGAGGGCATCCTTCCCTTTGACCTTTTGTTTTTTTCAGCACTCTTTGTCTGAGATCATTACTACGTGCAACCAAAAATCTAAGGCAATGGCTATTATGAAGTCTGCAGTAACACATTTCAGAAGACAAGTTGGTAATCATCTTGAATCAGTGGTGCACAAAAGAGCAATAGCGCAAGAGGAAGGAACACGGGCATGCACTGTGCCTGTCTTTCTTCCTCTTGTATTATCATTGTTTTGTGCACCATCGATCTGGAGTAATTTTATTAACTACCTCTTCACTTTTATGATGGCACTGCTGCTGCGAAAACTTGTATAGTAGTACTTAATAATGTCTCAGAAGTGCATTAAAGCATAAATGTGCTTTCTTTCTTTCATTGGTTATGTTGTGTGTCCAGTTTTACTGGAAGTGAAGGTTAAAGAGAGTAATTTTGTCTACTACTGAACAAGATTCACCCTCGCATGTCTGGAATAATCAAGGTAAATTCAAGAACTTGATCTGCATTTCATCAAATCTTTTCACCTGCCATTACTCATGTTTTTATTTCCATTGAAGGCAATGAGCTTTGAGGCAGCTCACTAATTTGGGCAGAAAATTTATTTTCATGACACTTCAAAAGCTATTGTAATAACAAATGCCTTCAAAGTGCTTGATAATGTTACCGTCAACAAATGCAGCATGCCTTTTAAACAGTAGTGAGGTTGAGTTAACATGAATAGTAAGTGCATGGTAATAATATATGTTGATTTTCATTTAATTAAGCGAATATTCAGTGCCACTACAGCCTTTCGTGTGCTGAAATCGTATCATGTGTACAAATGGCCGTCATACAGATCTACCTGCAACTGGGTTGCTCACTGCCGTAATCATAGCAGTGGGGATAGTCGAGCTGTGTGGAGAACATAGGAGTAGAAAACCGAGAACAAAATTTGCTATGTCACCAGTTCAAGTTGACTTTTGTAAAAAAAAGTGTGCAGAGAGAAGTAGTGCCAGAGGTTGCATGCATTCCATAAAATTTATGCCGCGATACACAAGAGATGGAAGGCATCGTCAGCATACATGCCATGGAGATATGCAACATGGTTATGCCTTGTTTCCTTTTAAGGCACAAAATTACCTACTCTAATTTTGTCTTATATGCATGGAGCTCAAGTAGGAAATTTTCAGGCTTAATGTAAATGAATAATTTTCTAGAACAAATGTACCACTATTGTTTCCCTCACTGACTTGAACTTCCATGTCTAGTGATGCTGTTCTCTCAACACTGGTAGCTGCGCTCTCATTTCTTGTTCGTTCACCCGTACCAGTGCTGCTGGCCACCAGATATTGAAAATAGTGCAGCTTCGCTAGCTTTCTCTTCATGCTGGCTAATGTTGAAGTGTTGTGAGTTATTATTATAAACTGCACTGAGTGCTCTTCGTTCATGTGCATTTCTCGCGTTCATGTGCATTTCTTGTGGTTACTTTGACCGCTATGCATTTGACACGGGACTGATGATAAAATAATTTGTGAACAGGAACCTCAAGCTCATGGCCCCTTGGGGAATGTGCAAGCCCTAAACTTCAGGGACTCATGTATACAGCATATCGACTACAAGGGCCAACACATGGGTGTTCCCTCGACCAGTGAAGATTGTCTTTACCTTAATATCTACACACCTAATGTGAGTACATTTTATGTCTAAATACCGTGTGTTTAAAATGGGTGATCATTTCTGAGAGTGGTTCTGTCATGCTGGGTTTGATACCACTTTTTTTTTTCTTTGCTGTTACATTATTTAACATGTAAGGTCAAAGTACAGCTCTGTACAAACCTAATGTTTGTCTATGAAGCCTGGCCATGACAATTAAGTAGGTGAAAAGTAATGCAGGAACTCAATATAGCACTCATGCTGCATTTTAAAGAATGCAGTGTGCATGATGCTTGTCATGAAGTTGGCTTGTAACCTTGCAGCGTAGTTGTCAACCTTGTTGCAATCTGTTAGCTAATAGAGTTGACAAAGGAATTCAAATACTGCTGTTTGTATTATGCACTTTTCATTGCTGCCCGTGGTGTCCTTTAGTGACATCACTTACACAATTACTGAAGCACCATATTGATGTTTGGAATGATTGATTAACTTACCCGAGTTGGTTATTTCTATCCCATGTTAATCTCACAAAAATAATATTTTACTAACTATGCCTGTGTCAAAATCTGTGTAATGTGTATATACCTGTATTTTGTGGTAAAATCACTTTTAATGAGTTTTTAAGCGCTGTTAATCTAGTGATTGTTGTCTTGTGTGAACAACATTTATGCTCATTTAAAAGTATATCTTTTGACTACAGTTGTTGTTTGAAGGGTTAATGCTGATTAAATAACTTGCTTACGGCCTGTGAAATAACTTATCGAAGAACTTCCTTAGCCGATTCCCATTTAGTATGCTTGTTGGCAAACTGACGTGATCTTTTTTTTTCCCAGCTGGCCGATGTGAATCGCCGTTTCGCTGTCATGGTGCACATACATGGTGGCGAATTCGACCATGGGTCTGGAAATTTGTTTCCTGGACACATGCTGGCAGCTTCACAAGAAGTTGTTGTGGTCACTTTCAACTATCGTCTAGGTGCTTTAGGTAAGTGGAATGTTGACCAGTCTCTGTTGTAATCCAAAAGATGTATTCATGAGGATGGCATTGAGCACTACACAATGTGTGTATGCATGCATGTGAATGTGTTGAAACACAGAGACGGTAGATGCTTTTCTTTCAGTCAGTTGATCAAATGAGGGTTTATGATGATAAAAAAACAAAAATATACAATGGAATTTTAGTCTATGTGTCTATTTATCAGTTAAATCTGATGCACATGTACAGCAAGCTGCAATAATAATCTTGTTTATAATGAATAGGTTATTTCTTGCATGCGTTTAAACATTGCACCTACACACTGGTCATTACTGAGCAACATTGTCTTGGGTTGATGCTGTGTTTTAAGCCTTTCAATAGAAAGGGCTGCAGTGCATTGGATTGTGTTTAAGCATTGGTGTGATGTCTTGATTGAAAATATCACATGAGGAGTCATTTGGTGATACTTGTGTGGTTGTCACCATAAGTAATGCTACCATTATTTATGCCTTATGCTCGCTTATGCTTCTCTGCTAACTTTGCCTGTTTATTCTGTCCCACTGTTATACAGTCAAACCTTGTTTCATTATATGCATATATTTGTAATGCTGTATTAGTGGCAAGACCTTTTATTTACAACAAACTCTCAGTAAATGGAAGTCTCTTAAAAGTAATGGCTGCTCAGATGAAACAACTGTCTCTAATATTATTTGTTTTGTGCTTGAATTTTTCACCCCTGTTCATGTCTCAGTGAACAGAACTGTTAAAAGAAACTTATTTTTTCTTGTCCGTGCAGGTTTCATTTAATGAGGGTCTCCTGTGCTTTGTTACAATCAATGATTCATTATATTCATATTCATAAGTCAGAATTTCACTGCAGAACATAAAAGCTCACAACTGGGTTTAATGTGTCCTGCTTTATATCTCTGTTTTTTTTTTATTATACTTATACAGGTGGTCATAATCGTCAAGCCACCTCCACAGCCTTTGTTTTATTGTCATCACAGGGCACAGAAAACAAAATATTACCCTTCACCATCCGCAGGAGCTGAACTCATATCAGTGTGTCAGTACACAGCTGGGAGCTAGATGCACAGATTTCATGCTTCATCATTTTTGTGCTCCACAGAGTGATGCTGCTTGTGCATGTGCTTTGATGGGCGTAACAAGCAGTAGCATAGAGGATGGGGACAGCAATTAGTGCTTCACAAAGAACGTAATTGCAAAAAATGCAAAAACAGACAAAGAAAGGTGTGTAGATAGCTTGTTGATTTTGCTCTGTTTTTCGTAATCATAAACAACCAACTAGTCCATATTATTGCCCGTGTGAAGTTCACGAAGAAATTGTTCTTGAAAAGATGGCAGATCTCCATTATAAAAACATTTCTCTTGCAGTAGGCGAGTTGAGCCAGATAAATTGGTAAAGCCTGACTTTTTTTTTCTTCTTTACAGGGTTTCTAGCAACCGGGGACAATGCTTCACCTGGCAACTATGGTTTGCTGGATCAAGCAGCCGCCATCCAGTGGGTGCGAGACTACATTGCAGGCTTCTCCGGAGACCCGTCTCGTATCACCCTGTTTGGTACCGGTGCCGGAGCAGCCAGTGCTGGCCTCCACTTCATTCATCAGATGAATAGGCGCAACTGTGAGTGACCACATGGAATGTGAAAATGAGCACAAGCAACTGTGGCCTTATGTTGCCATGTTAGTAGGGGCAGCTTCAGTATTCTTCTGTTGGGTGGCATGGAGTGTGCTCTTTATTGGATGTACGAGATGGCTTTCTGTGACTGAGTTAACGACTAGAAAGAAGGAGTTACACTTTTCCTTGGTGGCAGTAAGTGAGAGAGTTGTTATTAAATCTTAAACAGTCCCTTTTACTATTCACAAATGTCTTATAGTAACAGAGCTAAGCTAGTTGATAAGTATTCATTCTAAAAGATAGGGCTTGCAAACACAGACACTAGAAAGAGGTCAGGACACCAGAGACGCTGACTAACAACTGTAAAGGCGTACAAGGAGGAAAAGAAGGAAGGCTCAAAAACTTATCTGCTCGTACCCCATGCAAGAGGCGAACCCATTCACATTGCGTAGTGCTTGTCTTTGACACTTGTTATTATCACGTCTTAGTATTATCCTTGGCTTACTTTTTGCATTACATCATTACTGCTTTCTTTTTTTACCTACACTGAGCATTGTGCCTTGCGGCGGGAAGTGCTCAGTAGTATCTGGCACTTTGCACTATGTCAAGCTTGTCAAAAATTGTTAAGGACACTAGTGCAAAGTCCCTTGGCACTAGCGTCCTTGACAAATTTTATGTCCACCTCTGTGGAACAGTGACTGCAATGCTCAGCTGCTGACTGGAAGGTCGCAGGTTCAATCCCGGCCTTGGCGGTTGAATTTTGATGATAGAGATGAAATGGTAGAAACCCGTGTACTGTGTGATCTTAATGCACATTAAAGAACACGAGATGGTCGAAATTTCCGGAGCCCTCCACTACACTGTCTCTCATAATTATATCGTGGTTTTGGGACGTAAAGCTTCAAATTTTATTGTTTGTGAATATTTTTATGGCATTGTGCAAATAAATGTTTGTCCTGGCCACTATAGCAAGTGTCAGAAGGTCATATGACCCCAGCAAAAGCTTACGAGACGCAAAATTGAGAAATTTATATCTCCACTTTTTATAAAACCATAGCCACCACAAATCTTCCATCCTGTCGTAGTTATTGCAAGCTATACAATCCACCTCTACATTAGAAGCACCATGCACTAACAGAGCAGAAATTCGCATTTGCAGTGGAGCCCACTTCCTGTAAACTTTAGCTGAAGGATTTAAAAATTGAGATGACGGCAATGTTAGATAAGCATGGTACTCTCTTTAAGCTAATTTTGTTTGGAACAAGGAGAGAGTGGCTAGTGCAGACAGCAGAAATCAGTGCCAGTTACCTCTGGAGAAATGGTTTGTCAGAGATCTGAAATACATTTGCGTGGCAAAAGCAAGTACGAAACAAAACTATAGTTTGTTATTGCTGCCAGACCCACACGTGAAATTCTTATCTGTAGTTGAAGAGAGTGAGGAATGTCCTCTGCAGGATGAAGGCCTCTTTCAACGACCACTAAATAATAACCCTTGTCTTGCACCATCTGACTACCATGTTATGCTTGCTAACTTCTCTTCCAGGATCTGCCAGTCATCCTTCACTACATCTTGCTTCCCTTAACACCTGCTGTCTAACTCTGGTTTACTACTGGCTGTTCACGCTAAGCTTTACGTAAGCTTTGAATGTCCATCTTTTCCTCCAAGTCTCAGTTAGCTTATGAGCCAGAAACTTCAAGGTTTGTAACTAAGATTGACAGAAAAAAAAGCTAGCACTTGTGCAATAAGCTATCAAACGAGGAAAAGAAATGGTGTAACATTAAGGGAGAAGAATTCTATTGATTTAGCAGCAGACAAGTTTAGTCAATACTCAAGGCATAAGTAGCTACACATCATACTTGTATGTATTATAGAAAATAAGTAATCGATTGGGGTTACCAATAATTCTTATAAAGTTTGATTGATCACAGGGGTCAATGACAACCCCAGAAAAGTAACTAATTACTGAAATGTAATTAATTACTTTTGTATTACTTTCCTTCAAAGCTTTATTGCTGTAGGACAATAATACAAGCTTACTGAAACTACGAGCAACTGTGGCTTGCATGGTAAAAAGAGAAGACTTGCATGAAGGCTTTCAGGCTTACTCTGGCTTCTTTGATATAGCGGCACACATTGCTAACTTTCAACTGGAGCCATTTTTTTTTTAGGTTTTCGTCGGTAATTCTTCCAGGTTTCCTCATTAAGAGGTCAGCTGCAACACTGAACACTGTGAATTCATGGAGTGAATGGCGGTATATAGGAACGCCTTGGGCACCAGCTCGTAGTTGTGTAGCGCTTCAATGCTAGTGTACATGCTCTCTGTGAAGCGTTGTGCTTCGCTGTTGCTGGCACTCGGGTAAGGCGTTACAGGTGAGGCCAAGGAAAAGGTGAAAGAAATAGGCTCTGTAGGGACCTTCCAGTCTAACAAGACGAGTGGTCCCTGCAAAGCCTGTTTATTCACCTTTCCTTGACCTTACATGCAATGTCTTACACAGGGGGTTCCTACAAAACGGTAGGATACTTTTCGAAACGGCAACTGGCATAGAAGAATGGTCACTAGTTGGTATAAGAAACAAAAATTAATTGGTTATGGATAATCAATTACAAGAAAACCTAATTGAATGACCCATTGCTTTAACAGTTTCTGAAACATAAATGATTTCATTACAAAAATACAACACTTGTTATGCATCACATACAACTCTGTCCCAGATGAAAAAAAATCTGCTTAGGCCTACCACCACATTTTCTACAGTGTACACAAGCCCAAATGGTGTCAAGTGTTAATATTAATAGGGTGTCTATGCATAATATAACATAGAAAACGTCCTATTTTGGTTGACCTGGTGCCAACATGTGCAGTGGCCTTCCAACGGGTGATTGCCGCCGGTGGATCACCGTTGGCCGAATGGGCCTTTGACCAGGACCCAATACGCATGCGCAATATAAGCTGGCTGTATGGCGAGAAGGTCGGCTGCTATGCCGACAGCACCTGGCGCCTGGTGGACTGCCTGCGCAGCAAGGGGAACAGCAGCTCCGAATTCACTTTGGCCACTGTTGGGGTGCGTATTACCTTTAGAGCTCAGTGGTTGTCCACTTTTGCTACATATTTGGCGCTTGTGCGCAGTTTGTTTTGGTCCGGTTAAGTCTGATGGGAACAACAAGGATTTTTGTTGGATGCTTTACGAGCTTCTTTTCACCCCTCTTTTCGTGGGTGTACTCTGAGAGTTCACTGTGAAATCTGTGAGTGACCTTTCTTCGTCACATTGAAAAAAAAAGAAAAAAAAAAGACTTTGAAGTATATCACCTCTTACTGAGTACATGAAGCGATTCTCTCTGCAGAAGACTTCACCTGCTGGCAGTCACTGTGACAGCACTGTCGGCATGAAAAATGGGATGGAATCGGCCTACTGGTTCTTGTGCATAGCTCTGGTCACTGGAATTTTTCCTGAATTCGTTTTTATTTTCTCTTGCATCATTTGCATTTGTCATATTCGCAGTGAATGACTGGCCTTCCTTCGCATGGGACTCACAGTTAAATACCAGGTTAATTCTGAAAATTTTGCTGTACTTTGTTTTCATCAGCCATCCTAATGAATGTACTTCATTTTCATCAGCCATCCTAATGAATGCTATACTAGTTATTTTATTACTTTCTATGTTCTACTGAAAAGCTATTAGTACGGTAATGTGCCCTTACTGCTATGTCATTGTTGCTTTTGAAGCAAGTAGTATTTTTGAGTGAAATTGTTTGAAATCATACAAACTTTCAATAGTGCAAAGTGCAATTCACTATGCATCTCAACTTTAAACTTATTACATGTAGCTTACAGTGACATTGCCTGACAATGTCAGCTTCTAAAGCTTAGACCTTGCTGTTTGATTTGCCACCCGTGTTAATCACTTTTTTTCTGCATGCAGAGCCCTCCCATGCGTTGCCGTTCATGATTACAATACATACTCTTGTGACACATCTGTTAAAGCTAAGCTTTCAATGGCGGAACAGAGGCTGACAGTTTATGCACATTCACTAATTATGTGAAAGGTTCTCTTGTTCTGGAGAGCTTCATTGTTATTACCCATTTTCCATCATGCCGATCGTTTGAAAGTAACAGCTGGGTTACAGTCAAGCATTTTAACAAAGCACACATGGTGTTCGAATTACCTCGTTTATACAGGTCACTCTATTGTAAAAGCCGCGTGCCACAGTGAGTGCGATACAGCAAGAATATAAAGAATCATTTGGTATACAGGTCAATTTGAATTAGAATTGCTCATTGTAGCAGCGCTTGAATGTACTACCAATGTGAGCCCCCAGTGCAAGTTTTGAACGTTTCTGGTGGTTTCAAATTGCGTGCAGCCGACAGTGGGACGCTTGCCCTGGGGACCCGTCCTCGACCGTCACACACGTTCGGACAGTATTGTGTCCGTGTCTCCAGAAGACTACCTTCGAGACCTCGCACCGGAGGAGGCCAATCGGTTTCACAACCAAGTCGCATACATGACTGGTGTCACACGTGACGAGGCATCCTACATCGTCAGTGAGTTGCGTTCATCATCATGTTGAAGCCATTCATAGTGTGCTGTCTCATTCATTGGTAGTGGCCCAAATGTTTATCCATAGCTAGTTTCTGTTGCAAGTGTCTGTGGTCTCATAACTGAGAGTTATGAAAATAAAGATGGTTCGATGTGCACTTGTAAAATAATTTGATATTTAAGTCTTAGTATTATATGCACTTTTTTTTAAACATATAAGGTGGGTGCGATGAGGTAAGGCCAAATACAATAGTCTGTATCAACTTGGCTGTCCCTGTTCTTTTCCAGCACAAAGTTTGGACAAAGGGGATATCATTCTCAGCTTTTCTGGCTGGTTTAAACACTAGACTGTTATGTAGGCACGATCAAGATAGGTAGTAATAAATGAATACACAGCTAGAGATTCAGTTAAAAATGCAACACTACTTTACATTAGGTTTTATAACTAGGTATAGACCGCTTATAACGTAATTCGGGGGAGTTGCTAATATCCGCACTATAAGCAATACCGCACTATAACCAGAACAACCTTTTTCAAGGGCCGCACTTGCGCAAAACGTGTTGAACATGCAACTTCGCGTGTCCGAAAATCAAAACATACGATGCGTGCTTGCTAGCATTTAAATTTCTGAATGTTAAAAGAATTTAACGTCCAAAGGCATGCGTTGCCAATGAAATAACCACGAAAGAGGGGGGTCTAACAAATGAAAGCACCATCGCGGAAATTCGCCGACTACTAGACCACCTCGATTATGCGCATTACATAGAAACTATGCCTTATTACGTCCAGAATTTGACACGTTGAAAGACGCCAACCATTCGATTTCATGAGCGCACACCCAATTTAAGACATCGCAATCGAATCGCGAACCACTATTTGAGCGCTGCAGGTGCCGGCCTTGTTTTCATTAACGATATGTATCCCTTCCCGTCAAGTGCAGCCACCGCAAAGAGCTTCGTTGATTCGGTGCCAAGCCGCAACTTAGATTGACGCGACCGCTACCGATCAAAGCTCAACCAACGCCGATTAGTCCTAGCTTGCCGTTTGGTACGTTGTCGCAGAAAGATTACCCAAAACATCAAGATTCGGCGTCAGAAAGATTGCACTAGCAGTGAACCAAGAACAGCGTGCATGATACGAAGTTCGCGTTCGTGGCCGGCAGATCAGCAGTGACTGCAACTCGCCAAGCATACGTACGACAGCGCACTGGCAGCAAAAGCGAAAGCTCGCGTCATAAAACCATAGAAGGTTTTCAATTTACGGACAAGAAAGCAAACGCGATATTTGCTGCAAGCTTGATAACGACGACATCTTTCCCGACAGGAAACTGTCAAGCGCATGCAGTTGATATGGATGGTATCGCACGTGCCACGTCGAGCGGCGCGCGACCAAAGCCACGCTAGCGACGTAGTACGCTGTAGCCGCATCAGCGTCGGTGCAAAGGCTTATCAGCCACCGAGGCAACCATCCTCCTTCTTTACTCGTCAAGCCCGTGCAGTGTACTGTGGTCCTTTTTTTTTTTCATTTTCTTTTTCTTCCCTCCGCCTTTTGTTCGTTCACTTCGTGTCCCCTCCTCCTCCGTAACGACCTCGTCGTTTGCTCCCCAGTGGCGCACACAGCGCGCCTCCTTTCATAAGCGCACTCGCTACCTCATTTGTTTTAAACAATATCCGGCAACCGCATTATAACTGATCTTTCATCTTGGGGGAGTGCACAATATGGTATGCACATGGGCTTTTAGGGTAGGGTAACGGGAGTAGAAAAAGACCGCATTGAAAGCAGTTCTGCACTATAAGTGGTTACGTTGTAAGTGGTCTACACTGTATATTTTAAACACTGTGTTTTACCTGAAGCTTTGCCAATGTTAGAAATAGACAGACATCAGAATAGGCGTCTTGTAGTTGTAGCCCATTTCTCTCTCTCCACATTTTTGAGTCATTTGTGTCTTGAAGGGTAAGTGCATGGATGGTATGTATAACTAAATTAAAGGAGGTTCCATCTACTTGCTATGAATTTGCAGAACGAGACAGAGAGCTCAGGAGCAATCGCTATGTGATGATGCCGGACTCATTTCGAATGTACCTGAAACGTTACGCCCGCCAGTTCAACTACACGCTCAACGAGGAAGCTGCCATCAGTGCCTTAGCCTTCATGTACACTCCGTGGACTGATCAGGACAATCAAACTCTCCTGATGAGGGGATACGTTGATGTAAGTGTGCTGTTTCACTGTGCGGTATGTGTGATGTGGGTATTGTCGCAAACTGTCATGGTGTAGTACTTAAAGCTCGGTTTTGGCTATCACGTCTTTAATGAAGGGAAGGTTTGAGTGATAGGATTATGGTATGTTATAGTTTATGGTATTATCAATGCAGTGGCAGCATGCTACACCATCGCATGAGGAATTATTGTGAAAGGTTATAAAAGAAGCAGTTGTTTTCCTGAATGCCTTGAAAACAAGGAATCATTCTCCATTCTTTAAAATTTCGAAAAACAGATTTGTGGAAAACTGTGATTATTAATATAGGTGGCAGCATAGACTTTCCTATAAATACACTAAAAGGAACTGTGACGCTAAAGTCTATGGGCGCTACTGTGCACCGCGCTTCAGTCAGCATGGGAAGGATGGGTGGCACACAAATTTGTCTAATCTTCGTTCTTTCTGCTCCATTTGGCTTCGTGTGGCTTGTAGCTGCCCTGTCAAGAGACAACAATCAGCTAAGGTTGAGCAGCTGCACCGGGTCATGAATTCATGATGGTTCGTTCTTTTACTCGAAACAAAACCAGAACACAACAATAAATGAAGCCATAAGCGCATTCGAAGCCCAGAAGCACAAAGAATAGGAAAATATGTGTATTATTCAACATTCCTATATGGCCAAACCATCGCAGCGCCAGAGTTCCCTCTAGTTAATTCTAGAAAACTATGGGTTGTGGGAGCAGCATGCATCGAGCTGTGCTAGAATGGAACAAACTTGAGGAACGCAGCCACAGCGAGACTTAAGTCTTCGTCTTTTTCACTGAGGGGAGGATGATAATAGACGAGCCCGAAGTAATGACTATTTCATCATAACACATCGACTACAAGTGGATGTACAACTAGTATGTAAGGAACTATGTACTGGACGGCAGGCCATAGAGATATAAAATAGATATGTCTGTTGCATCTGCAGTCTTCAACCTTGTGTCTGGCAGACTCTTTTCTCACTGCCAGAAAGCCAACAAAAGCTTAACCATGCTCAATTTCTTCCATCGGTGTTTTAACGTGAAGAATAAGAACTACAGTCCTCCTGAAGCATAAACACAGCAAAACGCCATGAAACACACTGAAACCTCATCAGTGATGGTGTTATCATCCAGCACAGACTTAGTGGAACTCAGTAGAAATGGTTCCGTTAGATATTCAGTAGCTCATAGCAGCAATCATACAACATGAAGTTAAAAGAACTGTTCTTTCAATTATTGAGAGTATTAGGTGCATTCTGAAGCACATTTACTTTGCATATAACAAACGTAGCAGTTATACCGGTACTTGTACCAATGAAGCGTTTCATCTAAATGTGGTCGACCCTGTGCATGCAGTGTGACAGGATGTGTGCTTGTGCCATCTCTTGCAGTTGCTCTCGGACTCTTACTTTGTGGCCCCTCATGACAAGATGATGAAGCTTTTGCTGGATAAAGGCTTTCGTGTCTACGCTTACGTGGTGAACTACACACTCGAGAGCTACCCCAGGTTGCAGTATGGCAGACGCCAGTATGACTGGGATGGTGAGCATCAGACTCCGATTGCTTAGTTATACTCTTCCTGCTTCTCCGCACTACACTTTGCATGTCTGAAATGACAGCGTGCTTTTAAATGACTTGTAGCCATGCAATATTTCAGCTTTTGTGGACCAGGACCAGAAAATTTTATTAGTATTCCCGTAACAAGGCTGTAACCAATACACTACGCTAAACTACTCTGCTGTTGCATAAATGTGTAAATGAAAATAAAAATATGCAGTTATGTGACACACGCTTGGTCGGTAAATGCTTGCAAAGGAAAATGCTGCTCACATTATGGACTTTGTCATACAAAACTAATAGAGTGCACACTGTATTTTTTAAAATTTGAAATGGAAAAATAAATAAAGGAGTTGTAACCATAGCTCGGTGACGACTACCCCTTTACATTTGGATGTTGTTGGATAAAATGTTAATGAACAAAATGACATGTCGCCTTAAAAGACGACAACGAAGTTTGCCCACGACTGTACTGGCGCTGTGGCACTAGCGTGAGCCTTGTGTCGAACGTTGGCCAGGAACGACTCCATGCCTGAGCTATGCTTCTGAACTTGTTAAGGTTTCCTGTACTTTAATAAATTGTCTACAGCCACAAGCGGCTGTACAGACGTTAAACAAAATATAGATACATATATGCAGTCCTACATCGGTAAATGTGCAAATTTTTATTTGGGCAGATCAAATGCACAGTCGCAGTGCGCATTTTCAATACAGTGGCCTCAATACTCATAACAAATCTTTGAGTCCTCAGAGAAATGTTGCAGCATGGTCATCACTTTGCGGTTTATCATTGATAACCGTAGTCCTAGTATTTTCACCACGGTGTCTAGCATCTGGAGTTTCTGTTTGAGTCGCCTTTTGTGTGTGTCGTGTTTGGGGCAGTCGAGCAATAGCACACTGTGTTCCTGCTAATGCCTTTTTTCTATTCGTGACATATAGCGGCGTTTCCTGGAGGAATGCTGGTTAGGAAGATACTTTTGTGTAAAATAAATTTTTATTCACACTTGCACATGTGACCGACAACTCTGTATGATAATACATTCCCAAATAAACAGAAATTAGTGATAAAGCTGATCTTAGCATGGTATTCCCTAATTTTAAACAATCAACACGTGATCACTTTGTTCAGAAATGTAATTCAGCAGCTGGAAATGCTTATCACTAATTGTGCCACTTTTCTTGTTATATGCATATCGTGTATATAAGCTTTAGCCTTAATTTTCTTTCATGAGACAGTGTCTCATTGGTGTATTTTGGTTTTTATTGCTATTCATCTAGTGTGCCAATCATACCCCTTCAGGACAAACGTGACTGCTCAATTTTGGATCCTTTATATTTTTTAAAGACGATAGTCTTTCTTGGGGACCTTCGACGCCAAAATTTTTGTCTGTCTGTCTGTACATTTGTCTGTTTGTCCACGGTAACGATCTCTCTGAAGGCATCAGACGATACCTGAAACGGCCAACCCCATCCACAGCGCCCACCAATATTGCTCAAGTTTCGGCGTTCATAGTTGTGCGATTGTGAATTAAAAAGCAATTATTGCACATATCTTAGGCACCATAACAACACGTCGATGTTTTGTATCTGTGCCTTTATACTAGAGACGGAACACACAAGTAATTCTAAGGACCGTAGCGTTTATCATGCTGCGCTGACAGTGCAACGCGATGCTCAAAAAGGCAAATGTTTTGAACGCTTTGCTAAGACGACACAGTGGTGGCACCTGACCGTCGCTTTGCGTTTTACTTTTTATTGCTTCCGAGACAGGCGTGCATCTTTCTCCGCAGGCGCTCGCATTTTCTTCTCAGGCGCTCGCGCCTAATGTGCCTCGATGCGCTCGTTCGCCTTCGCTGCATGGATCGGGACTCTCTAACGCAGCACTTCGAGAATTCACCGATTTTCTCGGGCAGAACATCAAATAAACGTTTTTTTCACTGCAGTGAAACATGCAGATACGGGGCCATTTTTTTTTTTTACTTTTTATGATTATTTCTTTTTCGGCTAGAGGCTTTCATGCAGAATCCCAAAGGGGAAAGGCACATTCTAAAATTGTCCTAATGCATGTACCACATACGTTGTTACTTTGAGCATGAAACTTGCCAGTTTTGAATTTATCTTTATGTACTTCAGAATGGTACCAGCTTTAGAAACCATGTAATGCACATGTAAATTCAAGCTGTAACCGAGTTCAGGGCAGCATTGAGAAGAATGCTGAAAAGAATACCACTGGTAATATTTGTTTTTTGAAATGTACAGAGATATTGTACTAGTTATCGGACTACTTATCGCTGATCATGTTATCTTTACTTTTTCCGTTACAAAACCCAAACAGGGTAGTTGTGATGCGAACACAAGTCTTCTTTATATACTAGTTGCCCTTCAGCCTGATGGGAGTAACAACTACAGTGACAGCGTGTTTTGCAGCCGTAGTGACATAACTAATTAACCTAATTTCTGAAACTGATCTACCATAGCATGAGGGCACACAGAAGGCAGCATCCTTTAGTGTTCTGACGAGTGCGATAATTTGACTTGCAGAGATACCGCACAGTATGGTGGACCTGATGGTGTCCGGTGCGCCCTTCATGGACCCAAAGTTTTATCCCGATAACCTGGAACTGAATGATGTCCTCTGGAGTGAGGGAGATCGAAACATGAGTCAGCTGTTTATGCAGGCCTGGGCAAACTTTGCCAAAACTGGGTGAGTTGCTGCAAGTTCGTTTAGAAAGGAAGGATAATTGAAATAACATGTTTCTTATTAAGGTAGATGATATGTTTCAATAACCAATGGTCTGCTTTAGCGTCCAAAATTTACATATCAAGACGTGAGAGACAAAGTGAACAGGCGTGTTGCACAGAACATCTAAAATGAAGGGTTTCATTGCTTGACGCATGTGATAGGTGGTGATGGCGATGATTTAAAGCTCCGTGGTTCTGTTTGGTGCATCTTATGAAATAAGTTTGCTTAGTGTCTTACGCTGATTAAAAAAAAAGGAGAAAAGGCACTCCTTTAAGCAAAAATGGTCCCAGAATATGGGAGTAGTATGCAAATAAGCATGACTTGGTTCCTTTCTGTAAGATGCTTACTGTAAATGAACCACTTAGCAAGGATAGCAATATACACTGGTTGGTTAAGCATCAGGAATACCTTAGCTGCAGTGCGGTGTGTTCGTGTTATGTTCAAACTGCAACTAAAGCGTTTCTAAACTGCTTAGGTTGTGATAGCTCACTGCGTCAAAGTGCATCTAGCGACAGAAGTAAAAGACCCTGGATTGTACAAAATGCCAATTTGTAATTATATCATTTCTGTATCTTAGCTAGCGGAATGAAACAAACAGAAAAGAAAGAGACACGTAAACAGGTCGGGTGCTAGACGTCCTGTTTATATGTCTAGCGCCTGTCCTGTTTATGCGTCGCTCTTTTGTGTTTGCTTCGTTGAGCTTGCTAAAATGCGCAAGTTCTACACCCACCAACTAGCCCTAATTTCTGCTTTTAGTAATCATATCAGTTCTTTTATTATGCTCTTAGAAGTATAAGGCTCTGCACAGGTAATCTGTCTTTCATTTTTATAACAGCTGTTTTGTTATTAGAATGAAAACTCATACTGAAGTTTCATCTTGTTGATAGCACATTTTGCAATGAGAGAGCAAAAAAATCTATAGTTTATTTGGTTATCTTTAGCTTAGCGTTTCCATCTTTAGATACACTGGTACTGCCGATGCTGCTGTTGCTAGTATTTTATACGAACTCAATTCTTACGTGGGTGCTCACTCATTCAAATTTGCACATTTGAGCGTAGTCTGAATTCTTCTCCCACCTCCACTGCAGAGACCCTACGGGAGGCACATCCCTCTTTGGCACCATCCGCTGGGATCCCGCCACGAGGGCCCTGCTCCAGTACCTGTGCATCAACGGCACATACTACGAGGCGTTCAACTCCTCGAGCTTCATGCTGCGCGACTACCGCCAGAAGGAGAGCCAGTTCTGGAACGCCTACCTGCCGGAGCTGGCCCTGCGTCCTGCGCCTACGTGGCCACCCTGGGACGAACCACTGCTGCAGGAGAACCGGATCGTGACCGCCTCGCTATGGGGCGTCACGGCCGTCGCCATCCTGCTGCTCATAGTGGCAGTGGCCGCATGCTGCTGCTACTGCAAGGCTGCCAGGTACGGCCAGGCCTGACACGTCAGTCGTCGTGCGATCTCGGCCACTCGGTCCTTCCCTCTTCTCTGCACGTGGGCAGCACCCAGCATGCCACCTCACTGCCGCCAATTGCCTTGCTCCTTGTCTCGTCTGTCCTTGTTTAGTGCTAGCTTTGGGTGTGTGCTGTGCTTTGTGATGCAGCATGCGTTTGTGGATGTCCTGTGTGATTCTGCATCTTGTTGTTGGCCTAGCTGCTGTTTGCTGGATGAATGACACGTTTACTGCGCAAAAGACGCGGAGGCATATAAACATAAATGACGTGGGACAGCAACTTTCAAACGTTTTTTGTGAAAGGGGTCGATTGATCAGTGAAATATTTGCCACTCGCAGGTTCTGCTGTCAACTGACTTCAGCTGATCAGAACAATCTTTGCATAACAGGAAATCCAGTTTCACTATATTGAGGTGACTCATCGTTAAATGGGTTATTGATTGTGATGATGAGTTGATGCCAACTTATTTTCAAACTCAATACATAAGTGCTACATAAATGGAACTGTATCATGAGCAAAACAGTAGCACATTACTGCCTGTGTTGTAGTACATATTTCTATGCTTTCATTCTGATCCTTTTAGCGGCAAGTGTGTCCTTCAGCTCATGCAACAGCTTTTCTGTATTAGTTGAAAGTGTGCCGTTCGCTTTACGATGTTAACATCATAAATGCAGCATTTAGGCAAACTTATTCAACGCGCCGAATCTTTTCAAAGCAGGCCAGGTATGTTTGTGTAGTTTGTGGCTGTGTAACATGCACAAGCCAAGTGAATGCACAAGAAAAAAGTACAAAATACCAGCGATACAGACCATTACTTCATGTATCATGTTCATATGACACTTTGGTGCTCTTCATAGTTAAGCGGCTTTCACCTTGTATGCCATGACATTAACCTAATTGAAATCAACCTCAAGAACATAACAGGAGGCTAGGCTAGAGTCTGATGTTTGCATTGATGGCAGTGCTGCCTCATTTAACACATGATCAACTGTGAAAAAAAAGATTTAGGCTCCTATAGCAAGAGAAAAACGTGTCATTCAGGCCGTTCTAGTTGACCTCTCTAGCATGGTGCATGAAGATTCACAAAGGATGGAATTGCGTAGAAAAACACTCTCATAAGTTGTTTCCATCTTCCCACCCATCCTCCTTGAGGTACACCTCTACGGAGCACCTGAAGAAATGATATAACTGTTTTAAAAATAACTGCCTAATAAATATTTAACCTCAGAACTGTGGCCTAGGCTAGGAAAGTACAAAGTTAATGAGTTGACCCAAGCCTCTAGGCTGACGTAGAGGCTCGGCCATGTATTAGTATACTGTCAAACTCTGCTACAAGTTGACCTCAGCCTCTAGCTGACGTAGAGGCTCGGCCATGTATTAGTATACTGTCGCACTCTGCTACAACGAATGCCGCTCAACAAAATTTCCGCTACAACGAAAAATTCACGATTCCGCGTCAGCAGTTCATGGGAGTCAATGCATAGATATTGTCACCACAACGAATACCTTTTCTTCGATCGTCCCGCTTCAACGAAATTTTACGATGCAATTCCAGGCTCTGATACTTATTTCTATGCAGTGAACCAAATCTTTAACATTTCGATGCATTTTCAGAGCCTGAAAATGCGTCAATGAAGTCTAAAATACGCGTTGGCACTACCAGAAACCGCCGCTGTTCAGCAAGCATGGGCACCTCCATTGCTCGATAGCGATGGCAATGAGACTGCCCTGCTCTTGCCACTGACTTGCTTTTGAGTTGCAGACGATTTGAAGCTGAAGCTCAGTGGCTCAGTTCATGGTTTCCTTCACGCAGCTGCTGGGTGCGACCGCAGAACGATGCCTTTTCCGATTTTGATGCTTATCGTTATGTTTGCGCTTGGCCAGTGTGGAAACTAATTAGAGCAGCTGTTCGTTCTCATTATCAACAAAATCAGCTACCGCGCCGCGAGTGATGGATGATAAGAATGGCATAAAATAATAATAATGCAAAAGTCGCCGCTTCACGATACCCTGCCTCCATCTCGGCGTTGTCGGGTACTTTTGACGGCAGACAGCTGCTGGTGTTAACGTGTTAATGCAACTGCTTGGTTCGTTCACAAAGGTGGTTTTAGGAGTTGTTTCAGCGTGCTTTTCACCATGGCTTCGCTATGCATGGGTGAAAATCTTGTCGTGACACTGCTGGGAATGAATAGGAAGCAGCAGACATTACTTGAATTTCGAGAATAAACGTTCCTTTGTTTTTCTAGCTCAGATCAGATACACTTTTTCGATTTCGCTACAATAAAATTTTCGCTTCAGCGAAATTTTTTCCGTGCCTCATAAGTTTCATTGTGGCGGGGTTCGACTGTATTTCTAAATAGCGCAGTCTACAGGTAGAACCTCATAAAATGTTGAAATCATTTACCACGTTTTAACATTGCCATAGACCACACGTCTGCAGTTCTTGTGTGAAAATATTGTTTGCACGAACATCACCATTTCGCACATAATGAGGGCCAGGCTTTAGTCAAGATTTGTGTGTTCTCCGCATATAGCGTACTGTTTGCAATCGTAGTCCACTGTAAATACTCATGAAAATAATGAAGCTGGGTACTTAGCAAGTATTTTATTGTATGTACGTGTCTCTGTACAAATTTCTGTATATGCAGTATTAGTAATTACTTTTGCTGTAAGTTCAGAAAAGGATGTTCTACAATTACAAGAAGAAGAGAGCACAAGGTTTTACCAAGTTTTTTTATCTCTGCTCTCTCAACTACAAATGTAGTTTAGTTTTTGCTATTGCTATGTTGCACCAAATGAGTTTATCCTGTCCAGCTAACATTTTTCTAGAACAAAGTATATTGGTGTCACAATAAAAAAAAAGGTTTCTCATTACATACAGCTTGTGTTCATTCATCTCACTGTGCTTCATTGTATGTCACAAGCCTTGCAAGTTTGTGCATAAACTGCTTTTGTCAAAAGAAACCGAGTCATTAGAACCGTGAATGTGTTTGTGACCTTGCAGCTGTTCACGTTAGTTTCGTTTCTTTTGACAAGTGTTGTGCCATTGTTCATACTATGGAACTCCGGCAATCAATGTCATGACAATCTCGCATTGCGTGTGCGGCTTTCTCCCCTCTGTTATGTTTCTTGAATGATTGGCTTTCTGTCTGTTCGGGACTGCACATAGTAACACACATTGTGTTGCAGCATTGTGTTTTATATGCATGATGCTGGGCCTTTTATATGAGAAAACTGTTGTTGACGACTCCTTAGCAGCTTTGTTGTAACAGGCAGCATAGGTTCTAATGCAGCATAAAGCAGCCATAGATTCTCCTGAATAATTCAATCACATGACACAACCGGAAGCTGCTGTTTTTGCATGAATGATATCCATTGGTTGACCTTACTTGCTCTGAATTTTTTATAACAAATGACTTCTGTACATCTCTTATGTTGGATGATGTTGCCTATCAAATTCGATGTTTAGCAGCACTGGTAGCCGCATTTCACAATGCTGCCCTTGAATACAAAGTGCTCAGCTGTTAGTACTGTGATCAAATGCATACAACTTGCTTGCTAGTATACATGTCTAATATTTGCAAAGAGCATGCCTAACTTGCACATGGAATATTAGCAGAAAACTGCAGAGCAAAAATATTAGGCATTCATTGAAGTCAAATGGATCGCCCCAGGTTCGGTGCACAGGTACAGTTCTGCATGACACCAGGTGCAGTTAAACTGAAAATGTTCACTACTTCTCTGACAGAGTTGAACCAAAATTGTCAGAGTTGTTTTGCAATATTTGTAACCTGTTAGTACCTATTGTGATCCACACCTACATTGCATTCCCAGAGGCATTTGAGAAGTGGCAAAGGAATTAGTGACAGCAACCACTCAGGGTATATAAATTGAGAAAGTGCATGTTCTACCCCAATCATTGATGGCAAAATTAAAGGCATAACTAAAGAAAAAGCCGCCTATTGCTAACTTTATCTTGATGTTTTGTCACTGGAGAAATGCGTGCCTCAAAATTATGCGATGAAAACAAAATAAAACTGGCGGCTGTTTTGTTTACCTTAAAAAATCGCAATTATGGGGCCAAGTAAGTGTATATGTATAATCAGCAAGTAAGCAATCTGTTCACTCCTTATGGCATTACTCTTGAAACAGCCGTCATCTGGTTGACGAAGATGATATTCGGCATGCCTCAATGCATTCCCTGACGGAGAGTACCTTTAGGTGAGTGTCCCCCATTTTAAACTTAGGACATGCCACAATACTCCCGAGAGAAACACCACGATTGCATGAATAGGTGTGTTGCACGCTCTGTTTACGTATCCACGTGCTAGCATTTGTTTACATTCTGCACTGGTGAACATGATTAATGTGTGCATCACCGGCTCAAGCATGCCTGTAATTGCACGCACACTTGCTTGTTCTGCACGCACGGACTCGTCGCGGTGTTCGGTGACGCAGCTGCCATGTGTAGCGAAGTACAAACAACGTTGCCATCTTTGACTGTGGTGCGGTCACGTTTAATGAGCTCTTCATAGCATAGAAAAGAAGAGCCTACATAACCGGTATTACACTCTGTGTAAGTATAGCGACAAAAATCGCTTATTTCACAGTATTCTGTCAGTACCAGTGAGACTTGTCCTGAACAGTCCGGTGCTCAAGCTGACAACTTGCTGCATCATTGTAACGGGCAGAAAGCGTGAAGAGGATCTCTAAAGTTTTATAACTTGATTTATAATTTTTTTACATTAAGTTTAGGCTTGTGCGAATATTCGAATGCTTCGAATGTTCGAACGAATAGGTGAGTATTCGAATTCGATTCGAATTTAAATTATCGAATATTTTCGAATTATTCGCAATAAACAAATAAATGTACATTAATCCGCTTGTAAAGGTGGTTTCACTGCAATGTAGTAATGCAAAGCCGTGAAAGCACCTACTCAGGAGAAATTTGCTTTGCCGCGAAGCCCCCCTTCAAATTTATAGGGGCCCTGCAACACTTGCTGGTCAGAAAACACTGCCGATAGGTTGTAGAGGCTACCGAGAACACGCGAGGCAAGTATCATTGCGCAGCACGCGCCCTGAAATTCACAATAAATTTTCAAAGCCAAAAATTGCTCTCTTCCCTCAGCAAATGACACTACAAGCTCAAAAATCACTTGTCAGCCAAGAAAGAAAATACGACTCTTGTCAGTCATTGGCTGATTTGAGCATGGCCCGCTCGTCGTTATCGGACCGCCGCGTGAGGCCGCCGCTTGTTCACAAGTACGTGCACGATCGCACTGAAAGGCCTCGTATTCAAAGAAACAAGAGAGAGAAAAGATGCTCAAGGTCGCTAGGTGCTCATGACGTTTTTTTCTATTCTTGTGCCATTCTTCCCTACTTAGCTTCCAGATCTTTTGACGGGTCGAGAATGGAGAATGCAATTGCAGCATGCGACAAATTTTTGGAACTCCGTTCGTACTAGATCAATTCTAGAAACTTTGCGACGGTAAATTTGTGAGGAGACAAGCATGTTTACTGGCTCTATGGATACTTGAAAAAGTGTTGCAGGGCCCCTTTAAAGGAACATGTTACCCTCAAATCAGTCCATTTTATTAAGCTTGTTATGATGGTTTATATGATTTAAGTATAATAAACTTTAAAACGTTATGTATCTTACAGGTTATCACTCGAACCCTACCGAAACTACTAATCAAGGTTGTTTCGACTTCCTTTCAACGAAAAAAAAAAAAGGCATTTGCATAAGGCCTTTTTTAATTCAAAAGAAATATCATGCAGGTTAGTTAGGTTATGATAAATATTCCCTTTTTTTATATGTCATACATACTATTCGAATTCGATTCGAAATTATTCGACCAAAATCACTATTCGCTTCGAATTCGCTTCGACCCTGAAATTCACTATTCGCACAAGCCTAGTTAAGTTCTTAGAGTTGCAACATGACAATAAATTTTTCTACTGGTGCAAGGCATAACCAATCTAAAAAAAAAAGGGGAATCTATTTCAGAAAGTACACATACAGCATCCTCTAAACTACTCCAGCGGGAAAAAAAGAAGCTTTGTTGAGACTCACTGCATGTATTAGACATTGAAAAGAGCATGGCATGCAAAAGGCATGAATGCTGCATGCTTTTTCCCATCTACGCAGTGCATTTAATTTCAGTGCAGTGATCTTTATGTTATACAGTCAATGCTCTTTACAATACTGTCTTATGATTCTGCAAAAGAGAGTCCAGTGTACTTGGACCTGCATTATCAAAAACAGATATCGAGGGCGCTTAAAGAGGAGCATGCTTTTTAAAAATCACTTTTAAAGCTCTCATATCTATGTTTAATTCATAAAAGAATGAAACTGTGATAAAAGATCAATGTTGCTGTGACCTTTCTGCACATTTTTGCTGGTTTTAGTCAACACTGAGTGTCAGGAACGCAGCATTTTTGACTCATCTCTTCCTCTTTTTGGTCATAGCTAATGTCTCTGGTGTGGCCTTCTAGCTTCAGTTAATAAATTCTTGTGTCACAAAAGAATTTTCCATTCAGTACATCATTGGCTAGAGCATCCCATGAGCATACGGAATAAATACTCCAGCCCGAAACTGCCCACGTGCTTATAACACTGCGAACTTATGTAAGCTTGTTGTTACAGGTATAAACAACCAATAAAACCAATGGAAAAGAAGTCGCACCATGCTTTATGTCGATGACAATCTTTTTTTTTTCTGTTCAAGTGAGATACTAGCACAGCTTCCATCTGTGCAGCAAACTTCATTGTAGCAGCTCGCAGAAAGCACAAAGAGGAACAGGAAGAGATAGAGTTCACAGCACTGGCATGGGTTGTAGTTTTATTACTGCTACTGGTCAGTCTGAATCGTGTTGCTGTTCTCAACGTTGTCATTTGTTAATGCGTCATTTGAAATGTTTGCCCTGAAAATGTCTACTTCAGCCCCTAGAAGATTGTGACAGCTTATGCTCAAAATGAAGTATTTTGCCAACATCAAATGGCCTCATTTCTTCTGAAAGCCAGCTTTAATTAAATTTTTGATAAAGAGCATGGACTGTACTTGAAGAAATGCGCTCGCCAGGACTACTTCACCTCCTTGCATGCACAAAAAAAATTAACGGCGCAGCTTAGCATTTAGTATTTTACATGTTTTCAGCATAAGAAGAATGGAGTTCAAAAACAAATACGCCTCGCCCGAAGATCAAGGAGAGCTAAGGGCTCTCAAGAACACCAGTGTGTGAAAGTTATCGGCACTGGCGCAGCAGCACCCCCTTGTAGTATCAAAGTCCGTGGCAAGCAGGGCAGTCAAAGTCAGTCGCGTCGGAGAGAGATCTTTGCGAGTTCCTTTGTGCTGGCCATTTTTGGAAGCTGTCTCGGCTGACTGACACTTTCATCCGAACACAGCCAAGTGAAGCTGCCAACCCAGCCGAGAGCAGTCGTCGGAAGGGGCCGTTGAAGCGTACCAACCTGTGAAAACCGCCTGTGGCACCAACGTGCGAGGTCACAAATGTAGCAGGACAACCGGGACTTTATCAATTGTGCTTCAGTGTTCCACTGCTCGTGAAAAAGTGACTGCTCAGCCTGCATTAAACACTTTAGTGTCAAAGGTTGATTCTTCAGCTACCCTGAAATAGTGACTCCATCTTTAGCCAACATACATGCAACAGAGCTATCAATTTCTCAGCAGTAGTTTCATGTGTATAAACATTAGTCACACATAAGCCACACATGAGCTACTTGCTGCACATGTAACGGTTGTGCTATTGTAGCTACATTTGAACAAGTGTGACGGTGCTGCATAGAATAAAGTGGTGAAGCTTCAACCTGGAACATGAAAGGAAGCCACTTGATCAGGAAGTCATATCGCATGATCTCTTATGTTGAAAGTCACAAGGAAGCCAGCCATGTATTAGTATACCTGTGGGTTTTGTGAACATTTTGTGCCGTGTTTTTATTTTACAGGAATCAAATACTGTACGTGAATTGACATTCCATTGCAGTGCACATGAACTCTGTCATACTTAGCAAATCAGAATCATGTTGTAGTACAGAGCTAACAGCTAGAAGTAGATGCTCTGTTATGTTTGTGCTGTTACTAAATTGAGGACCCGAAAAAGAAAAGGTGTACACATCTGCATCAACTTCTACACTCAGTTTATTTAGCGCCGACACTTGAAAACTGCATATCTTTCAAGCAGTCATAAATGCAGCATTCACTGATGTACAAATGAACAGTTATGCAGGATCCAAATGAGAAGAGTGAGTGCAGCGTGTTTCACAAAGTGCTTCATACTATTATCAGCGTTCGTTCACTGCCAATGATCAAACCTGTGTATGTGTGCTCTAATAACCACTGAATGCAAATACACTCAAACCTCTTTACAACGAGCCCCACCGCGGTGGTCTAGTGGCTAAGGTACTCGGCTGCTGACCTGCAGGTTGTGGGGTAGAATCCCGGCTGCGGCGGCTGCATTCTCGATAAGAGGCGGAAATGCTGTAGGCCTGTGTGCTCTGATTTGGGAGACGTTAATGAACCCCAGGTGGTCGAAATTTCCAGAGCCCTCCACTACGACGCCTGTCATAATCATATGGTGGTTTTGCTACATTAAACCCCACATATCGTCATCTCATTATAACAAAGTTGTATATTACACGAAAATAACTTTATCTTTGAAAATGTAGTATAAATGTATACAGTTGAATCCCGCTACAACAAAATTGACGGGGCGGGCGCAAAATTTCGTTATCGCGGAAATTCGTTGTCGCGATATGATGAAATACATACGTGACACGGGACTTGCTGAAGCAAAAGAACAAGCTTTAATGCCAAAAATCGCTCAACCTCGCCTGTTTCCGCTTCTTGCCAAGCGATGGCACAACACGACTTTCGCACGCTGCCAGTACATATTCTTAACACTGCGTCTATTGCAAGACAATTTTTAATTTACTTTGTTATAACCAATATTTTATTACATCTGGGCTCATTATAATAAGGTTTGAGTTAATGAGCAAATGCTAATGAGCAAATGCTGTTGTGGGACCTCCACAAACTTCAATGGCAAAGTTCAGGAGCAAGTCGGTTGTTGGTAAAGCATTCGTGTGAGTACAAAAATGCAATTTTACCAATTATGTATGTCATACCACTGAATCGGAGTGAATATTTTAGTAGCATTTCCAGCCATGCAAGGCTAATGGCACTCTACAGCAGTTCGCTTATACGTATTTACTGAAAAGTAGCTGTGCATGCCATTTTAGTTTATCCTCGATACAATATAGTTTGCTGACCAGATTTCAAGTGTGTTACCATGAAATGGTCTGTGTACAACTTGAGATTTCTCATATTCACTCTAAACGTAAAGGGCATGAGAAAGCCACTACTACATACTCTTCAGGCACTTGCGTCAGTCTCAAATCTAATCTTCACTGATTTGATGATTCACTACAAGTTATTAAAAAAAAAGCATTACAACAGGAAAACAATCTAATATTCTTGAATGTTCCATAGTATCCACAATGTGTTCTTTGTAGCTGATATAGACTTTTTCAAGGTGAATAAGTCACCCTTTATGAATTGCTTTGATTGCTCTAATTACTGCCTTCAACATATTTTGTGTAGCAAAAAATGTTTTGTCTTAGTTCTTGCTTTAATCAAACGTTAATTTATTTTGTTCATCCATTTGACAGCAGTGTCGAAGTGCATTCATTTCACTCTTCTGTAAGCCAACGACCGCAATAATTTCAGGCATTCTGTACGTGCAGCTTTTTACACCCAGCAGTTGATTTTTCTTGTAGTGCGATATGCGTGCATCGTCGCTCGCAGCTTTGCTTACTTCTGTACATGAAGTGCCATGTTTCTTCTTTTTTTTTAATTGCATATTTACATCTGTAGAGGTCTTATTTTGAAAATTCCTGTCCTGCTTGGGGTCTCATGTATGTGCAAGTGTCAAAGTATGTGCTTGTACAAGGTTGTGCTGAATTCCGAAAAAGACTTGTATCAAATGAGGTGCTTCACGTGTCTAGTTGCCCTCTACAATACTTATGCGTAGGTGGAATACATGCACCATATTTTGTGTACTCTGTATCTGCTAAATATTTTTTGAATGCTGGACCCTTGAACATGAGGAACTAACATTGTGCTGTGTGAGTTGGCACTACAGAGTTAGAGATAAACATCGTTCAAGAAGGGGAGCCCTTCCCTGTGACAATCCCGTTTTTCAAAGTAGTGTATAAGCATTTGTTTTGTATGTTGCAATATAATATAGTTGGCTCGAAATGTCCTACTGACATATTTAATGCACTTAAGTTCACTGAAGTTCAAACACACTACAAAATGGATAGCATGAGAATTCATTGTGTATTTTACAGTGCGTTCAACCTTTGGCATTATTTGTATTTTATGTACTTCAAGCCACCAAGTTTCTTATTTTTCACTGCTCAATATTATTGACAATAATTTTATGCTCACATCCAATTTGCTACTGCTACTTTTCACACAGAGCCAAGTGAAGCCCTGAAAGCTGAAATTCTCGCAAAATGCGAAATTTGCGTGCTCCATGCAAGAATGTTGAAAGACCATGGTGAAGTGCCTGGGCAAACTTCGGTCTCTAGTTGCTCTTCGTGATCAAACAATGAATTTTTCTTTCTGCAGAGCCACGTGTTTTTATTTATAGTGGAAAGTGCTTGACTTTCTGCCAGGACAGTCTGCGCAGTATTTAGCGTTTTAAGCTTCTGTCGATGACTGTGAATGTTGTGTAATACCGGTGACGTAGGTGGTGACCTGCATAAAGCAGCTTATACAGGAATTATTCACATACCCCGTTAAAGAATGTCTTCAGAGTGCATCAATTGTTTTGCTTCGCAAGGTCATCCTGCCGCTTTTTGCGTAGCCATCCGTGGCAATTCCGTCCATAGGCAAGTGTTGTGCATGCTTCTCTGCATTGTTGCTTTTGACCAATTCTACAAACTTTTCATATGAACTTTATATTTACTGTTTACATTTTACACCCAAAGTTGATTGCCTCACTTGTACAGCACTCGGACGCAATCGGTGTGACCTGGCTTTTCATTGTCACTGTACTTTTGAATAAATTCATTTTTTGCAATACTATTTTTCAAGAACAAAAAGGTATTTCAATCGTATTTATTTTTACAATGCACAGCAGTGCCAAGTTGGGACAAAAGGAGGTCGTTTGCCTCCCGACATGATCCTGCTCCCGCTGGTTTCAACAGCTATCAGGCTAGTTTAGCCTGATAGCTGCTTTAAAACTATCCGATCTTGAATCACAATTACAGGTACTAATATTTATTACAGCTGAACATAAAATGCTAGTAGTCATCTCTATTGAGTGCAGAGTAATACAAAATGAATTCACAGATAAGGGCAGAGAAATAATCATTTCAGCATATGTGTACTAAGTGGGAGACTACAGTTCACTTAAGCGAGATGAAACTTGCAGGAATATCTTAACTTTTCCAAAGTCAAGGTATTCTGACTAAATTTTAAGTTTAAATTTTCTAAAAATAGTGTGTTCATGCTAATTCAGTCAGCTAAATTAATGAGCTTCATTAATTTAACAATGGTCCCAGCAGTAAGTTCTGCTAGGCAGATCATGTTCTTTTCATCTTGAAGGCAGAGGTCTGTAGTTTGCTAGCCCACTGAAATATTTTGTGGCTATTACATTATGCAGCCAAGCACCAACAGTGCAGGTTGATTTGTGTGGCAGACCAATTTTGATGGGACGAAACGCACGAACACTTGTACTGGTAAACGACCTGGGTAACTGAAATGACGTGCAAACCTGTATCCACACGACGGACCAAATCTCAATTGGAGCCTGCGATTGCATAATACCTCACTATATGTCAGCCGTTCCAGCTTCGATTCGTGAAATGACAGAAACCCATATCGCTGTTGGGATCCTCGGGAAGCAATGCCGAAATTCTTGCTTGAAGCGTGAATTCTTCCGTCGTGTAAATGCTGGCTGCGGCGGGATCTGAATTACGTTACATGTCACGTGACTGACCCATCCGCGATCACATCCGTCGTGTGAATACAGCTAGAAGTTCAGTGTGCCTTGCAACTATGTCTACATATACAGTCGAGCCCGCTTATAACGAACCTGAGCCTGACGCAGCATCCATTCGCTGTATCCCAAAGTTCGTAGTAAATGAAACACAGCATTAAAAAAGTTGCGAGTGAACACACCAACTTTTTTTTTTTTTTGCCCAAAAAAAGTTCGTGAGGCACGTGTTTCAAAGAGCAGAAGCGATAAGGGGAATCTCGAGTTTATTTCGAACGGTAGCGTGCTCGTTTGCCTAGGCCCGTGCCATAAGCTGCATGAGGCACTGGCTCCAAATCTCGCAATCTGATTCCTCCAAATCGCTATTGCCGCGTACTTCAATCACAATGCCCTAATCTGTGCAGGGTTCCGCGGTGTCGGCATTATCATCGGCCGTAATGAAACCATCACAACAGATGTCCCATTCACTCTCCCATGTCGGAGTCGATGGCGCGCTGCCACAAATCGCTGCCGCAGTGGTTCTGTTCGGAAGCTTCAGGCTCAACATCGGGCTCGACGTCCGCAACGAAGTCGGCCTCACGAAAACAGTTTCGCGTGCATCCAGCCGTCACCGTCGCCCACGAAATATTCACCATCTCCACAGCTGAATACCGGAACGCCCGAAGCGGCAAGTTGGCTGCCAGGTGGTCAACAGCTCTGAGCAAGCACTCCGCAACACAGCACCTAACGCGCGTATTACGCTCCAGCCAAGCGGTCACATTTTCGACGTTTGGTTGAGCAGCAGGAAAAAGCGTGCAAGTCCTCCCGTCTGCCATCGTGACCACACACGCACACCAAGAGCGAGCAAGACACGCACACGCGACACATATACCAGGATGCATGGAACAGCTTTGGGCCCATTTCTAGTCAGAAAACAAAACTAATTCGAACCAGCGTGGCTGGAGTCGCGAAGAGGTGGAGATGGGCTAAGGGGTTGTGATCAAGAGAGGAGAGCAAATTTGCGAGAGAAGGGCAAGGAGTTGCGATAGAGTGAAGAGAGGGGAGGATACAACGGGAGGGTGACCTTGAAAACCAAAACAGGCTGGAACCAGGCAGGTTGGGTAGCTTGCTTGAAAGGTCCACGAAAAGTGCAACTCGCACGTAGAAAAACTTGAAAGAGTGCCTGCGCGTGCAGAAGTCAAAGCACGGCGGCCTGGACCAGAGCGCGTGGCGGTTTTAAAAGAATCGGCGGCTGTGGTCAAAAAATCGTTTCGTTGCGCCGGCGGGTTTGCGTGGCCTCACCGACTTCAATATTTCGAGATACGTTTTGCACAAATGAACAGCCGTTTTCGTGCTTTTGCACGCGTGCGAAGGGCATGCTGAGCTGAGTGCGAAATGAGCGAGAACAGGTTATAAACACGAAACAAATCGGGAATTATCAAAGCCAGTGGGGTAGCATACGCGCGTGCACTAGACGCAGACGATCGGATACAGTCGGCGGCCGACACTGTTGGCAAATGGTCTGGTCACTTAAGGCCGGTGATGCCAACGACAGTATCAGCGATCAAAAACAGGGTAGATGGCCGACCGTTCTTCGAAAGATCGGTGGCAGTGTGTAAACACGGGCAGCGTCTGGCGATGCGGGAAGCTCAGAGCAGCGGGGGACAAAGGAAGGAGGGGTGCGTAACAAAAAGCAGTCGGGGAGAGTGGAAACTAGAGGGGCGCGGAGGCAGGGTCACCGTTTAACAATAAGAATGTATGGGCACCTCGCCGATGCCTGATCTGATCGGTGGTCGAAAGTGGTTTCTTAGGAAGTCGGCAGAGTGCCGACCCCATTCACTGTAAGCGATAGGGGGCGCTCGGAAACGTTCATTATAAGTGCAATTTAGTCCCATTGAACCAATGTATATTTTAACAGTCATGCGGATATTGTCCATTCTAAGCAAAAGTTTGTTTTAAGTGGGGCTGTTATATGTGGGCTCGACTGTATGCACTTTTAGCACAAAGCCCCAGCATTTAATTTTATACTTTGTTGCAACCTCCCCCCCCCCCCCCCACTGCATTATCACAGTCTTCAGTGAGAAAGCTTTTATGCAGAGTGTTGGAAATATAATTCATCCTCACCAAACTGTGTTCAGACAGGCTTTCAAGCTAACACTTGCCTAGCAGAAACTATAGTACTACATAGTTACCGTTTATCAGAGATGCACACCGAAATGCTTATCCTGATTTTGTCAAGCTTCAATTACCCACATTCTATATACGAGTGACTAACTAACAATTTCAAGACTACACTTTCGAAATGCATACCAAACTACACTAGCGCTCTGTTATAATGTACCCATTAGTACTTCACTCTTCACTTCAAACTCGGTATTATTCAAACTATTCAGCCCCATGTGCAGTTTGAATCAATGAGGTTTTTAAAAAACCAAAACCATGAAATTTTTACCGAAACCATGCAGTATCTGTATGTATTTTAAGGGAAGTGCTACTCCAATAAGGGACCTCTCAATTTAAATGAGGACGAGCTAAAGATATTCTACAGCAGATGCCCACCCGCAATGAATCTTGAAGACATACTAAATGACCTGTTTCAGCATCATTTCAGTGACTGCAACAAGAAAGCAATACAAAGCTGGAGGTCATAGAAAGAATTGTTTATGAAAAAAATATTACAATCAGCTCAGCTGAACATGTCGTCGTAATCTGGCGGTGGCGGGAGGTGATCCGGATTTGGGCTGCAGGATATAACAAGAAACACACCATCATATTAATACTGCCATTGCACCCAGTAAAACCATGAAAAACCACACTTTTTTTTTCACCTGCACTGCTTTTACACTGCTGAAAAGGTCCCATTCTAAGAAACGGACAGACGTGAAATGTTCAAGCAAGTCTGCAGTGCAATGTTTTGCAGTCTGGGAACACGTTTTTTTTTTTTTTTCATGAACATTCAAGTCTATTTACTATACTTAATCATCGAGTACAACATATTAGCACGACAGCCACATTATTCAGCATCAACTGCATTGTAACTTTAATTACACTGCTTACTAAGGGCATTAGGTTCTAATTACTGGTGTCACTGGTATTAGCAACAGCTAACTGCTTGCTGCACCAAATCTAACCAACTGTCGTAAGACGGTAAGTCGGGCCAGTTGGTTAGGATCCATCGTGAACTTTCTTACAGCGCAACACCAGAAAAAATACAGGACAGGGAAGGAGTAGAACAGAAAGAAAAGACGGCGCTGTCTTTTCTTTCTGTTCTACTCCTTCCCTGTCCTGTATTTTTTCTGGTGTTGCGCTGTAAGAAAGTTCACGATGGATCTAACCAACTGTCCACTGAATGTGACAAACAAATGAGTTCTCTAATACAGGTTGTGTAATACGTACTCTCACAAAACATGTAATATTGTGATGCAGAAAAAGAATACAAGGTAAAGTTGAGACTGCCAAATAAATAATACTCTAATGGATCAAAGAGGCACTCACCCGGCAAACCGATTTCCGGGTACACCCGGTGGCCCATCAGGTCGTGGAGGCCCAAATGGGTCAAACCTGGCACCAGGTGGAATGGATCCCCTGCAGAAAAAGCGGCCGAGATGTGAAGTGTTGGAGCTACATCAAGTGATGCGACGGTTTGTATGCATTGAGATTAATTGATTGTTATTATTAGTAGTATATACACGCAAAGTGCAAACATTGAATTAATCTAAAATTATTGCTTAGCCCTTCTAGAAACATTGCATCACTTCTAAGGCATGACATGGCTTAGGCCCGTATTCACATACCAGCCAAGTTCAAGGATTTTGCATCAGGGAGATTTCCAAAATGAGGGGTGGGGGGGGAACAGCTTCATGGGATTGAAAATATTCTCAACACCTGAAACTTGGCAAAATCGGTTTTCAAACCACGATATAGACACAAAACATTTTTTTTTTAGTCAAACGAACTCGTGTACATTTTTCTGGGCCACACGCGAATGAACCAATAAGTGACGGCGAAGCAGGCTGCTGCTTAAGTGCACGACAGAGTTTCGATTGAGGCCAACTGAGGGATGAAGTTCGCTTTATCGTAGTAATAAACCAAGATCGACATGAACACCGAAACGCTTCGTGCTTTTTTTTTTTTTACACCTTTAATCTACAGATCCATGAGCCGTGTACTTTCATAGCTTGTAGTCGCTATCGAAGATTGCGTCGCAGCGACAAACCATATTTCTGTCTTTATTCCACTTGTGTCCGCAGTGCTTGCATAAAAAAGCGTGTGAGCGCTGCATGCGCGTGCATTTTGTCAGCTTTGTCATCTAATTCTGTCAGTTTGTCGTTGCACATATAATCATAACAATAATCATCAGTGGAACGTCTCAAAAGCACCTTATGATTATGAAAAAAGCCGTAGAGGAGGGCTCTGGAAATTCTGACTGCCTGAGGGTTTTATAACATGCACCTAAATCTAAGTACACGGGCCACGGGCATTTTAGCCTCCATCGGATATGCGACTGCCGCGTTCGGGACCTGCGGGTCAGCATTCAAGCTCCACAACTACTACACCTCCGTTGTGGGCGCCATACACGATCGTGTCAAGAGCGACCATGGTTATTTCATTGGCCGTGCGGGTCCTTCCAAAGCTTTCAGCACGTTGTTCTCAGCTACTGCTTCATGGTTTGGTAACGAAGATCGCATCACCCGGTGGAGTGATGCGCCAAAGTGTTCAGAACCTCAAAATTTTGGCCCATTGGACACAGTAGAATTGGGGAATTTAGAGAATTCGTATCACCATGATTCTATTTACCTTTACATCAACGCCTCCCGATTCATTTAAACGGACCGACAACTGAATGTTTTCGACCTAGTTTTTTCCGGCGTGACAGAAAGCTTACCCTTCGTAGTGTTCATGGCTGCCGTAGTTAATCCCAAAAGCAGGTAGTCATTTTAAAAGCAGTATTTTTCTATCTGAAAGACTTTGAACACGGATGAGCCCTTTCATTCAGCAACGCTGAGAATTTATAGCGATGCTGGTAGCCTTTCTGGTGACTTGTGCAAGCTATCATTGTTCTGCTTTCACAGGAGTTCCTGTATTTATGCTTAACCATGTTTATTCTGGGCTTTAATCTATTTTTGAAAATAACAAGCCGTTACAATAAGACAGTGTGGCTTTATACAGCTTATTGGTACTTGTAGCGTGTTGCGTACGCCTGCGCCGAAGATCGTTGCGCCTGTGTCGTGGATGGCTTGTCCCATCGTCGTTAGTCTCTCGACACATGAGCCAAGCCAATTCACCGAGGTCGTCATTGCGCAAATGCGCGGCTGTGCTGAGTAGGAGTACATGTCAATTCTGAGACAAATTATGAATAAAAAAACCACATCGCTACAAAATCTAGCGACCCGGAAACTGCGTGCACGGTTTGATGAGCATGCAAGAAAGTTGCTCAAGACGCACTAACGAGCATGGGATGATTACGTCATGCGAAGGCAGTGCCACTTTAATACGTACTACTAATGCAAACTTATATGTACATATAAAGAAGCAAGCAATATTTCAATACTAACATAAAAATTATTAACCACATACAGTAGTTTGCAGTCACATGACAAGGAACGTCGGATAATTGAAGTTTCTGCTACCAGATGGCGCCACAGCCTACTTTCGCGATTTTCAATCAAGAAATTAGAATATAACTCCACTTTTCACGAGAAAAACAGTGTTCGTTTGAGTCACAAGCAGCAACAATCTTTTCATCTGCGCAGTCACCTCATTTCATGTTCTGGGCAGTTGTCGGTCCGTTTAAATTATAATATGATAGTCTGATAGCTTTTTATAATACGATAGACTGCAAGCTTAGAAAAAAAAAAAAAGCCTGGATCGAATTGGGTTGGATTTCTGTCAATGCGGCCAGATCACGCACAGCAATTTCAATTTCCGGGAGATTTTCCAGCCAACTGTACTAACGTAAGAAATGGTCGAAATCCGGTAGACTCGGTAGGCATGTATGTACTAACGTTCCTTGATTAGAGAATCGAGCTTAAGGGATCCTTAAGGACTGTTTCACGTTGAGGTTTCTGCAATGCAGAAAGTGTCAAGGATCCCTTGATGTCAAGTTTCAAGTTGAGCGTTTGTGAATATGGGCCTTTGCCTCAAAGGAGAACGCAGTGATGGCAGCACAAAATTTTGAAATTCAAATCACCCACAATTAGGGCACGTTATAATACAGCCTCACTATTTATGTTGCATGTAAAGTGCTAATAAGCAATCACAAGTTGTTCTTAGGCTGCATGATTAAATTATTTGTACACTCAAACCTCCCTATAATGAATTTGCATCGTACACGTAAATGTTCTTTACATTAAAAAATTTATTACAAAGGTATATTCCTCGCACTGTTTCTAATTGCAAAACTATTCTTCATTTACATTGTTATAATCACTATTTTGTTATATCGAGGTTAGAATGTACGTCCGTTGCAGTACATACTGCAGCACAGTTGCTGGTGCCAATGCACGTTGCAGTATGTGGTGGATATTGCTCACTCTTTGAACTCCTGCTACATGTTACTGCTAGCCTTTAATTCGTTCTGAGGTATGCATGATGCTTGCACGAAGACATGAGACTAATTGTTAACTTCTGTGAAAACATTTTCTGCTTGTAATGAAGATTTCTAGATGAAAGTCGGCACCTATTTATGTCTATCCTTCAGTTTTGTTCTTGTTCAAGAGCGTGTGCCATTATACTTCAATTCACAACACACTAGTTATGACCATAGGTTCATAGCTTGGTAAACTCAGTCATTGACTCACTCAGGCTTATACTGGGCCCTGAGTCGGTCCGAGTGAGTTTGGTATAGATAAATATTGGTTAGTTTGAGTTTGACTGTGCTGTAAGGGCAAGATATATTTAATGAGTGAGTCTGAGTAAGCTCCACAATCAATTGCCGACCTAAGCTGCTGACTAAGCCATCTGAATGATTGAAAGACTCAAAAATGTTGCTAGTTAGGTGCTACACGTTATTCTTTCCGCGACAATTAGGAGACTCTTTTCCCAATTGTGAAGCCAACTTTCTGGTCAGGCAGGTTATTTAACTATTGGAGGCACAGTCATTGTTGCAAACGGTGCATACTAGCCCGACTTGCTTGTAGTTACGATGCCGAAATTTACGCGTAACTTCGATACATTCAGCTGGCGCTTCGTTTTCATTTGAACGGTGTATAAAGCTGCCCGTTAGCTGAACAAATGTGCAGAGAGAAAAGCACTCGTGCGTTAACACTGAGATTTTTGTCCCTTCACCTGGGAATGCCGGGGATGCCGACACCGGGGTCTGAGTGATGCGGCCGGGGCAGCTGTCGGGGATCCATGAGCATGCCACCACCAGGCGGCCCCTGATAGAAGGGGTTCAAATCCCGCTGGCCCACCCGTGGAATCTCCTGCAGCGGGGACCTAGAACAACACACAACTCAACTCTTTCTAGCTGCTTCTTGGCTCCGCCATGCGTACGCACGTTTTGCTCCTGTACACAGTCTTGGCAAAGGATCTTTTCACAGCGAAATTTGCGCCAGGTGTGACAGGGACACACAAACTTTACATAAAATCCTGCTGCCATCAATAGCTAGTGAAGCATTAAACCATAGCATTCAGTGCCATAAGCTTTAGTTCCGATTTTTCCAAATTCAAATTGCAGGTCAGAAACTGCACTAGTTGAGGCCACTACCGCTGTTGTGTAGAGCATCTCGCAGGCTCAAAGCAGTGCTTTAGCGAGTCGATCTGCTAGCAGCTGTAGCGTATTTCAAATGTGAGCTTTGCCACAATGTTTTATTGGATACGAGTATGAAGAGGGCTGTGCCGATTTCGGTGATTCGGCGATAATGAGTTTGAGTGGACATGAGTATCAAGATGCCTGCTGCCAAGTGCATGTGGACACAAATATTTGTGTGAGCAAAAGCTGAAGAGTGAAATATGATAGCATTTTCATAAGTGCGGGTTAGTGTTGGCAAGTTTGAGTACACTACACTTATCTATAACTGAATAATAACTCAGGAAAGCATTGGCGATCAATACATTTGACCATCTAGTACCTGCCAACGCACGCAGCAATACATGTAAAGAAAGCCTTGTTGTTCAGCACTTTGTATAACATGAAGGAGTGAGGCTCACCACTCAATGCCAGGCTGCCTGCTGGGGATGTGCAGGGGATTGTTCTCCTGAGACACCATGCGTGAAGCGTTACGTGACGACATGGCCTGGGTGGAACTGTCTATAGAGTCCAGTGCCGAAACCACTTCCGTCTTCAGCTTGGACATCACCTCATCCAAGTTCTTGTATGTCCTGAATTGAAATGACCGGTGTGGAAAGGAGTTGTCATGTACACCGTGAATTTGTCAAGTTATACATCCCAAAACCACGACATGACATTTAAGAGGCGCCACAGTGCAGGGTTCCCGAAATTTTGACCACCTGGGGTTCTTAAACATGCACCTAAGTACAAGGGCTTCTAACATTTCGCCTCCATTAGAATGCGGCCACCGAGCACAGGATTCGATCCCGCGACCTTCAGGTGAGCATTTGAGCACTGTAACCACTAGACCAGACACCATGGCAGGCTGTCACATACACCGGCTACTCACTAATCGCTTTATGTACCGCCTGCTAAACTGCACAGCACGGCTTATGGCGATAGGAAAAACAAAAATGACCAACCAAAGACATTCCTGTGTCGCCATTAAGATGGCCCCTATTCGTCAGTATTGGGCAGCAACTGGTTACTGGTAATGCATTACTGATAACTAGTTACTTTTTCAGTAACTTGTAACTATAACTAGTTGCTTTTTTCAGTAACTCGTAACTGTAACTAGTTACATTTAATTTAGGGGAACTTGCAATCATTGATTGATTTATTGATTGATATGTGGGGTTTAACCTCCTAAAACCACCATATGATTATGAGAGATACTATAGTAGAGGGCTCCGGAAATTTCGACCATCTGGGGTTCTTTCACGTGCACCCAAATCTGAGCACACAGGCCTACAACATTTCTGCCTCCATCGGAAATGCAGCCGCCGCAGCCAAGATTCGATCCTGTGACCTGCGGGTCAGCAGCCGAGTACCTTAGCCACTAGACCACCGCGGCGCGGCAATTGTAACACTGTTACTTTTTTGCACAGAAGTGTAATAGAAAATATCGTTACAGTTACTTCTGTTTTTATAAAAACATATATCTAACAGCAACACTCATCAAAGGCCTACTCCAGCAATTTTTCTACGCGCATTTCTGTCATTTGTGCCAAATTACGGGCTTGAGAGATGCGCTGATTGTTTGCAAAATAATTTTAAAGATTGCCTCAAAACGCTCACCTGGCTCGCCAGAATTAATGGCAACACTCTGTGTGACGTTATGTTTGGCATGTCAACGGAAGCAACGCAGCCAATGGTGGCATTACTACTTTGCCCGCTATAGCGTTTATTCTGCTGGCCACAAGGCTACGGCGGCGGTGTTTGACGCAGAAAAGCTTCCTTCAGTCCTCCGTGGTGCTTTGCCTGCACTTCGCTGGTCTGGCTTTCACAGTTTTCATACTCTGCGTCGGCAGGACCAGTATGCGTATTCCGGTTTTTACCAAATAGTACGTCATGTAGACAGTGCGCTCGGTTGGGTTTCGGTATTGCACCTTTTCGCTTATTAAAAATTATTTTCGAATTTCAGGAGTGTTTCAGCTATTGAGCTCATGACAAGAGTGTCTCAGAAACATAGAAACACCATTACCTTGACATTGTCAAAAAATCGCCGGAGTTGGCCTTTAAAGGCCAATGTTAAATGCTTGTCAGTTTTTCGAACTTCAATTTACCATATCCTTTCCACCTTTTAACATTACACATAGGGCTCCCCTTGCAGTTGAGGAGAAGATGTCGCTAAGTGGAATATCTTTCCTGCAAAAGACTGTTTTGGGAGTTTACTTGTAAACTACATATTGTAAACCAATCATTTTGCAACTGAACAGCATGCTAAGTTAACATCCTATTATTTTTAAGGGGTGGAAGAGAGGGCATATATATATATATTTTTTATACTTGAGCTTCTAGCTCTGTTTTTATTGTGCCATTGAAGTATCCATACATGCGCGGCTAAGAGATAATCGTGCTTGAGAATTTGCTAAAAAGCTGCTGCAGGAAGTGGCTGAAACCAGAAGACCATGAACAAGCGAAGCTATGTTTTAAAAAATCCGTAAATGGGGTTGTGCGCTTGTGCTGCAACTGATTGTCGTAGTTCTACTGCGACTTTACAAAATGATTAATAGTCTTTTAGCACGTTGCGGAATTAGGGTATGCAAATGCAGTACCGTATGAAAACACCACTCCTCCTGTCCCGGTCGCCATGCTTTTGCCAATGAAGCCACTCCAGCACCACAGAATTTTTTTTTTTCAAAAATTACCCTGGGCTTGTCATGCCTCGTTGTTGCTTGTCAGCCTTATTCATTGTTAACGAGAAACCTGTCGTCCGGGGGTCACACTGTCACTGGAAAGTAGCGCTACCGTACTGCCTTACCGTATTTACGTATCGTATTTCTGTAACTTGCTAAAGCTATCAAAATGGCAGATGTTTTGCCTCATATGGAAGTGGCATCCTTAGTTTACAACGGCAACAGAAAAGGAAAAAAATGAGCAGACGTAGATCAGTTCATAGGTCACAGGTGTCTTTGCAAACATTCTGTAGCCAATCGCAGTTGCTGTAGGAAGCGAATGCTTCGTGGCAAATAAACTTCGCTTTCTGAAGTCCGCCACCCACGTTCTCGCTCATTAGCCAGTGTCGTCGCATTGTTCGGGTTGAAGCTACGCCCTGTCCAACAGTGTTCAACAAGTCCAGTCTACGAACGCGCTGCATGGCTGACTTTGGCAACCTTTCTTTTCCTGGCCCTTACCTTAAGCTTTCTAGCCCATTTCATCGACCTAATTAACTTGCTTCGCAATCCCTGAATCGTACTTCTAGACGATACTGCACTGATCCTCCACAAGTGTGCAGTCTTTGGGTTTCACGAAAGCGTGTTCAAACTGTTTTTGTGCCCATTGAACACAGAGACCTACAAACAGACTCTGATACACCTTGAAGAACATAAGGAATGTATGTCAGTAGTTAAAGGACATCACCTCCACTCGTCGCCCACTTCCAGTACCTCTTCATCTATTACTTTATATGGTAATGAAAAAGTAACGAAGTTACTTTTTAATAGCAACTGTAACAAGTTATCTTCGGAAACTTGGGAACTGTAGCAGAGTTACCTTTTTGGCTTCGGTAACTAACTGTAACACAATAGCATTTTATTGGTAACGTGCCCATGACTGCTATTCATATACTTGAAACTTTCAGGAAACACAAAAGAGCAAAAGTATTTCACTCACATTAGAAGAGTGCCCTTCGACCATGCCAAAAAAAAACACTACTCTAAATTATAGAGTAGCTGCTTAGTAAACATGAAAATGGAATAAATAAAAATAATAATAATACAGGTGGCAATGCTGCCTTGACGTTCTTACAGTAACACACTGCATTGCCATAGATTTCAACAAGGTCTGCGAGAATGTACAAAATATCTAACCAGTAAAAATAAGTAAATTGCGTTCTAAATGACCCCTGAACCACCTCCGATATTTTTTTAACATTTCCATGGCGTATTCGGTTGGGCATTTTCGAGCGCTCTGAGAAGTGGCTGCACACTCGGTTGGTAGAATTCGAGTGCTTGGACTACCTACGTGTGGTTATTTTGGACCGTCAGCCTCCCACTCGAAGCGCTCCCAACCACTCTGACTTCGAAGGAGCATGGCGCGATCTGACCGGGAGGACAGATCACGTGACACAAGCCAGCAAATCATGTGGCTGCCAGCAGGTGAATCGCGCCAAAAGCACGAGCATGCATTTCAGAGGGGGACATTGCCGGGAGCGTAATACTTCGTGCATATGCATTGTTACAGGCATTTTTGAGCGTGTGTGGCGAGTTCACATTTACAAAGCCATACATGCACCACGTGAATATCGAGGCAGCTAGTGAAGGCGGAGGTTTCGTCAATGCTGTCATTACAGCAGCTCACAGACATCCATGTGATTTGCCTTGAAGATAGCGGCTCAGACGATGACCATCACCAGATTTATGTGCTGAGCTCAGAAGGCTGTCGCTGCGTCCAGACATGTCAGAGATGTCCACTGATCTGATCGGCGCCAATTGTCAAAGCGGCGCAAGAATGTTTTCTCGGAAGCTTCCCGCGCTGGCTGCACGGTTGCACTACAGGCCCGCTCTGACTGTGAGCTGCCTCGGCATCTGGCGACTCCAAACCAGAGAGGCCAACCGAATACGCCATAAGTAAGCACACACACAGATCAGAGTGTAGCTAGTCACGATCAACTCCAAATGCAGCTCAGACATTCAAAAGAGGTACAAAGGCATGATGCACTGATATACAAGACAATGACTAGATTTTGTATTGCATGTACCTGGATAGCTCTTTGAACTCGCCGCTTGTATACGTGTTCATGGCGAGATTGGTTGAAGCTGTCTTCTCCTTGCGGATGTTCTGATAAAAAATGACAACGAAGCAAAAATTCCTGGCAGTGCAGCCCAAGAGACAGTAAAGTGCAACAAGCCCACAAGTGTGCATTTTGTTTTGTAATTTCTACACAAGCAGCAATTCATAGCAACAGTTTCTCATACTCGGTCCCCGCTTTAAATAACAAAAGTAGCACTGTTTGAATCACAGTAGCATACTATGTGGCTTTAAAATGCCTTATTATTTTCAAGCAATTTTTTAAGCTGCATAGCTACTAAAGCTCAGTTGTAAATAAAGTTTCATTTAGAACGAATATTTGCCACATATCTATGCCAAAGTTATACAATGAAGAACACAATCACCAAGAATACAAGAAGTTGCACTACCTAATGTATTCAGCTAAGACAACTGTAAGGTCAAATCTATATTCTCTCTCCTACCTCTTCTCAATCAATAGCATTGATCCCCACCTCTCTCTTCTCTAAAAGCTTTACGCACCAAACATGGTATCGCACTCTCGTAGATCAGACACATTGGTAATATTCGGCACCTCACGTGGTTTTTCAGCGGTACTGCTATAGTCGGTGACAACCTAAGAATAAATATAAGCTCCCCCCCCCACACCTCATCGCCCTTATTTTCCATGCCTCCGCGCTACAAAGGAAATAGTTCCCAAACAACGGCAATAATTTTCCCACATACAACCATTATCTAGATATCCTTCATTAAAATTGAGATAAAGAAACCAAAGTTCGATAAGAAATCTTGTGAGGCAATAGAGTTCAGCTTCAGCATAGCGATATATCTGCTGCTTAAAACATCCCCACCGCGCTCATCTCGGAAGTTCACGAAGAAGCAATGTACATCTCTTGAAGGTGACGTTTCTGCGCAGTACTTATAGTGGTACTAAAGCAAATGATGCTACAGTTAAAGTGATGTTTAAACACAAAAAATCCTTTTGCACTTTCAAAAAACGACACAGTGGCATAAATCAAATTTTATAAGGTCGTTTGCGAATTCCCCTTTTTGGCCTATAACGTGGCCTATAATTAATCACACACTCACTGGATCACCATGATTCACTTCATAATGCATAGAACATTGCAAATTCTCACCACCGGGATTGTTTCTTTTCGTCCTGTGTCGCGTAGCAGGTTGTGTTGGACGCTTCTTTCTGACGGCTTGTCCGCACTAACATCACTCATGGGCGCACAGCACAGTGCATATCGCAAAAGATTAAGGTTTACATGTTACGACACCCAAGTAACACACTCGCACATGCCACAACTTTTGCGAGTTACAAATCACAGACGCACACATTCCACAAAACACAGACGCGCCAATTCAGACTTCACTTTCACCTAACTGCACACGAATGACCGCGACGAGTCGTCGAGAGTGGTCACCCTCAGGCGATATGCTTGGTGCATCCGCTCATGAAGTAGACGCCAAGTTGCTACTTCACGCTCCTGAAACAACAAAATGCGATGAAGCTCTGCCGCTTCATTGCACTTCAAACACTGCAAAATCAGAAAAGTCCCCATCGAATGTTGGCCAGCTAGGATGATGTTGAGTGCGAGTCGATGAAATAGTTTCTTAACGAAGAAAACACCTCAGAAAAACGGAATGGACGCCTCCCGGTCTCGGTGCAGCGGCACATCTCATCTCGTCGCAAACGCCATCATGTTGAATTTGTCATTGGTTCATCATGATTGTTACATCATAGCAAAAAGCGGCTGCAGTTAGACGCGCATAACACAGATGGACTGCGGTACACTTTACTTTTTATTCTTTGGTTGTCACCAACTATAGGAACAACCCATCTTTGACTAAGCAACAATGTCATGTGATGATGTTACGCTGCGCAACATCATAGTGATGTCATCACATGACATGTTTTACATCAATTCTGTTGACGCTGCCGCCGCCAACCGAGATTTTTCACACTAGATGAGGAAACTAAGTGCTTCACCATAAAATAGAAAGTGAACAATTTGCCCACAGAACAATAGGGTGGGCAATTACGTTCAGCCGTTCAATTATGTAGCAAGAGAGCTCACCTCTACATGATGACATTCTCTTAGTGCCTTGGCTATACCAAACTATAGCCAATTGTAAGCAATGCACTCTCAAGCGCAGTTCTGCTGCCTTCATATGGTGTGTCGACAGGTAAGTTAAACTGCTACTGATGGCCGTATGACACTCTTTCCAATGCCTCCTAGAAAAATTATGCCTGGAATGTGAGCCGCGAACGTGCCACCCTACCCTCGGATTTTACCCTCCCCCTCTGGTACAAAGGCGAACACCTTTGGCAGTCACCCCCAACAAAAACAGAAACGCTCTCACAGTTGCCTCCGAGCTGCTGTGATTTCAGGTGACAGGGCAACACGGTAACGTCACGTGATTGAGCGGTACAGAGGCGAGTGGTTCCACGCGGCGGATGGCCGCAACTGGTGGCAGGAGGCATGACCTCTAAGAATTTGTGCTGGCAGGAAGCTCCAAATTGAAAAGAGAGCGACATTCTAGGCATAGTTTTTCTAGAGGGCATTGCTCTTTCTGATACAACAAAACTTGGAGCATATCTCTGGACGTGATGGTGGCAATGTCACCACCAGTACAGCCAAAAATGACGCAGGAGCGGATGCAATCTGAAAAATCATCGGACTACTAGGAGATAGCAGCCCAGACTTTTGCATATGTGTGTTTGGCAGATGGTTCAGATTCACCTGAAGTATCTGCTTCCAAATGGTTTAGACCAGAGGGGAGTATTGCACCCCACTCAATACAGACGTGTGTTCTCGTTTGCCTGCATGTCGATTTGTCAAAGCTGTCTACAAAAGTGCACACTTACCAACACGTTCACCAGCAAAAAGCCTCCAGAAGGGATGACCTTGAGAATGTAGCGATCGGAACCCTGTACGGAGGCATAGCGCAGTGTATACAGGGACTGGTTGTCATTCCAGCCGTCAGGCAGCAGCTCTGTGCTTTGTGAGCCTTGAGTCCACTGCAACAGCATACAATAGCAGTAAAAGGAATCATTGGGTTTACTTTCCTAAACCAACTGATAGGCTACAAGAGAGACCAGCATAGGTGGCCCATAACGCATGCCTGAAGCATTATTGCCAGAGTCTTTTTTCCCTCCACCCCAGCTGGAATGTTGGCAAAAATAAATGATTTCGCAGAGTAGCACAATGCCACCGAAACATCTCGGCAAGTGGAATAAAGAAAAAATCATGTGTAATGGATCTGCAACACCAATAGCATAAAAGATTTTACCAACAAAATCTCCGGTCAAGGACATAACACAGTATTTTCTGTCAGCACTCTGCTCACACTTTTTTCACAACAGGAATTGGCTAACATGCAGAGAACGATGACGATCTGTGGAGTTTATAAATACAGTCAATACGTCGTTTTCGACCGCTCCAAAGGTACTGAAAAATGTACATAGTGTAGCAACTAAGCACTGCCACTAAAATAATCGAGCAAACACATGATTATGAGAAAGAAAAACGACCTACATACCTGCTTGCTGTTGTAAAGCCTTAAACCTGCTGAAATCCCTACTTTTAAACACGGCTATCAAACGACCACCCAAATGTGTTGTAACGTTGCAGGGGCCAGTTCTGGCTAATGAGCATCATCCTCTAGCACGGCAGTAAATAGTGCTTCCCGCTTGTATGAAATAGGCAAGAACTAGCGACGAGATCAATCGTCGAACATGACATCTTCCGTGCTGCATAACTCAGCACCGACCAAAAACTCTGCATCCCGCAACAACATCACTGACTGATTCAGACGGTTGTACTTCCAGCATTTTCTCGGTTGCGATGGGCTTACTCGCTGTCGATAAAACCGCTGTTAGTGAGGTTGATTTCGCGCATTGGCACGGCATAGTACTGAACATCGCCCAAGAGACCTGTAAAAGGGCACATGGAAAGCCCCGGTGTCTGTGGTTGCTCGCGCTAGTATATCATCCTTTGTGCTGGTCTTAAATACGGGAAATTCGATCCGAATCTGGCTGCAATCGCAATCAAAAATGGCTGCTTCAGTGACAACAGCGATACTAAACGCCGACGTTAAGTGCTCACACTTACGAATTTAGGAGTGGATCTGCCCCTCGGTGGACGCGCAAGGACCTTAAATACTGCACAGTTTACACAAAGTACAAGTGACAACGAACTGACAACATTAGGGCACTCGGATAAAAGGAAATACAAAATGGACGCGCAGTGACGATGACTAGACGCTTCGCGTACCGTCTCTCCTGTGCCGTGACAGCGCTTGCCGCTTTTCGCAAGCTGGTAGTGAACGAGAAGCACGAGCGCGTCGCTCTTGGACTTCAGGGTGTCCTTGCATAACTTGAACAGCAGCTCGAGGCCGAAGTATTTGTCAGCGCAGGACACAGTGCTGGATTTCTCGTCGGGGTTCGGCATCGCGGTCCCGGGTTGCCGAGGTTTCGGCTTGTGCGCCGTTCCCTGTTGCCGCATCAGCAGCGCCTCTCGCGTCGTTGACGGACGCCCTTTTAGCTCAAAAACTCAGCCCGCGGTGTGGAATGACCCACCGGCTCCGACCACGAGCTGCACGAGATTGCGAGCGCTGTGATGGCGATGTGCGTTATTAATTTTGCAAAGCTGCACGTTACTTACTATTACATTAATCCTGCAACGAGGCAGCGACAAGAACAGGAACCGAAACTATCTTTTAGCGCAACCTTTCGCACGCAACATGAGCGCAAATAGCAGCTCTTCGGACGCGCGATTTTCAACATGCATAAAACGATAGCTGAAGAAACGCATGAAGTCTTGAAAAGCCCCAGCGAATTTCTTATTTTTAGAACCGGACCCTGAAACGTTGTATTTGGAAATTTGTTCGTCGACCGAGTTGCGAAATAAAACCAGAGTCCGAACTCTGGTAGGGAGTTGGTTCAATACATGGAGGAAGGCACCATGGGTCAATAGAGCGCGCTCTTAAACACAGCATGCGCGTTCAGCGTGCTTGTCTACAAAAAAAAAAAAAAAATCAAGTGAGAAACCTGCAAATCAGAACTGTGACATGACTTGCGCTGTCACGTACTTTACGATGAAGCCTGATTAACTGCAATACATTTTTTCAATGCCCAGACGCCCTTTTTCGGCGGCAACTGTTCAGAACAACGACCACTGGTTGCATTGTGTTTGTTTCAGCCAAGCGTAATCAACCTCAGATGCACCACCATATTCCTCAATAAAAATTGATCGAATGAAACCCGATTTCACAAGCTGCCCGATCTCACTGAGAAATTTTCATTCCTTGGCAGGTATACGCATAAGATGTCATCGATACAAATTATAATGAAGCTTTCATAGCTATGAAGCTGATTATACGAAGCTTTCCTGAAATTTAATAATTTTTTTGCCAATTACGCCGTTAGACGGTTTCGAAGGTGCACTGTACGCTATCGAATCAAAACATCTATCCACTCTACACTCTAGTCTCGTCGACACTAATTTTAACGACGTTTCGTGCCGCAGATGACAGCGCTATAGTGTTAGGGCTTCTAGTCTAATAAAACTTTTACACGTTAAATGGCACAGGCAGGTGGTGGTTTGTTGTCGCTACAACTTGTACTCCCACAGGCATAGGGCACATGGTTGCTTTGCTTGTTTGATGGTTTGTGCGGCAGATACGTTACTGATCATGTCCTTCAACCTTTACTTTGTTTGTTTGTCTGCTCGCACATTCAATTAACTCGTTATCCCTGCAGTGTTTTTAAATGTTGGCAGCTTGTCATAGCTTCACGTGACCACATCGCCGGGACATGGAAGGTGTTCATAGTGGAACTGCCCTCGCGTCGGACTTTTCACGCCCACACACGTGTATTAGAGGTAAATCATGTGCCACGGCAGCATTCGGGTGACGTTACGTCGCAGCTTTAGATTTAGTATGATTGATAAGTTTCTTCCTCGATTTTGCGAACTTTCCGATTAAAGGAAATTATTCGAGCTGCCCGATGAATCGATTTTCAGATGCGCCATCTTCAGAATTAAGTCTGCAAGGCCTGCCTCGATCGGTCTGGTTACACACGGCGAAACTAATACAAGATGTGGTTCAATAAAAAAGAAATAAAGATGAAAAGGAGTGATCATGCACACCAGAAGGAGCTTTAGGAATGTACACCAATGTCCAACTGAGTAGTACCAATATCGAAGAAAATCTAGCCGGCCGCCGTCGTAAATCTGCGTAGAAAAAAACACGCAGCAAAATAAGAAAAAACAGTAAAATGAACGGCACCAAGGGCGGGTTTATCTATCTTAAAACGTCTGATATTAAAAATTCAATTTTTCTATTAGTGAGTTGGACGAAATGTACAGTTAGGCGCCATTAACGTAGTACATAATGTAGGAGGGCTATACTTCAGGATAAATGCTAAATCACTCTAAGATGCTAAGGTGCTGCAATGTTTAAGGAGCTGCAATGTTTCTTTCAGGCGTACCCGCTTCGCGTTGGTATGGTGAGTACCTCTTACATGCGACTCCTGCGGAACTGAAGAGACAACTGAATACATTCTGCATGTGCAGCTGTGCCCGCTATGACCACTACGGATGCGATGCCCGCTCCGCGGATTCTTTTGTGCCAACTGGACTTGACGCCATTTTCTGTAAACCAGATTCCGGCATCACAGATGTCGAGGGCGCAGAAGGAAACAAAAGCACTGCTGAAACAGCTCAAATCAACATATCTGTGTGATATCCTGTAGACCAGGGACGTAGCCGCGAGGAGGGGGGGGGGTATTCCTGGCACGTGCCTTCCCCCTTCCCGAAATATTTTTTCGCCATGGCATACAGAGCAAAAAAAAGTCCATTTTAGAGGGTAGCCCCTCCCCCCAAAAAGAATTCTGGTTACGTCCCTGTTGTAGACTGGATGTGCTCCCCGAAGTATTCGAAGTGTGCTTGGGATTCTCTCGCCCTTTATTTTCTTATGTCCCCCTTTCCTGTTCTTTATCCCTTTCACCAGTGTACGGTAGCAACCCGGACGTAGATCTGAGGATGCTGCTCTTACTCGCGATAACAGAGTGGATTATTGAGATGAAAATGTTCGTCAAACCTCTGTCATTCAAGCCACATTGTGCATTTCTTTATTTACTATAATTTGTCGCTCGACATAACAGTATCTTCTCACTGCACGATTTTTTTTCTCTCGTTGTAGAAGGTTAAAGGGTTCAAATCCACATGATGCTTGTCTTTAATGCACATGTGTAGCACGTGTGTGCATAGAGTGCCACAGCTACCGCTTGCCAGAGCTTACAAGCATGTCGACGCACCTTTTTTTACACGACCAAATGCATTTTGCGCTCTGATTAATTGCTTAATTAGGAAATATTGTTTAATTACATTTTCAAGCAATGCAGCTATACGGAGAATTTCGATAAAAAAAGTCGTATATCAGTTTTCCAAACACTGGACAGTTTCCAAGTTCATATCTATTAGGCATAGGCATGCATGTGGGCGGCCGCCCTCCCTAGTCCCCTATTATGAAGGGGGCGCCACGTGAGCCCCATACATTGACAAAATAGGGAGGGGAGGCTCTGCGACTCGGGGATGAAGGCTTTTCGGTGACGAAGGTTCGCCTATACCATGAGGTTGATTCGTTTCTTCCGTTGTTTCCAACCACAGTGGTTTGCGCCAAGTAGTTTCCGATTCAATAATTCGCTGTCTCGAAAACTCAGTCGCATCCCGCCGTCTCAAGAATTCCAGGAGTTCAGTCGAAAAACCATGCTTTCGAATGTAACAACGCTCACTTGAACGTTAAAGCTTAGCTCTGTCATTTGACCGCCTTAGAATATATTGGTGGTCGCAAATTAAGCACGCAGGCCAAATTGCAAAGAAAATATTTTGTTTCACAGTGGGCATTGTCAAGCGCCACAGAATTTCCTAAACGTAACAGCTATTTATTTATTTATTTATTTATTTATCATAGTACCCACAACGCCCAAGGGCATTACAGTGGGGGGAGGGGGGGGAGAGAATACAAATTTTCAGCTCTGAATACAGATACTGACGATTCTACAACACAATAATAACGCATTTCATTGTCAACTGTACGTAGCGGCACGTGGGAGTAGACAATATAAAGCAGCTTCACAATACCATTTCGTCCCTACTCATCCTCGCGAGTACACTACTATAGACCCTGAAGCAATCTTGAAAATACTTCATGTGAAGTAACCTCTGCTACTTCAGAAGGCAACCTATTCCGCAGCGCTATCGTCCAGGGAAAAAATGACATTTTAAATGTGCCAGTGCGGCAACTTACTTCCCTTATCTTATTTATTTTATTGGATATTTAGATTATTATTATTATTATTATTATTATTATTATTATTATTATTATTATTATTATTATTATTATTATTATTATTATTATTATTATTATTATTATTATTATTATTATTATTATTATTATTATTATTATTATTATTATTATTATTATTATTAGAAAGTTCTGCGTTTCTCAGCTCGCCATATCGTTTTATAACTCATTCGGTACAGCGCCACCATCACGTAAGTACTGCTTCCTTAGTCTCTCGTGACGTCATATATAGCACTTGACTAGTGTCCATCAAAAGTCCTCCTCTCGTGCTGTGCTCCTTTACAGAGCAAGAATTCTTCCGACTTTTGAGGCCTAAATGGTAGAAGGCCTCCATACCAAACGCTTGTATAAGCAATACACTGTTGCCTTATTGAATTGGATTATTCCAAACTGAATCGCCACTATAGTCGTAACGATATGGATGTTTCCTTTCGAATAGCTTACGCATACGGTCGAGCCTCGTCGTAACAAAGTAGCACGGGGACCATCCATTAACTTTTTATATCCGATATTTGTTGTAAGAGTACGTATGAAAATCTGCTCACGCAAATCGCAAATCAGCCTCGCTCGAAAATTGCAGACACAGAAACTCATTATTCTAGGCTTCAAACCAACTACTAAGAAGATAACTTTCGCCCACCTTCTCGTGGAATTTCATGTATAGATCGAAACATGATAATGTGAAATTGCAACAACAAAAAAAAGTTCGTTCGACGGAACAGACATGCTTTCGAATTTATTTGAAGAAGGATGTCTTGTCCGACTGGTGGCTTTTCCCGGCAATCGACAGTCTTGTTATAAAAAAAAGTGGCAGTCAATAGTATTTTAATATTTATTTGCTTATTTTGCTTTGTGCTATTTGTATTAGTGCTCTGAATTATTTTGCTTTGTACGCCACTTTTCGAGTTTTGAGCATCGCTCGAATCGAATACTTCTGCGATATAGCCAATGTTGCAGAAGTATTTAGTTACAAATTTAATTATTTCATTATATATTCGTTATAAAAAAATAAATGTCACATAAATAAAGCGTGACTGGCCAGTTCGCTAATAGCCAAAAATTCGCTATATAATCGTGTTACGAATTCCAACTGCATTTTTGAGGAGTGAACTGCATAAGATCGAGCGCAAAATTGGA